CTAGTGCATTTGATTTTGCTATCTTGTGCCGAAACATCTACGTATATACCGGTCGGTCGGTCCATGAGGTTGGGTTTGACGTAACCCGGAGATGTGCACGGCGAAGGAGGGGCAGGGCACGCCGATAGTGATACCATCATACGTCCATCCGTATGCTGCCTAGAAAATATAAACGTGTTACTAGCATGTGTGTACATACGATGGGTTCCTGAGCTCTTCAAGGGTTTGTATGAGCCACCAGCTGGATCTGGTTTCGGCCCGCGAGGAGGAGCCAGGACGAGGATGACGACGGACGCTGACTGGATCCGCTAACCCTAGCCCAAGTCGTCGTTGCAACCTCGACGGGTCCACCAGAGGGGACTAGGGTGTTGATTACCAACGAAAAGCCGTGGCCCCTGGCCAGTGAAGAGGCGGCCCTGAAGGAGAAAGAGGGGAAAGATGAGAGATATGTTATGTCAGTTAGAGAGGGGTGTCAAGAACAAAAAACGCTTGCTACCCGCCCGTCCGCCTTCCCAGTCTCATATTGTAGACACGCCTCGAAGGAAACCCGTCTATTTTCCAAATTAATACTCTATTAAGCGCTCGAATAAGGCCCCAACCGCCCGTTATTGCTTCTACTTGTATTTTAAATATATAGAGCTCCCCTCCCTTCGTAACGAGCGGGATAAGCCGATTTGCGAACGTTCCGCCGGGTGGCTCTGGGCGACATCGAGAGAGTGATTTTCAGACGGCGGAAACAGGGTCCGCTTACTTGCAAGGGGAAGACCGCCCGCGACTCTGACGGCCAGTGGTATATGCCATTAATTAATATAAAATTTGGGGAGGATCTGCCCCCATGATACATGATACGGGCAATAGGACGATATCAACGTGGAGAGATAACGGAACTGTGGAGTATTAGTTCAAGAAGTAGGACCTCACCAAGCCAACTAGCCGAGCAAATATTTTCGGCACCTCTTCGTATTGAAGCTATGTATTCTTACTGAAGCGAGCCTTGAAGTTTAAAAAAATTTGAAAAATTGAAAAATAACCTTTAGGATGCCTTCTAGATGCGACGGCCTTATGCTAAGCTTGATGCATAAATTAGGTAGTGGATGCCCACCTGCTTAAGCTCTTTTGAATCGATCGGGCCATTATGTAGCCCAGTAATATTGGCCAGTAGGCGGGCCGTGGAGTCGTGGAGGGACACGACCAGCCGTCGTACCAACAGAATGGCCACATAAGCCGTCAGCATTTTCAGTGTCTAGTATATGTATGCGATATATTGGCTGGCAGTGCATTCTACATCGATCACGATGGCACGCTATTCTTAAATGGAATGACGTCTTGTCAAAGAGAAGCTAACCTTGGAAAATCTCATCGCTAGTATATACATCTGTCACTCTGAAGCCTCTTTGCGCGGACCGAAGCCGAATCCCTGCCGCTCTCGCAACGAAGAGGTATCTGGAGGTACCTTCGACGCTCACCTGTTCTGTAGATAACGCTAAAGTTTCCCGAATTCGAGTTCGGCTCTGCCAGTACACACGTGTATGTACGGGCTAAGCTAAAGCTGCTTGAGTGAGAGGGGGGGGGAGCTGTTGACCGGGTATCAATACACAGAGAGTTATGTCTGGAATCTAAATAATAATCGAGGGCGTTGTAGGTTCTACATCTTCGAGATAGACACTAACTTACTTCATGCGGTGGGCATTGAAATTCAGATGGGAATCCAATTTCTGTTAAACCCAGCCTCGCGAGTTAGATGATGCCTCCTGACTACCTACGCCACTCCGTCTCTCCCGAAAAACTATTGGGGTTTCGTCACGATTTCTATACGTTGTTCATATACACAACCTAAATGTCTGCATTATAGGGATTATAATCTGGGGGGGGAGGGGGGAGGGCTACGAGGTTGCCCATCGTATGATACGGAATATATACGGATATTCTAGTCGTAGTTTCAAGGACCCTAGCCCCTCGGAAGAGATGTTGTCGGTACCAGGCAATGGGTTAGTAATGGGTAGGTAGACATAGGTGTAAGGCATAACCGTAGGCATGAATAGCAAGAGATTCCGCGATAGAAATCCCGCGCAGCATTGCGAGTGGTGATATCCGTGTCGTCTGTCCCCAGGATGCGGATTGTCCAACGATGGATATTTGTGTGTGCAAGACAGCGGGCCATCCCCGGTTATCGTGTTAGGCGGCCCGCCCGGGATCCCGACTCGCCCTTTCGTGTAGTAGATATTTTGGTTTTAACTCCTCACCCACACGGAGGCTAGAAGCTGGTCTCTTTAGTAATAGATACGAATGGTTGACCCTTGTTCTCCACGGAGGCGACTGGCAGCAAGGCTCTGGGGGTTGGGGGAAGAAAAAAAAAAAGAGGAAAATATCCCACCCGGGGTCATCCCATCGGTGGTCTCTAATTCCCCGTCGGCCAATCCGTACTGTGAATCCTATCCTATTAAAAAAGGCACGAAAGCCCGACATGCCACAGAGAAATTCACTGCCGCCGACGGCCAGATCCCTACGTGTGTGTCCGTTCAGAGCTGGGTGAAAATATCTGATGAAGTCTCTCGCGCCAATTCTGGCCTCCCCATTCTATCGCGAGAGCGAGCTTGACCATGCGAGATTTAGGTTCCGGTCACCTCGGTCAGCGCGCTCTACACGTACATATAAGTGAAGGTAGATCATAATTGTGCATCAGGTTTGAATAACGGAACAGGTGAAGGAAAAAAAACTTATACCTACATAACACCTTCAGAAGCCGCGTCCTGGGGGGGTTGGGCCACAGTTGGCCCGTTTGAACCTACACGATATATGCTGCTTTACAAGACCACCCCCCTCCCCGTATGCGTATGTAGACATTACCTTGATGATTACACGCCACCGAGAGGAGCCACACACTGGCGAGGGCCCCCCTGGCGATAAGTCGTGGTACAGCGTACCCATGGCCGCCAAAAACGAGACCCCATACCATCTGGAAGTGCCTGCGTACCGTCCCGGGTTGTGTGTACATCCTACATACATACATACTATTCGTGCGTGTGCCCACTGTGCCCAGTGCGTCGTCCATGTGTGTGCGTCCAAGTGTATGCCATGTAGTGTGTGTCCCTTGTATGCGTGTGTATGTAGGTACATGCGTACCCGGAGCAGAGTATTGCTGCAAGGAAAACAGCAGAGTGGAGTGGGAGAGTGGGAGAGGAGGAGTTGGACTGGGAAGGGGGGGGGGGGGGACGGTTGAAAATACAGAGGGAGAGAGGCGAGGAAGAGAGGGAGGGAGAGGAGGAAGAAGAAAAAAAAAGATAACTGGGTGTTCTGACCTAGGCCATCACCACATACACGCCCCCCCTTCCCTCTCCCCCCTTCGTCTTTTTTTTTTCTCTCCTCCCCCCCCCCCCGCCGCCCGACCAACCTCGCCAGCCTACTATTTCGCTATCCTTATCCACTATTCATCCTTCCCCCTCCACCTACCCCCGGCTCAACCACGCACCCTAGTAGGCGCACCACCACCCGGACCCGTCTGGTGCTAGCGGCTGCTACTGATCCCTACCCAGTCTACGTCCCATCCCAAAAAGCAGCAGCATCTTTTGCCTGCCCAAGTACCCCGGTATCCAGGTATCCAGGTACCGGCCTGCCTCCATCCTGCGCCCGCCCCGTAGTACATAGTACCTCACTACTTAGCGTCTAGTTCCGTCTGCATGTCTGTGTCCCGTCTCTTCTGACTTTGACCTCTCTCAACTTTCGTACCTCCGCTATCTACCTTTCCTGCCTCCTCACGACCACCACAAGAGGATAACCTTTAGGGCTTTTCTTGTCCCTTTTCCCCTCCATTTTCCTCCTCTTCTCTCGTCCGGTGCCAATCCGAGCTCCTTCATTTCATCCCATCAAGGCCATTGAGGTCCGGAGAGAAGGTATGTGTTCGTCCCTCTTCCCAATTCCTACTTGCGCAAACTCTACCTACCCACCTCCCCCTTCTTCTCGTCTCTCATTCCACCGTGCGCATCTGGGACCTGATGTTCCTGCATTAGAGTTCAGAGAGAGAAAGATAGTCTCACTTTGAAGAGGGAGAAAGACGCAGGAGGAGGGAGAGGAGCTAGCTGGCCAGAAGATTGCTGCATTTCTGTGGTGCATCTGCGTGTGCGTGTGGTGTATACATGCCCGAGTGTGTGCGTTCGTGCGAGAGACTTCACCCTATTCCAAACGACCAGCGACGACGACGATATCGTGCCGCCACCGCTCTTTTTTTGTTTTTCCTTCTCTTCGTGCCTCTCCTTTCCAAGACATGAACGACGACGGCACCATCACCCGACACCCGCGATCTCCGTCCGTTGATTGCCTCATCCTTAAAATATCGTTTCCGAGCCTGACCTGTTCTTTTTTAGACCGCGCGAGTACGATACGAACGCCGGATTTTTTCAGACCTTCGTTACGACCCGTCACGATTACGCTGTTTGAGAGGACTTTTTTCGTCAAAGCCATCATTCCCTGTACCGCTTTCTCGCCTCCGGTGTAGATCTCGCTACCTGTCGAACCCCCCCCCCCCCTCCCCCTTACGCGTTCAGGAACTAGGCCAGAGACGAAGCTCGTCCTATTCTTAGTGATCGACTTGCCGATAAAGTCAATTGGCCATATCTTTGCGCTCTAGCGTGGTTCGTCGCTTCTTGCTGCGAGTTCTTGGGGTCTAATTGCTCGGTGTGTGGGTCGCGTCTGGTCGACTTGTGTTTGAGCTTGCATCATCCAGCCCATCGTGGCTCTGCCATCAAGTGCCGTAAAGCTGGATCTACCGCCGATTTCCCAGCCGCAAACCCGGGGAACGTCCGACATATCGCCATACTACGGTGCCTCCATCGTACAGCGCCCGCCGTATATAAGTGAGAGGTTGCCTTCACTCCCCTTACCGCAGCCTCCATTGGCGTACGCCTCGAGCACATCGTCTCCCCGGGTTAGTTCCATCGCGTCTTCGGCGAGCTCGAACGGAGACTCGCAGTCGTCATTTACATCCGCTCCGTCTTCAAACGGCCCCAAAACCCCGTCTCCTAATCTTCAAGTCACAACGGCGATATCCGGCCCCCACTCCCACCCCATTGGCGGGTACGATCACTATTCTGCAATGAATCCAGCACCTCCAGACATGTACTATCCACCGCAGCACATGTCTGCAGGTCCGGCGCCGCAGACGCAGCCTGTAACGTCGAATGCGTTGCCCCAATATGCCCACCAGCAGCCCACATTGTTACAGCCAGGTCCTGCGCAGTATCCTCCCCCATACCAATACGGGTACGCGAATGGGTTGACATCCCCCCAATCTGCGCCGCCAGCCGTAACTGGCTCTATGGGCGCTCAGAATGTCCTGCCTCTCCCCGGAGTCTCGAACCAGGGAGGTATACAGAATCAATACCAAGGGTTCGACACTACAGGTCAAATTGCCCCACCCGGAATGAAGCCGCGGGTTACTGCCACCCTGTGGGAAGACGAGGGAAGCCTCTGCTTCCAGGTTGAGGCCAGGGGTATCTGTGTGGCCCGTCGTGAAGGTAGGAGTTCAGCAACAACACGCCCCCCCAACATGCTCCTTTAGCTTACCACCGAGTCCGCAGACAACCACATGATCAACGGGACAAAGCTACTTAACGTAGCCGGGATGACCCGCGGCAGGCGGGATGGTATCCTGAAAAGTGAAAAGGTGCGCCACGTAGTCAAGATCGGGCCAATGCATCTCAAGGGGGTGTGGTGAGTTGAAATCTAAACATACATGTTCGGAGCAACCTTGTTAATATCGAAATTTTCAGGATTCCCTTTGAGAGAGCACTTGATTTTGCCAATAAAGAGAAGATCACGGAGCTCCTGTATCCTCTCTTCGTCCATAACATCGGCGCACTACTGTACCACCCTACCAACCAGAACCGGACCAATCAGGTCATGGCTGCTGCGGAACGCCGGAAGCAGGAGCAAAATCAGATGCGGAATGGCCCTGGCCCAGCGCCCCCGGGCGGTGTACTGCCCTCGATACAGCAGCACCACCACCACATGGGTCTACCTGGCCCCCAGCCATCGCTCCCGTCACATAACAGTGCCGGGCGGCCGTCGCTTGACAGGGCCCACACGTTCCCGACGCCGCCTACCAGTGCCTCAAGTGTTATAGGGGGTATGGGGGCGTCAGATAGCTTCCAATGGGGCCAGCAAGGGATGAGCGGTGGTCAGGGCGCCAATCCCATGTCCATCGACACAGGTCTCAGCAACGCTGCGCGCTCAATGCCTGCTACGCCGGCGACTACTCCTCCCGGGAACTCGCTGCAGAGTATGCAGCCCTACTCGCAGGGTAGTCAGCCTTATGACAGCTCTCGAGGTGTCTACAATGGCCAAGCGGCTCAGCAGTCGCCCTACCCTCCCTCAAATAATAGTCCGCAAGAGAGGAGTCTCTATAGCCAGAGCGGATCGTACATGAAGAGCGAGATGGGTCCTCCGTCCGGACGTCCCGCGGGTTCTGGACCGAGCGAGTCAAACGACGTCAAGCCACCAAACGGCTTGTTGCAACATGGGGATGGCGTATCCCATCCGTCCGGAGAGGACGAGGCCGAGCACGAGGCCGAATATACCCACGACAGCGGAGGTTATGATACTAACAGAACAGCATACAATTATAACGCCCCGCCCGTCGCTACATTACCTGGCGAGCATCAGCACATGCCAGAAATGACGGGATCTCCCAGCCATCAGGCAGGGTCTGGCCGCGCGACTCCTAGAACGGCTGCGCCTCCCCAACCCTACTACACACAACAAGCTGGGTACAGCACACCGCCACGGGTGGTGCCGCCGTCTAGTAGCCTGTATAATGTAATGAGTGGCGACCGAACATCCACCAATGGCGCACCGGCGACGGATGTGTATAGCTCACAAGCTGACATGGGCGGCCCCATGCAAAATGGTTACGCCCCCCAACCCGTCATGAATGGTGCGCCGGGTTCCTTGAAGCGGGGTCGCGACGACGAAGACGACCTCCCCCGTCCTTCGAGCGGCAGTTTAGACCTGAAGCGTCGAAAAACCGTAATGGATGGCCCCATCTCTGCTTCCGGCTACGATGCGATGAGCCGCCCTACTTCCGCAGTGGCCCGCCGACGATAACGTCGAACTAGGCGGCCGTTCGATGCTATAGCAGTGTCCTTCTCACATTAATTCTGGCGTTGTGGCACCGTGCGAAAATTGGTCCATCAGGTCGAATCATTTTCGCGCGTAGAACACAACGCTAACCACGAAAATACGCCCCTTGCCATTCCCTTCGGACTCCCTTGTATTCTCTGCGGCGATTCATCATCGGCATGTTTGGGCCACTCCAGAAGACACGATGACGAAAATTACGACTTCGTTCTTGATTGTTGTTAACTGCCGCTTACGGCTGTGTAAATGCTTCACGAATTGACGCGTTGCATGGTGGACCTTAATTCTCCTCAGATGAGATTATCATCGATTTTGTTTCTCTTTCCAAAATTTTTTATTTTTCACTTGAGACGCTGAGGACAACGAGATACTCGACCAACGCAGAAGCCGCCGCCTATCATGACTCCTAGGCGGGTAACGTTCACGACCAAGGCTGCTTTTTGCTTTGCTTTGTTCATCACATCCATCAGTCTCTTTAGAGAACACGAGGCTGGTGGCACAACTTTTCCTATTGACGACATGATAACGACCCAATTTTTTCTTCACCAAAAGGAAGTGGTGTCACTGGGCGTACGTTGGAAATGCGTTCTGGGATCAATGGTCATGAACTTGATGGAATTAAAAGCTATTTGCTTGATACACAGCGAACTTAGATCCTAAGCTACATACAACCGTCCCAGCCAATGGTATCACATATTGAGCTGTAAGAACATAAGCAGAAAGCCGTGACCGTCCATCGCCTCGCCCGGCCCCTGTTACCACACCCCGGCGCCTTTGTCAGACGTGCCGAGTCGGGCTGGACAATTCATAGTGGCACAGTTAAACTTTAGGTCGCGATATGGTGTCTATACCATGTGTGCTCTGGGAGCGATTAGTCTGGTTACTCGCACCCTTCATCGAGGCCTAGTTCGATGATGCTCCTCGTACTCGTACCCAGTCCCGTACAACATAGTAGTTCCTCGTCGATTCAGGTCTCTGCTCCGCCCATCCACCATCCTCTTCCCACGTCGTACGGATGGAAGGTCGACCCCCCAACCTTGGTGAAACCGCTCACCGTCTAGCATCTCTCACCAAGACGCTGTCGTGGTGATTCAGAAAAGAAAAGCCAGCCCTACGTAACGTGAGGCCGTGAAGCTACGGTCCCAGTGCCATTGGTGGGGGGAACAGGAAGGGGAAGAAGGGGGAGGGGAAGGGGAAGGAGGAGGGGGGCCTTCAGCAGTAGACGAGGCCGGAGGCATCGAACTGGGCTTTTCAGTTGAGGGTAGCGTGTCTGTCGCACCACGACGCCGCAACCCGATTTTGGTGTATCACCTACATACATAGCAAGTATGTAGGCAATCCGGGATCACGATGGAGGAGGCGCAGATGACTCCCTCCTCTTTGCCCTTCCTATGGGCAGGCGCAAGCTTGCCATCGTGTTTTCCTACTCCCCCCGGCCGAAAGATAGAAATCTCCCTAGGGGTGACGCGAGCTTGGAGCCAGGGTGCGACGCCGACGTAGTACGTATAGGGATATGTCCCATAATACTTTGGGGCCGTGGCGGTCTCTGGCTATTTTGCCCGAACATCGTATCACACGGTTATCTAGTGCCGTCTTTAATCGCAAAACGCTACCTACCTCTTTCACCAAGTGTTGGGCCGCTTAGTCGGCACTGCTCCCCAGGGCCAATAGATTATAGATGATGTCCGATTACAATGCAACAGCATGCCAACACACAGACACACGGACATACAACCCCCCTTCCCACCCCCGGGGAGAGAAACCTTACCACCTCCCACGCTCCTAGATTCGGTGAGGCACCCTTATAGCATACGACCGTAACTCGTCCGGGCCCTCTCCAAACGAGCTTAAACAACCGGGCCATCGTCGTGCCTCACCTCCGACGGTTGGCCAAGGATTACGTCGACATGATTTGACGCCGCTGACGTTGGCATCCAGGGCTTAAAGGAGGGGGGATGGGGGGATTTTGAGTACCAAAGTTTTGTGCGTCTTCCTAACCAACCGGTTGCCTTGAGCTTAGCGAGCCAAAGATAGCCGCTCTCCCCCCCCGCACAAGAAAGCCGCGGTAAAAGATAATCGCTACGAAATCGCTACGAGCGAAGCGAGTTCTATTCGGGAGAGACAGGAAGATCTGTTGGAATATATAGTAGCTATCGGTGTCCAACTCGTCAGCAGCGGATGACAATGCTGCCTCCTAGATACGGCGTGTCCTTTCTATGTGTGTGTACTTGACAAACGACGCCGGCAGCCTCGTCTGCCCTCCACACCGTCGTGAGCATACGCATGCAATCATACATACACATCACCCACGGCATGTTCCGTACACACTTATAGATAGATATGGGTTTCGCTCGTTCCAGGGGACAGCGCGCCGCATCATGAATGGCCCATGCTTGACCGCCTTAGTTCCTTCGGTTACTTGAAGGGGTATGGGAGCTACGAGAAGCCTAGCTGAATGTTCGTGCCACCCGGCCCGTGATGTTGTCTCGCGCGTACAGGCGGGCACATTGATAAATAGGCAAACACCGGGATCCTGCCCGTGCCCGGACTTTGAGGTAATATAATCGTCTGGAAGCTCCTTATTTCGGATACGGTTGATATACCGATGGCATTTACTGACCTACGTTCAAGTTATGTATTGGTGAGATAAGAAAGTCGCCGAGGTTCGACGGCCTTTCAGCCACCGCTCTACTAAGCAAGCTGGACTGGCCAAAGGCTGAGGTGACCTCAACTCGCGAAGCTTACGCAACCCTCTCAACCTTGGTTCCCGGTTCTAGAAGCTGAACTCGCGGTGAACATGCGTGCCCTAAGCTTGCTGATACTTCGGACAACGACACGAATGGAATTGGCGACCTTCGTGAAAGCCGTCTGTTCACCGAGAAATGCCCCAAGCAGGTGAATTGGGGTGCTACGTAGGGCGGAAGAGGCGCTGAGCATGTCTGTAGAGAAGTACGGCGAACTTGAATTCCCGGCCTGGCATTGAAAGGGGCCGCCTCCGAAGAGAATGAGGCGACTGACTATCTTTGGGCTGAGCAGCCATCAGGCAAAGCTTTGCCTGTTAGCACGGTCCAGGCCGGTGCCAGACCCGTGGCACGAAGGCAGCGGGATTTATGCCAAACAAATCAGAATAGATCTAGACAGTGCCCGGGCATTACCATGAATCAGCAAAATAAAAAATACGGAATCCTTTCCGCATAGGCTCGGGAGGGGTAGCAATGGGTATCAATTAAGAAGCGGCTGACAGTTCTATGCCGCAAACGAGGCCCCTAAAAACCATAGCTTCGGAGTAAACGCCGTCGTGTTGGCGCGTCGAGACGTCGGAATCACCACAACGTTCGCCTTTGCACTAGCAAGGTGCGCCCATCCGACCGCCCTCAGTCCTGCTTCCAGCCACGACCAGATAATGGAACGCGCTGCGGTGTGGTGAGGGTACTTGTTCGGGACAACCTATACCCGAAGGTTCCAAGTTCGATCGTCCCAGTTCCCTGCAAGCACCTTACTCAGCGCCTTCGTCCTCGTCCTCGTCGCTAGTAGTCTCGATGTTCGCCTTCTTGGCCTTCTTCTCCTTGTCCGCCGTGGCCTTCGCGGGGGCGTCGGACGTGCTGGCGGCGGGCGCGTCCGGAGCGCCTGGCACGTCGTGCCCCTTGTCCCGCAGTTCGGCGTTGATCGAGGGGATCGCCTCGAGTAGTTTGTGGTATTGCTCGATGGTCAGCGTGATGCCCTGCGGCCGCGTATATATGGGTTAGCCGGCGAAGACGCAAAGCTCGAGATCCCGGGCGGGAACGCCTCACCTTCTTTCCGGGCTTCAGGCTGCCGGAGCTGCTGTCCGAATAGTACTCGCGTAGGTTGACAAACACCTTGCCCTTGAAGTTGCTGATGGTTGCCCTGCGGGTGCCTCCCAGCTGCAGAGAAGGGCGTGTCAGCGGAGAGCAGGCGCGTGATCTGGGTAGAGGGTGGTCTGGTAACGTACAGCCCAGAAAGGGTTTCCATCGTCATCTTTGCCAGATTCGGCATCTCCCTTCTTCACCTTCTTGCTCGACTTGCTAGTCGACTTGACCTCCGCGTCGCTCTCTACGCCCTCGTCGTCGTCGCGTCGCGACCGTTTGAGGCCCTTGGTCCGACCCATCTCGATGATTAGGCTGATTGTGCGCCGTGGTAAAGACCCAATTCCTGGTATAAGGAGCGAGGAAGTGGTTGAAGGCAGTAGATGAAATGTTTAAATTTTAACTACCTATGGAATGTTGGACGTGGGGTTCGATTCGTCGCGTCCGAGGCTTCGGAGACGCGCCTTATGATGGTTGCGTAAATTGATTCACATATCCGATATTAGATTAAATTATAGAGGCCCGCACAGGTGTAGAGAGGTACATACGTATGTATAGGCCAGGTATGTAATTTATGTACGTCCCCACTGTTTCCGCACATTATATGCATCTGGTACCTGTTTAATTGACGAGAGAGTAGCTGCGAGTAGGTATTGGTACTCATATGTACTAAGCTCCTGGTGGATAATTTTGGAAACAGGTTAGGTAATAGGATAGGTAGCTGTTGGCATCTCCAGGGGGGCACACCGTCAGGTTAAGTTGGCCATCATCACCAAACCCACAAGTGCTCCCAGCCCATGCCACTACAAAGCATTCCCTGTCCACGTTGAGATATACCATTCGTTTCTGTCTTCCGGTCTTTACGATTTTACATATGCATTTGCGCCGCTGCTGCTGCCGTCGCCACTGCCGCGTTCCGACCCCTCGAATAGATGATGCCATGTGCTCGCTATCTGCCCTAAGTCTCGAGTAGCCTTCAATTTCGATCTAGCAGTTCCTCGATGAATACCACGAACGATGTCCTGCCCGGCGCCTCTCCCGCCGTGTCGCAAGACGAGACGAGGACCGACTCCGACTCCAACGACGTAACGACGAGACCCCGTCAAAGCCCCCAAACCTCTCCGACAGGTCCGAAGACACCGGAGCTACCTGCGTCTCCAGCCAGTCAGCAAGAGGATGTCGTCACCAAGCTGCTGAGGTTCCTCTCTACTGCTACACCCGCAACGCTGGGCGGCGTCGCAATCGGGCTTTCCGCTGTAACATATTTCATCCTTGGCCAGATTGGACTCTTGTTGATTGGTGCCGTTGCCGGCATTGCACTGTTTGCATCGTGGGAATCGCGGCATCCCCAATTGTCTCGGGCCATTCGAGTTGAAAGGACCGAACAGCTGCTGGATCGTATCTTGGGAGATACGCGTGCCAATAGGCGCCCCGAGCTTGATCAAGATGGCGAGAAGGATGCGCAGATGCTAGTACAGAGCTTGGATGACTTCCGGCCCGAGACGCGACAGGCGCTCGCTGCTCTTGTCGATGCGATCATCCGCGACTACGTGGATTGGTGGTATGGTCCCATCGTGCCATCCGACCGGTCCTTCCCCCTCTCTTGCAGAAAGGTGCTGGTAAACTTCCTACTAGGCGTCTCTAATCACCTGAGTCGCAAGCGGCCTGCCGATGTCTTCGTCGATTTCCTTACCCACGCCTGTTCCATCATCATCGTGTTCCTGTCCGAGATGGAATCCGCCTACTCCGAGCTCCCATCGGTTACCAACCTTACCGCGGCGGATGCTGTATACAATTATCTCGCCTCGAATACCGACGCCCCATTGGCAAACTTGCTCAATCAGAAGCAGCAGGCGGGCAAGTTCAAGATCGTAGCCGAAGACCTGCTTAGTTTCCTGGACAGGTCCGCGTATGACTGTGACCCTGCTAGGGTCTTCTTGAGGGAGGTTCTCGCAACAATTATTCTCGAGGGCACCTTGCAGTCGTGCTCCAAGGCGGAGTGGATCAATGCTTGGATCGTGTATCTCCTAGAGTCTGGAGAGACAGATTTTTCGCAAGCTATCGACGAAGCCATTCAAGACCAAAAGGCATTTGTTGACATCGACGGAAACGTCGGGAATATTGGCCTTTCTAGGGGCAATCGGAACTCATACGACATGGACCGCGCACGCCGCAAAGAAGCGATACACAAGAAGCAGTTATCTAAAGCTGATCAGGAGACGGAGAGGGCCGTGCTGGAGATGAGGAAAATGAACCAAATGATCGCCGAAGCTGATAAGGGCCCAGTCACACAAAATGGTGGCCATACAGAAGAGGCCTCGGGCCTTTTGAATGGTGCCCTCGACAAGAACACCGGGGACCTTGCTTTAAAAATGGGCGATACATCGAGCGTGACCTCCCCAAGAAACACAAAGGTCCCCGATTCAGATGCTAGAGCCACATCGAATGAGGCACAGGTTAATAAGGCCCAATATAAACAGGAGACGCTTCAGTCCCCCATCTCCCTGCGATCAGCAACAGATGCATCCAGCCACAATTCGTCACCCTCCAGCGGGTTAGACGGACGACGGTCATCTCATCGGTTTACAAGCTTCGACCAGTTGGTTCCACCAGCACGAGAAGAGGCCGATGAAGGAGACGAACCACATGATCCCCCACCGCTCACACTATACAACGCTACTATCAGTATTCATGATGACGCGAGCGATAAAGGTCGCTTGCGTAGCAAGCCTACCTTGGAATATCTCCTCCAGATCGAGCCTGCGAATACCCATTACCCGGGGTGGATGGTAATGAAGACATATGTTCAGTTCGAGGGCCTCCACGAGAGCCTACGGCGGATTGCGGCAGTATCCGGTTCAACGGCGTTTCTTGAAGCCTTTGCTGTCTTCCCGAGTTGGAAGTTGCACACGGGGCCGTCCTTACGCGGTGAGATTGAGAGATACATGCGGACTGCTTGCTCCGAAAAGCCCCTGGCCGACTCGGAAGCCTTCAAACGGTTCCTCGATAAAGGCCAGGAAACGCGAATTTCCCCTAACAGAGGGTTCTCCTTCGAATCTGTTGGAAAGGGCGTCCTTGACGTCCTCCAAAACGCGCCCAAGGGTGCTCTAGACGGTGGAAAGGTCGTAGTCGGCGGCGTTACTGGCGTTTTTGGCAATATTGGGTTGGGACCGAGAAAATCTACCATCTCATCTGTGAGCGAGCAGCAAGCGAAGGATCCGCGCAACACCCAAAGCCCCGGAAGCACACGGCCGCTATCTCTGTCATCTCTTCCGAGGGTGGACAGCACCCCGCTAGGATCGATGAAATCTAGGGATAGCCTGGACAGCCAGAGGTCATCCGTAGTTTCGGTCCAGCCAGGCAAAATAGCACCTATGGAACGGCGTCCAAGTTCCCAAGTAGACGTGGACCAGGAAAGCCTTCATCCAGCGAGGGCTGACCGCTGGGAGCGGAACTCGATAAGCGCAACGAGCAGCAGGGTACATAGCCGCGCTTCGAGTGCGGTTGCATTGCGGTCCCCTGTGCGGTCTCCATCCGAACTGAGCTTCACTAATATCAAGCTACCGCCCCCGCCAGACGAGATCCCTGACGATTACGGCTCTCCAACGAGCACGCACCACAGTGTCGACGGCGCCTCGCGACTGTCTGCTCCCAACGGGACGTCACCAACTCGATCGTCAAGCTCAGGCCGGCAAGAAAAACCGTCGCAGGCACGTGACACCGTCAAGAGAGCGAGCAAACAACACGCCCCACTTTCGGAACAGGAAGCCCGCGTAGCAGTCGAGCTTCTCTTTGCTGTGGTTAATGAGCTCTACACGCTGTCCTCCGCCTGGAACATCAGAAAGACGCTCTTGACGGCTGCCAAGTCGTTTCTTCTGCGGCCAGGCAACCCGTCACTGTTGTCCATTCGGACCCTGATCCAGGAGTCGGTTCTTGAGACAAACACATCGGATGCCAGCATTGCTGCGCATCTCCGCAAAGTGAGAGAGAACTCGCTCCCCACCGAGGAAGAGCGGAGAGCGTGGCCTCGGGAGTTGACTACGGAAGAGAAAGAGGAGCTGAGAGTCAAGGCGAGGAAGCTTTTCATACAAAGCGGCGTCCCGGCCGCGCTGATGGGGATCATGGGCCAGTCGGCCACAAGCGAGGCCCTGGGGCGGGTTTTCGACTGCCTCCAGATCGAGGAGGTTGCCAGGGGGCTCTTCTTCGGGATCATGCTGCAAGCGGTGCGAGTCGTCACACACTAAAACCAAATCATCGAGGCGCTCTCGACAATGACAAAACGGAACTGGGACATGCGATCAGAATTGGGCTGGGGAGTCTCCAGCAAAATATTGGTATGACGGGCTTTTTTTTAAAAAATGCGACGCCGGATATAATGTTCTCTTACGCCCACGATAGGCGTCGATCTTTTTTTTTTTTTTAATGGTCTTATGATAACGGCTGTCGGGGCGTGTATGAGTATATATGTATACGGAATAGCTGTACGATGACAACGAGATGTTTAATAACGGACCAGCTAGAGCTCTGATTCACGTGAAGAAGAGAGCCTCACCGAAGACTACGCGGAACAGACAGTCGAGGGTCAGATAGATATATAGTATATATAATATATGGAGAGAACACAGCCTCCGAGGAGAAGAGGACGGAGGGACAGAGATACCCTACATCTGGAGGAAAGGAAGCATTACGTAGGTACGTAGCAGTCGATCATCTCAAACCCCGATCCACTGACGTGCTAACCTACTCTTGCAGACCTTAGAAGCTGCTTTGGGGCCGTGATAAGGAGACACCCCACTAAGCCATGGCTTCAGCCCTCGCGCCGATGCCCCGAGCTCGGTGCGGGGTAGGATTGAGTGGGATGTGGCCGCCGCGGGTACAGCCGGGGGGGGAAAAGGGGGAAAGGGGGGGTTATTTTTATAAACGGGGTGTCCGGCTGTACACGTAGGTGGGGGTCGAAGGGCGTAGCGTTTTGCGGTGGGTACCTACGTACCGAGTGGTGTCGACCTCGCAAGAGACGGCCGTTACCAAGTAACAAGTGACTAACAACGGTGGCGACATCGGCAGTCGACACGACCCGAGAGGAGGACGCCTCAAGGCTAGCCCTAGATGACGCATAACCGGCCCGGAAAGAACACGGGCTTATCGCTCTCGGACCCTTATAACTGTCCTTCTCCCCCGACCGCTACCTCGTGACGCGCGCATGCGACGGATTCGTCCCGAGCCGACTCGAGTGCAACACTTATCCGACGTTGCGTGCCCTGCATATATATAGGCGAGCCGGGCACTCGGTGGTATATACTATATTCCCCGCTGTACACGGGGTTGCTTGAACGCGCCAACCCCACGCTCCTCATCCCAGTTACTCCCCCCCCACCCTTCTCCCCCGTTACCCGCTTACACCCCCCCAACTCCCCCCGCCGGGACCAAGGCGTGTTGCGACCACCCGGCACAAGGAGCAGCAAGATGGGCGCTGCCGGCCGCAAGGACCGCGGCATCCGCATCGCCATCGACCGCGGCGGCACCTTCACCGACTGCGTCGGGACGCTGGGCGGCCGGGACGTGGTCATCAAGCTGCTGTCGGAGGACCCGGCCAACTACGCGGACGCGCCGCTCGAGGGCATCCGGCGCATCGTGGGCCACTTCGAGGGCCGCGACGTCCCGCGGGGCGAGGCGCTCGACACGTCGCGGATCGACGGCATCCGCATGGGCACCACGGTCGCGACCAACGCGCTGCTCGAGCGCAAGGGCGAGCGCATGGCGCTCGTCGTCACCCGCGGCTTCCGCGACTGCCTCGTCATCGGCAACCAGAGCCGGCCCCGCATCTTCGACCTCGCCATCAGGAAGCCCGACGTCCTGTACGAGGCCGTCGTCGAGGTCGACGAGAGGGTGACCCTCGAGGACTACGCCGAGGACCCCGAGCGGCGGACCACCGACGCCGCCGCGAGGGCCGGCACCGCCGACGCCGCCCGAGCCGACCTCGTCACCGGCCTCTCCGGCGAGACGGTACGCGTCCTGCGCCGGCCCGAAGAAAGCCAGATCCGCAAGGACCTACAGCGCGTGTTCGATAGGGGCATCAAGAGCATCGCCGTATGCCTGATGCACGGCTACACCTTCCCGGACCACGAGGCGCTGGTCGGCACCATCGCCAAGGAGATCGGCTTCGATCACATCTCGCTCAGCCACGAGCTCATGCCCATGATCAAGCTGGTGCCGCGGGCGACGAGCGTCTGCGCCGACGCGTATCTGACACCGACGATCAAGAAATACATCACCGGGTTCCAGAAGGGGTTCGCCGGCGGCCTGGGCACGCGCAGCGTCATCCGGGAGGGAGGCAGCCGGGGAGCGCGGTGCGAGTTCATGCAAAGCGACGGTGGGCTGGTCGACGTGGAGAAGTTCACCGGCTTGAAGGCCATCCTATCCGGGCCGGCAGGCGGCGTGGTCGGCTACGCTATCACAAGCTACGACGAGGAGGCCAAGATCCCCGTCATCGGCTTTGATATGGGCGGCACTAGTACCGATGTCTCGCGGTACGGGGAGGGACGGTATGAGCACGTCTTCGAGACCACGACGGCCGGAGTCACCGTCCAATCGCCCCAGCTCGACATAAATACCGTGGCTGCTGGGGGCGGTAGTAGACTCTTCTTTAAAAACGGCCTATTTGTCGTTGGACCCGAGTCGGTCGGTGCCCACCCGGGCCCCGCCTGTTACCGCAAGGGCGGGCCCGCGGCGGTAACGGACGCAAACTTATTCCTCGGCCGTCTCCTGCCCGAGTTCTTTCCGAAGATCTTCGGCAAGAACGAGAACGAGGGCCTAGACTTTGAAGCGAGTCGGAAGGTTATCCAGGATCTCGCAGACCAAGTCAACAAGGAGACTGGCAAAAACATGAGCTTGGATGAGGTAGCGTATGGCTTTCTTACGATAGCTAACGAGGCCATGACAAGGCCGATCCGGTCCATCACCGAAGCAAAAGGTCACGATTCCTCAAAACACCGGCTGGCCACGTTCGGTGGCGCCGGCGGACAGCATGCGGTCGCCATCGCGGAGGCTCTGGGCATCAAACAGATACTTATCCACAAGTATTCCTCCGTACTGTCTGCCTACGGCATGGCCTTAGCAGACGTAGTCGACGAAAGACAAGAGCCGGAATCGAAGGTGTGGCAAGATGGGGGCGAGGCAGTCAAGGAGCTCAAGGCCAAGATGGAGAGGTTAAAGGAGACATCGCGCGCAACCCTTCGGGGCCAAGGATTCGAAGATAGCGATATCGTCTTCGAGGAGTACCTCAACATGAGATACCGCGGGACAGAGTCGGCCCTCATGATCGTCAAGCCGAGCGAGGAGGATGCAAAGGCGTCCGACGGCGACGGAGATTGGGCGTTCGGTAAAGCGTTCGTAGCTCGCCACCGCTACGAGTTTGGATTCACTCTAGACGATAGAGACATTATCGTAGACGACGTAAGAGTCCGTGGTATCGGCAAGAGCTTCCGGTATCAGGATAAGACCGTAGACCAGCAGTTGAAGGAAGTGAAACGCCAAGCCGTCGACGACAAGAAGGTATTCGGCAAATCCCAAGTCTATTTTGAGGGCGGGAGAGCGGATACGCCGATCTATAAGCTCGAAGACTTGTCGGTTGGCGACGAGATCAACGGACCAGCCATGCTCGCAGATGGCACACAGACCATCGTCGTGACTCCAAGGGCAAAGGCCCTTATTCTCGAGACGCACGTTATTATCGATCTGGAGAGTAATAATAAGGACGAGTAAGTACTTTTCTTGTTCATCTTGTTCACCCGAAGAGTTCTGGTGACATTGAACCGTCCGTCCGTCACTAACACGCAGCCAGCTCCCATAAAAAGGATTCGTCGGAACGCGAGGTGGATCCTATCATGCTGAGCATCTTCGGCCATCGTTTCATGGCCATTGCCGAGCACATGGGCATGGCCCTCCAGAAGACGAGCGTCAGCACGAATGTCAAGGAACGCCTCGACTTCTCCTGCGCCATATTCGACGCTACTGGAGGGCTAGTTGCGAACGCGCCTCACTTGCCCATCCACCTCGGATCCATGTCGACATGCGTCAAGACGCAGGCCAAGATCTGGGAGGGCAAGCTGAAGAAGGGAGACGTGATCATCTCAAACCACCCGTCGTACGGGGGCACGCACCTGCCGGACATCACGCTCGTCATGCCCGCGTTCAACGAGAAGGGAGACGAGATCCTGTTCTACGCGGCATCGCGCGCACACCACGCAGACATCGGCGGCATCACGGCGGGTAGCATGCCGCCGCATTCGCGGGAACTGTTCCAGGAGGGCGCCTCGATCAAGAGCGAGAAAATTGTCAGCGAGGGCAAATTCAATGAGGAGAGAATTATAGAGCTGCTCTACAAAGAGCCTGCACAGTACCCGGGAAGCAGCGGCACCCGGTGCCTGGCGGATAACCTCAACGATCTCCGAGCCCAGGTCTCCGCGAACCAAAAAGGTATCTCCCTCATAGAGGGTTTGATACATGAGTATGGCGAGGATACGGTGCAATTCTACATGGTGAACATACAGAAGAACGCAGAACTCTGCGTCCGACGGCTGCTCAAGCAAGTCTACGCGAGGTTCGAAGGAAAGGACCTCTCGGCGGTTGATCACATGGACGACGGGACGCCAATCCGGCTGCGCGTCACTATCGACCCGGAGAAGGGCGAAGCAGACTTCGACTTCGACGGTACGGGGCCTCAAGTCTACGGCAATACCAATGCGCCGGAGGCTATTACCTTTAGCGCCATCATATATTGCTTGCGCTGCCTGATCTCGGAAGACATACCTCTCAACCAGGGCTGTCTGAAGCCTATCAATGTGAAAATCCCACCTAGATCGCTTCTGTCGCCGGCGACGGGCGCCGCGGTGGTTGGGGGCAACGTGTTGACCAGCCAGCGAGTCACGGATGTCATCTTCAAGGCCTTTCAGGCATGTGCCGCGAGTCAGGGGGACTGCAATAACCTGACGTTCGGCTTCGGTGGTAACGTCTCGGGCGAAGCGGAGGTCAAAGGCTTCGGCTACTACGAGACGATCGCCGGCGGTAGCGGCGCGGGGCCCGACTGGGAAGGCACCAGTGGCGTGCACACACATATGACCAACACGCGCATCACGGACTCGGAAGTGTTCGAACGGCGATATCCCGTCATCTTGCGCCAGTTCTCCATCCGCACGGGCTCCGGTGGCAAGGGGCAACACCGGGGCGGCGACGGCGTTGTCCGCGACATCGAGTTCCGCATACCCCTGCAAGTGTCGATCCTCAGCGAGCGCCGCGTCTACCGGCCGTACGGCATAGCCGGCGGCGAGGACGCCGAGTGCGGGCTCAATATCTGGGTGCGCCGCGTGCCGAAGACGGGCCCCGAGGCGGACTTGGCGCCGCTAGGTGACCAGCGGCAAGAAAAAGGAGGCAATGATGACGCCGTCGAGTACGAGGAGCGGTACATCAACTTGGGCGCCAAGAATAGCGCGCCTATGAAGCCTGGCGATCGCATTATCATCAACACGCCCGGTGGAGGGGGCTGGGGTAAGGCTGGAGATGAGAAGGTAGAGAGGGATCGGAGGGATCACACCGAGGCTTGGAGGAAGGGCAGTCATGCGGCTAGACAGGATGCCGCGCTGCAGGTGTAGGGCACTGTACGTAAAGGGGGTTTGGCTTAAGGCCATCCGCTCGCATGTGAAGGGGAAAAGGGGGGCTAAGGGGTGGTTGAGTTCAATTTCCACCGCACAGGACACTGTAAACCCCCGAGTCCCAGTCCATGCTTACATGTTGACGGTTATAACGCGTAATTAGTGTCGTAACCCGCTGGCCTGATGCGGCCCTTCTTGTATGACCTTAGAATAACACTGCCGCGTGAGACTGGGGGCGGCCTTGCGTAAGGTTTTTCTAGTAGGACTCAGCCTGAAACGCCTCCGCTCATCCTTGGGACATGAATTTGGGTCGGGGGAACGGTGGTGTTCCACGCCGTGAGGCCCCCAGACCACAGATGGCGACCTATAGCAGTCGGTCAATCCCTCCTTACACATCAGGTTCACTCCGCGCGACCTAACAGCCCTGAGGCCGGAAATATAATCTGTGGGAAGACCTAGGGTTGGGATAACGGCATGGGTGTTCCCGGCGCAGCGTAATACCGGGTGGCGTCGGAAGACACAGGTAATATGACGAGGCGTATAATCTATTGCCGCATAGGGGACGAGGACCAAGGCGCGACGAACTCCCAACAATAGAGGTGAGAAGCTTGGGGGTTGGGTGAAGTTGTAACAAGCGCTTATACGAAGGCGATGTCAGCCCCGATTGGCCCTAATACCAGCCAGTCGGCATTTTTGGCGCTCAGCTCTACGGCGCGTACCTTGGAACCGGTAGCCCAGTAATTGGGTTATCACGAACTGAACCGCCTCCCCCTGAGCTCCGTGCTTACAGCGCACGGAGTATCTATTCGTCAAGGGACAACCGAATAGGGGACACCTAGACCCCATTCCCTTCGGGCATGTTGGAGGTTCTGCCAGGGGCGTTACGCCTCTGTTCTTCGTCCCTGTTGCGCGCATGCGGGAATGTTCGTGGCGTTCGGATATTACGTGCTATTTTGGCACGGGCCGTCCTTCGACGCAACTCTTACTAGGCGGTTGGCGAATCGTCAACGCAAGAGCTGGCTGGCGCGGTGCGCGTAGCATCATTCGCGGCTCAGTTGCGCAGCCAGCAAAATGCGAGTGAGCCTGTAGGCGCAGATCGAATTGTAATCCTCCCAACAACGGATCGAGGCGTTTGCGGATGGGTGGAGGCGAAACCGATCCTGGGAACAGGGTCTAGGTGTCGCTTATGGGATCCTTGCTGCAATCCTTCCCGTTGGAACATCTAGGTTATCTTGTCGCTGTTGTTCGGTCTGGTACGTGTCCGCTACTGGATGGGTCGGCTCCTCATCCGTATTGGAGCCTCAAAGCGGCATGCGCGTCATAGTCTACACTACCCATTCGCTTAGGTTCGGCCTGAAGAGATACGGGTTGAAGATGCCTATACAGGCCTGCCCCCGTGGATCAAGGTGGACGGACAGGCAAGGATGACAGCTCGCAGATCATCCTTTCCGGAGAGAAGCATGAAAGCCGCTCCCGATGCGGGCTTTGGAATCCCAGAGCCCGAGGCGGCCTCGACTCGACCCGACGATCTCCGGCGGCGTTGAGAATTGCCGGCCGGGCAAAGGATGACTCTTACCGCTAGGCGTGTCAAGGCAACGTGGGTTCGTCTCGGTCAATCTGGAATCGAGCTTTGCTGCAGACACGCTTAGAAATTCTAAATACGGGCAGATAAGCGTAGCGAAAATGTCTACTAAATCAACAGGCAGCGGCTGGGGGATTTGGGTGGAAGCTGGAGGAGGTAGGCTGGAGTGGGTGTGGTTGGTTGAAGTTGAAGTGGGAGGATATTTCGACCTTATCGCGTCTAAGAGGGAAAAAAAAATGAGGCGGTGGACTCGGATAGAAGGGTACATACGCCTTAACTAGTTTGTTGCAGATTTGTTCTCGCGAGATATGCAACTTTCGGGGGATCGCGGGGCTCTCACCAGGCCAACTATTCTACCGCTTAAATGCCTAGAAAACCTGCCTATCCCCTTACTTAGCGGCTCACTTCCGTCGTGTCAGTGGGCAAGGTAGTTTATAGTTTATTTAGTACCTATTGATGTATTCAGCGTAGGTAGAAGACGGAAACCCGTCCGTCATCGGATATGCACATATCTCCGTCCGGCCTATACAACCCTACATTGGCGACAGCAGGATGGATACCTATGCCCCCCTACCTCCAAATCCCTTAGTTCGTAGCCGTCATGAGACAATACCATCCTCTCATGGTGTACAGGAACTAGGTATATAATAATAGACTGGGAACCCCGTGCCCTTTCCACCTACCCAGTCACGCCGTCAATCTCACGTATCACTGCTGCTCTCGGATTTAGGGAACCCTCCTTTTCCCTTCGTCCCTCCTCAGCAGAGCTCGAGTGGAATCCTGCATGATGAGCGGCGAGGCGTCGTATACGGATGAGGAGTGGGGGGATATCTCGCGAGGTCTCCCTAGCGAGAATGATCCCTTTGTGCAGAAATACGTCCAGGGCCGCGAGGCCCTCATCGCGCAGGAGAACAAGGATCGCAGCGGTTCGCACCCCTCGGCCTCTCGGCCTCGCCTCCCCCTTTCCGGCCCCCCCTTCTCCTCCCCGCCCCCTCCGCCCTGCCGCGGCTCGCTGACACGCGCAAACAATCCCTTCTAGACGCCTCGTTCAAGCAGAACCTCTCCCCCATCGCGAGGCGCGCCTGCGACGTCGTGGCGCGCATCCGGGAGGAGGAGAAGAACACGGTGTGGACGCCGCAGCTGGAGGACTCGCTCGCCCAGGCGGCCGGCAGCCTGACGGTGCACCCGGGCATGATGTTCTCCCTGTCCAAGGAGCGCATGGAGAGCACGAAGCTGTGGCGGATCGTGCGGCGGATGCCCAAGGGCGCCCTGCTGCACGCCCACCTCGACGCCATGGTCGACTTCGACTACCTGCTCGACGTCCTCTTCGCGACGCCCGGCATGCACCTGGCCGCCGACCGCCCGCTGACGTCGGCCCAGGCCAGGGAGGACGCCGTGCTGTCGTTTCGCTTCTTCCGGCAGCCGCGCACCGACGGCGACATCTGGAGCGCGGACTACCAAGCGGGCACGCATATCCTCCTCACCCAGCTCGCCGAAACCTTCCCCGACGGGGGCAAGGCCGGCCTCGTCAAGTGGCTCTACGGAAGGTGCACGTTATCGCGGACGGACGCCGTCGCCCAGCACCACGGGGTCGATCACATCTGGCTCAAGTTCTACAAATGCTTCCGGGTCATCAACTCTCTACTCCACTACGAGCCCATCTTCCGGCTGTTCCTGCGGCGGCTGATGAGCCTGCTCAAGGCCGACGGCATCAACTGGTGCGAGCTGCGCTTCTCCTGGTTGCTCGACTACTACCGGCAGGACAGCGAGACGCCCGAGGCCGACTACACGGCGATGCTGACGGCCATCGACGAGGAGGTGGCGAGGTTCCAGGCGTCGGCCGAGGGGCACGGGTTCTGGGGCCTGCGCATGATATGGGCCACGCTGCGGGCCTCGCCGACGCGCACCATCGTGCAGAACATGGAGCACTGCATCACGGCCAAGATCACGCACCCGCACCTGATCGCGGGGTACGACCTGGTGGGCCAGGAGGACGCCGGGCGGCCGCTGCGCGACCTGCTGCCCGAGCTCTTCTGGTTCCGCAAGCAGTGCGCCGACGAGGGCCTCAACGTACCCTTCTTCTTCCACGCCGGCGAGTGCCTCGGGTCGGGCAGCGCCACCGACCACAACCTCTTCGACGCCATCCTCCTCGGCACCCGCCGCATCGGCCACGGCTTCAGCCTCTACAAGCACCCGCTCCTGATCGACCTCGTCAAGGAGAAGAGGATCCTGGTGGAGAGCTGCCCGATCTCGAACGAGGTCCTCCGCCTCTGCGGCTCCGTCATGAGCCACCCGCTGCCCGCCCTGCTCGCGCGCGGCGTGCCGTGCTGCCTGTGCAATGACGATCCCGCGATCCTCGGCCAGGACACCGCCGGCTGCACGCACGACTTCTGGCAGGCGCTGCAGGGCTGGGAGAATCTAGGACTAGCGGGGCTAGGGAGCCTCGCCGAGAACAGCATCCGCTGGGCGGCATTCGAGGACCAGACGTCGGAGGAATGGAGCAGAGGCATCAAGGAGGCGAGCGTGGGGAGCGGGGCCAAGGCGCAGAGGTTGAAGGAATGGGAGGTCGAATGGGAGAAGTTCTGCTTGTGGATTGTGGACGAATTCGCCGATGAGTGAGCAGTCGAGAAGAAAAAAAAAGGGGGGGGGGGGGAGAAGTCCTAGTGGGGAATGTGGATTATAGCCATGTACCACATTCCCGTAGCGGACCGATGGGCACATCCCCGAGAGGAACCACTGGCGGAATTGCTACTCACCTGGTATCGTCGACCCAAGTACGGTTCAACCCGAATTAATAAAAAAAAAGAAATCTTGGTTTTGCATTTCCACTACGAGATTACCACTCTCCTCGAAGGCGAAGGGGCGAAGGTAGATTACCCTCATTTCGAGGAGCTCGAGGTTCGACGACATGATACGCTGCCACGGCCGGTGAGGAAGTGCCTCTGGAGGTTGCCCACAGAATTCGGTGAGGGAGTGGTACGTAGAAGTAGGTATAGGTTGCTGTATGTGCTGTGTTCAGAAGCTGCCTGATGAAGGCGTCTAATTCGGGAATCTACACAGGAAGGGAAAGGGAAATAGGGGAAAGGAGAAAGGGGGGGGGACCTTACCTGCGGCTGGGTGCTGAGAAGAGGCCAAAGAAGGCGAGCAGGCTAGGCTGCAGCAGGGGGCGATTCAGATCATGGCCGATTTGAACGCAACCTGTCTGCCGTGCCTCCTCATAAGGCAAATACGCATGCATGATGTATGTGAGACTATAGGACTACATGCACATAGGCCAGAGTGACCCGATATTACTCGTCAGCAGCGCCCGCCCATGGTTCACCCACCCCCTGTGAGTTCAGAGTTCCACTGAGTTGATCGGTGGGACGAAATAAATCCCTCCTGACGATAAGATTCTCAACCGGGAAGCCATTCGATCTAGCAGGTTGGGTCTCGGCACGCCGCGGTCAGCGGGAAAGGGCCCCAAGCCGAGTCGGGCGGGTCGGTCTGTTATGGGGGCGCTGCCCTTCATCAAAGGGGGATTCCACCGTCTTGGGGAACGGGCCCGGTTGCCCGATATCAATTTTATGGCCAGTTTTACGACTTTTATAGAAGAGGGGGCGGCGTGGCTAGCGAATGGCCGGTAATACGCGCACACATGTATGTCACTAATATATGTTCGTGAGACGATCGCCAATGAGGCGTAGGCGGAACCTAGATCGCCTACATCGTCACCTAACAAGAAGGGCTGTGTGTGGCTGCATTGAACTTTGAAGCACGGGATAACGGAGAGTCCTGGTAGGTTTTACCATAGAAATAGAAAAGCATTTAGATTGCTATGTCTGACCAGCAGACAAGTAGTCGACGCGCAAATAAGTCCTCGCTGCTCATACAGTGGGACCAAAATATGGCCGGGTAGACACTGAGAAACATGATAGAACAACCAGTTCCTTTTCGATTTCGCCATGCTGGATAACCATTGGGAGTGTGTCATATCAGAAAAAGACCCACATTGAGACAAATAAGAGATAGAGCCCCGTCAGGTCGACAGCTATACCTGACACTTTGAAACCCGAGAAAATAGTCAGCCAGATGCGTAGTCCACAGACGTGGATCGCCGTCGCCGATGCGCAGACAATAACCAATGTGTACACACGGGTCCCGGTAAGGCTGCAAAGAATAGCAGAATCACAACGTCCCCGGGGCCCAAACACTGTATAGCCACTGTCGAAAGCTCACAGGTTGAACATCTACCAACTCGTTCAGGTTCGTTTCTCTGAAACTGTAGCGGCCGTCGGCGGTCTGTAGAAGGTGTTGCATCGAGATTAAGTTGGCTTCGTCCCGATTCTGCTCGTAGTAGCGGAGCCATTGAAGGATTTCGTCGTACGGCCTCGTAGTTACGCTGAAGGGGACTAAGGTGGATTAGAAAACGACGTGTCGGGAGGACAAGGCCACGTAACTCACCTCCTCTAACCTCGCTGCACATTTCCTGAATTGCCTGAGTCGTCAAGCGGGCACCGCGCATTTTAAACTCTCGTGGCCACGTATCGATCCCCAGTTCGAGAGCGGCGGCGACGAATCGCGCTACGTCGAACGCAGAAGTCATCGCCACGTGCACTGGGCGGCCCTGGGAGTTCGCCTCTGGGATCTCAGCCATCGCGCTTTCTATGTTCACCAGGTAATCTCCTTGGTCACGGATTCGAATGCGGGAGCCCATGCCGTATGATTTCAGACCGCCGGGGGCGAACCGTTCGTAGAAGACGCCGCATGTGAAAACGGTGTACTTCATCGGATGCTGCCTTGATTGGGACCAGTGTCGAAGCTGTTGTAGGGCCGCCAAGGAGCCGTTATCGAATGGATCACTCCCTGCCGCCGGTCTACGGTCGATTGGACCTTCGAATTCCGAAGGCACGAAGCAGCGTACGCGAGCTCGCCGGGCAGCATCGATCAGGTTGAGTTGCTCTGCACCGGAAATCGTTGATATCACGAGGTCGACGCCCTGGAGAGTGAACCGAAGGTTTTCAAGGTTTTGGTAGTCGACCACGACCACTTGGCAGTCACACTCGGCTTCAAGTTCCGGGTGTTCCTGTCGAATAATTAGTTGGTTTTAAGACGGTGCCAGTCTCATGATCTCCTCACCCTTCTCGATAGTACAAGCATGGCGTAGGCGCTCTGCGAGAGCTCTCGGGCTAAGATGGAGGCAAAGCCCCCTGCGCCTGCGATTGCGATTCGCATCATCGAAGTCGTTGTTCTCCTGCCCATGGTCGAGACGGTCCGCGAGTTGACGGGTGGTTAAATCTTAAGACTGAGGACGGTGACGACGGGGTCACGCTGGGCCAAAAAGAATTGCTTAAATCCACCAGTATGGTGTTCAAAGTCTCGCAGTGGCAACGGCTACAAGGGAGAATACTTCAATCTATTAGAACCGAGTTCGCTGGGTGAGTCAACCCCTGGGGTTTGCGCTCTGAGTGGTCGAGAATCGATGGGAAGGCTGGTGTCACTTGAATACCTGAAACTACAGGGAGACTGCCGATAGAGTGAGCCGATCTCCTGAGCGCCTGCGGCTCCTAGGATGGAGGACGCCGAATTTTTCGGGGGAGGGGTCTAGGATGCTGCTCACGGGGTAGTGTATAAGTCAACGTAGCGGTCTTGATGGGGCAGCCAGGCCTCTAGATGACCCGTACTCCCAGGTGGACGTTGATGTAAGTGGGCTATGAAGTCGGATCCTGGGAGAGAAGAGGGGGGGGGATATCGCATAGAGATTGGCCCCTAAGTCGATTCCTCGAGAGGTTCTCGAGTGGCTCCGATAAGTTTGTCTTGGTTCGCAGTAACAGTCAAGTCGATCTCCGGCAGGGATTTTTGAACATCACCTGCAGAATCCTTCGAGATTAAGCTACAAGGACGCCCGGGCGTAGGGCCGCCGATATTATGTAGCCCATCGAATTCGAGGCGGCGGTTGGTGCTGCCTGGTAGACGGTAAACGTTGTCCCAGACAAGGTAGAGCGGGTGTCATCCCACATCCACGGAGTCACTAGACCGACGACCCAAGACAATAGCCAGGTAGTCGTACCCATCATAAACCTCATACGCCTACACCACATTCCTGCATAGTTCTCCACTATCAGGGCTGCAGCTCATGGGCCTAGGAACGGCCACGCGTCGGGGCGCGGGCAGAGGGCGCCTTCGGTGAGCCTTAGGGCATACTTCGCACGGCTACGCTGGGCGACATAAGGCGGCTCGCAGCAGGAGGCAGGATAGAGCGAGAGGAAAACCCCACGGCCAGATCCCTACGCCCTCGGGGCCCTAAAGACGGGCCTAAGTTGCCCATCGCTCCATCACCAGGCCGTACGGCGGTGCGAGGGGAGGCAGACACCTCGACGATACCTCGGCGCCAGGGCGCGCGAGTCCCCACAGGCACGTTACTCTCAGTAGCAGCGACGGATACCGTCCCAACCTGCGGCCCAACTCGCCTACGTAGAGGTTGAGCCGCTAGGAGATGACTCAGTACCTACGACATTCCCGTAATGGCTCATACGGACAGGCGGGCGATACATGGCCCGAAACGAGCACCTAAGACCAGATCTGGAAGCCCTCACCGAAGGCCTGATGGTCATGGAACCCACACGGGGCAGATGACAGGAGGAAACGGTAGCAACGCAGCGAGTCGCAGCGAGTATGGGTACACCGCAGGCCCGCGCATGCTAGAACGAACGGGAAGCGCAGACGCAATAGCGATAGGGCTGGCGGCGGACCACACCCCCCCTGCTCCGGTTGGCGTCCTTGACGAAGGGCCTGACGGGAACATCTGGAAAAAATGAAGGTTGGGGGCCGCTGGTTGGCACAGGACTAGGCTGGTCGTGCATGAGGAAATAGGCTGCTCCCACGGTTGAGGTCAGCCCCGAGACCTTGGAGCCTGGTATGAACAGGTTGTGGCCTGCGGCTCTATTCTGAATTGAGGTTGGGAGAGGGTTTTGGGGGCCGAGGAGAGACGGGACGGACAAGAGAACACAGAGCCTGGCAAGTACCTGCAAGTACCTGCCTACCCCACACCTGCGCATCCGGTACCGGGCAGGTATTTCGAAGCGCGGGGAGAGGGGGGGGAAAGCGGCATGGCACGCCGATACCTACACCCAGATGGCTTGCGCAGGCAGGTTTCAGGTACCTGTAAGGTACAATCCACATATCCCGGCCCCCAGCTAGGTACATGTCTAAGGTACCGCGCCCTCTGTCGTGCATTGTGAGCCAGGGCGGATCCACCCAGCACCCATACTAGGGTAAGGTACCTTAGGCACACTGAATGTGCCTGGGTTGAATTGCTCTTGACCTCCCAGGCAGGACGTGCCTCTAGCGCAGAAACCTGGCAGGTACCTATATCAGGCAGGTACCCGTATACTCTCTATGGGGGACTCTGCCTACCTACCTACCTAGGTAGGTATCCTCCTTGCCTTACCACCTTTAGATACATCTATCTCAGGCATTGTACGTAGTAGGTACTTAAGGTATATTAGTGGGTACGGTAGACACGGTCGGTATGGTCGGTATGGTGCCTCAGTACAGAGGCAGGTAGGTACACCTAGGTATCTTACCAGGTAAATAAGGTTGCACTAGCCCTAATGGAAGTACCTGACCAGGTAGGTTCCAGTGGGACCGCATGCGGCTATTGGGCTCATTTTCCGATTGTCCCACCCACAACTACCTCTACCTACCTGGTACCTGTATAACGGATAGGTAGGTAAGTACCTAAGGTACCCAGAGGTAGGGAGGTTCTACGGTTCTAGCAAGTTGAGTCAAGTGCCTGCATACCTACCTCCTATCTGCCCTACCTACGGGTACGTAGGTGGGCATGTAAGCGGATAGATAGGTAGGTACCTCATATCTGGTGTGTATGACCATCGTTTAACCACCACTGGGAGGACTCTGTCGCGAACACATTTCTTCTTATATAAGACGATAAGATGCCTAAGCACGAAACCGCCCTCTTGGTTTCAGTTACCCCCTTTCCCTTCGCGGCTCTTAGCCTCGCACGGGGTGTCTCCTACACATCTACTTGCCATACGCCTGCGCAGCTCAGCCACAGCGCTCTAGATACCAACTATGAGGTATTACATATGGATAACCTACCGCCCCGGCAGGTATATCATATAATGGGCGTCTATAGAAAAGGCGTGGGAGTCCACTCCTGTGATAAGCGGGTCGAGGTAAGCTTAACTTGGTCGTGAGCCTGTAGTCAATGTCGTGGAGACGTCGACAGGGTACAGACAACAACCTACCGCCTGGGCAGTGTGTGAAGGACTAGTCCAGCATCACGGTCTGGCGCCACTATATGAACGCTGCGCCTTGGTCGGGGCGGGCACCATAGCCTCCAGTCCGGAGAACCACATGCCCTAGAGCGTCAACTAAGGCCGAGTTTAGAGTAGGTAAGTATGCACGATAATCTTACGATAGCTTGAGAGGGCACGCACGGTTGGAGAAACTCGCCACCTGAGACCTACATACACAGAACTGTAGAATGGTAAGGCTCCCGGCACTACGATATAGATTCCTATTTGCTCACAAGCTGACGCCCCTAGTGTAGCTTACGCCCCTCTGTTGAAATTGCGGCCAATGACCCCCCCCCCCCCCTCCCCCTGCCCCCTTTATTCAACGGGGGCACGTCATGTTCCCATGGGGAGAGAGGTGCGCAGTCTGTCTCGAACACTTTCACTCTTCATGTCGGCCCAGAACCTTTCCGTCACCCGGCCTGACTCAAATCTACATGGGCATCGCTTCTCCTCCTCTCCGCCGGAAACAGCGTGGCTCGGTGCGTCAACTCAGTGAGATCCCCGCGATTCCTGCGAGGCAGCAGCCTCGGAATCTGCCTTCTTCACTATATCCGCTTCGGCACCGCGTTGACTTGTTTTACCGGCATCGTGCTGCTTCTGATAATCTGCCTGGGCAGCCTGGTTGCCGGTAATGCTGGCTACCGCCCCTCCGATGGTGCCGGTGATGCGGTCAGAGATACCGCCCACATAATCGTTCACCTGCCCTTTTGCTTCTTTCTGCTGACCTTCTCGATTCTGCTGACGGCCAGCTGCTTTCAACGACTGCGAGGGCCAAATGTTAGCATTGTCTAACACCCACCTCACGGGCTGGCTAGATATTCTCATTACCTCAGAGCCTGTGAGCCCGCCGACAAATTCCTTGGCCGAACCGACGGTTTGATCATAGGCGCCGGAGGCTCGATTCGGGTCATCCTTGGTGATGGCGCCAGACGACGAAACCGTGGCGCCGGGAAGCTTCGCCGTAGCCTGTGACGCATCGTACTCGGCATCCCCCTTTTTCTGCTTGGCTTGTCCTTCGGCCTGTTAAGGTTCCCGGTCAGTCACGATACGGATACGCTTGTTTCCTGTAGCAAGAGTGGGCGGGGTGTGTACCTGACGAGACACATCGCCGGTAGCGCTACCGAATGCATTTTGGACAGTTCCGGCAGCGTAGTCCACGGCCGACTTGAGAGAAGAGGTATTGTCGTTGGACATCTTGTACCAGTTACGCACACAATCGTACCGATCTTTCGAGGTTTCTTCGAGTGTAAGACGCGAGTGGTTACGGAGTTGTTGAACCGGTCCCGGAGCTTGTAAAGACAGTTGAACGGGTGAGAGAATGGCGGATGATTTAGGGCTATTTATATTCAAGGGCACACGGGCGAATTCGCACAGTTCGCAACTTCAGACTGATGTTGACGTGTTGGCAAATCATATCGATGTCCTGAGGCTCCCATGACGACGATGATGCATACCTGCCCCTTATTGTCTCTGCTTCCCTCGCATCGGCTACCCAGACGCACTCGATGTAAGTGGCGTGTGGCGTCGGCGAATAATCCCCCAGAAACAAGTGTGGATCGCAACTACGCTTTTAGGAAAGCGTGATGTCACCAGTTGTGGCGCTGGTTCCTTTGATTGATGTCATCGCTTCCGGGCCGCGTGCGGGGTTCTGCTTGCTATTGTGATGACGCACTTCGCTCATGGCGACGAGCCCTATCGAAGGAGGAGACGCTCCGCTTCAGACGATGCAGTTCGACCCATTCACGGCAATGCCCAATTGCGGCGCATGGCTCTAGCTACGTGGGATGTTTTGCGTTATTACCGGCCCTTCTTCCCTCACAAATCTGGATCAGATCGTCCTGTCTAGCCGGCCCTACCTACATGTAGGTTAGTTCATGTGCTTTGCCACAGGAACATCAGAACAGGCCGGTCCCGCGACGAGGGACGGTTTCTGAATGCTCGTAAATTCATCATGCCATTAATAAAAAGAGACGCGCGGTCAATCAATTCCGGGTTTTGCTGATAGCCTCTCTCAAATAGAACAGTGTCTGCTGTAGCAATTCCGGAGCTGCATACAGGCCCTAACGAGCGGCCGGACAAACGACGCCGTCCTGACACCTAAAGTGCAACTGTGACCCTAATTTGGCATGGTCGTGAGCCGTATCCCGTTTACTAGAGTGCGGCATCCATATAATACTAATAATAGTCCTCCCGCGGATGCCAGAATAGACGATGAACATGAGAAATGAAAAACGAGAACCGATAAGGCCGGTGACATCAGTGCTGAGTCCATTGGATTGTGTTTAAGTCGATGCCTTCTTGTACGAGTTCCCATAGGGGACTCAGTTCACGGAGGAACGTGACTCGTTCTCGGACCGCCTTCAGCACGTAGTCGATTTCTTGCTCCGTGGTAAACCGCCCAATTCCGAATCTGATACTGCTATGCGCGCTCTCGTCGCTGTTTCCTAGAGCTCTTAATACGTAACTTGGCTCCAACGAAGCCGAAGTGCAAGCACTGCCAGAGGACAGCGCGATATCTTTCAATGCCATAAGCAGTGACTCGCCTTCCACGTAAGCGAAGGAGACATTGACACATCCGGGATAGAAGTGGTTGGGGTCTCCGTTTTGGGTCGTGTGTTCCATAGCTAGAAGTCCCTTTAGTAATCTGTCGGATAGCGACTTGATGCGTTTGGAGTCGTACTAAAGACAAAGGTATTAGCTTTGGATACGTTCACGAGAGATTCTACGAGCATAGGGGCGAATTTGAGGTGAATCAGACGCGTGTGCTGTGTCTCGACAGGGTGATTCCGGTCAGGGAATTCAGAAAGCCATGCATGTTTGAGCGACTCATCAGATGCTTCCGGGAGGTCGATGGGACGAACAAAGGCGAATATCCACTTACTTTCAACTCCTCCTTGGCGATGCGACAAGCTTCGCCAAATCCCGCCACCAAGGGTGGCGCAAGAGTGCCACTACGCAGGCCTCGTTCCTGGCCTCCGCCGCTGATGATAGGCTCCAACCTGACTCGCGGTCGCCTTCGCACATAACAAGCACCGATACCTTTCGGGCCGTATATCTTGTGCGACGAGATAGACATCAAGTCGATGTTCATCGCATTGACATCCAGAGGGATTTTGCCCACCGCTTGCGCGCCGTCGGTATGGAAGAAGACTTTCTTCTCCCGGCATAGTTTGCCGATTTCCGCCAAGGGCTGGATCACGCCGATCTCGTTATTCACTGCCATGATGCTGACGATGACCGTATCCGGGCGGATTGCAGCCTCTAGCTCTTGCAGGTTTATCAAACCATTGGTCTGGACTGGGAGGTAAGTGACCTCATAGCCTTCGTCTTGGAGATGTCGACAACTGTCGAGAACACACTTGTGTTCGGTCTGGCTAGTCACGATGTGCTTCTTCTTGCCCGACCGTCCGAAAAACCTAGCGACGCCCTTGATGCTCATGTTGTTGCTCTCGGTTGCGCCGCTGGTGAAAATAATCTCCTTGGCATCCGCGCCGATGAGATTTGCGACATGCTCGCGCGCCTCCTCTACGGCCTTTTCACTTTCCCACCCGTATGCGTGCGTTCGTGAATGGGGATTGCCGTAAACGTTGACGAAGAATGGGAGCATGGCATCCAAAACTCGGGGGTCTACGGGTGTCGTCGCTTGCATATCGAGATATATGGGACGCTGGCCCTCGTCGAGGAGTGTGGCCTCCTTGAGCACTTCGGCCATCGGGCTGATGGTAGCGTTCGCTGGCGTGCCGGGTGCCGGCACGATAAGCTCGCCCTTCTCATTCAAGAAGTTCTTCTTATCTAATCGAATCGCAGTCTCGACGTTAACTTGGGCATTATCTCGTTTTGTCTCCGACACGTAGCCACGCCGTGGTGCTTGCGCGGCGGCTGTGGCGGCGGCGGCGGCGGCGGCGGCCCTTGATCGGGAAGGGATGCTCCGTAGCGGAGTCGATGTGAATGTCTGCTTGAGACCAAGGCGCGAAGCCTGTCTCAGCGCCGAAGACGCTACGTTTGCCATGATGGCGGCGGGATGGTATTAAAAGGCTACGAGTTACAAAAAGTAAGCGAGGAGAAAGAAGAAGCAGAGAACTGGAAGGAGGGGTCGGTGGATATGGAGAAGTTGAGGTCCCACGGCGAAATGGAGCGAAATGACTATGAAAGGGAAAAAAAGGTCCGATCTAAAGCTCGGTCAACGGCGTGCCTGGGACCTAGGCTCGGTGATATCGGATCGGGTTATCTATGATACGCCAAAATTGCGGGCAATCTACGTGGGTTAGGTACCTGTCTAACCTAATCGGGTTCCATATGGGGGAGGCATCGAGATCCATGTGCCGATGTCACACTCTTGCCCTTTGCTAAGGACATTGGAATTGCCAATACGGTTACGACGGATAAGTGCGAGTTCTCTCTCTCTGTTTCTTCTATGTACCTACCTAGGCACTCACTTGCGTATACATACACATATTGTATGAGGTAGGTAACGGGAGACCACCCAAATAGCCAGGGCATATTAAGCACTGGTATGTATGAGTAGGTATGGACTTGGTGACGTTGGACATGGAGGCCGCCGACCTGATTCCTCCTCTCTAGATTGGGTACATATGTACTTGCTGCATGGCAACCAACATTAGCGACCCTTGCTGCCTTCGCCCCTTGGCAGCAGAATTATCGGGAACACGGCAAGTGCGGACTTAGCGGCTAGCACATGGGACAAACCCTAAGTACCATAATTCATTAATCATAAAACGGAGTTCGCATTTCCTGAATACACCGATTCTCGTCTCGTAATGAGGGGGACTACTACGTGTACTAGCACAGGCAATGGCCTTAGGTACCTAAAGTTTGTCTTCTACGTTATTCCGTGTCGGTATCTAAGGTAGATAGGTACCGTAGGCAGACTGGAATGTGTTGACGCTAGACAGGTACTTACCTAGGAGGTAGATAACTAAGGTTGCCTCTTGGTAGGTACCTCATCTATATAGATTCGGGGTACCTTCTTTGTGGGATGATGAGGTACCTACGCGTGGACCCGTCAAATCCTGTCCTGCACATGCAAGGCGGGCAGGCAAGTACCTTGACCCATCCCGGTCAGGTGTAGGTATTTCTTCCCCGGCTGCCGCCCATCTGTCTACCTTGCTTGTTGTCGAGCCGTCAACGGCGAACTTTCATGCATGGTACCATCCTAGCACCTACTACGTAAGCCCGTCTAAGCCTTAGCCACAGAGTCACGCAGACTCTCCGCGAAGCCGAGCTGGCGAGCACTGCCACAGAGGACGACGTCGTCAAGTCACTCAGTCAGTGGGCAAAACCGAGCGTCCACAAGTCAGGTCCGCGACCAAGTCTACCTCAGCAGCGCTCCCCCCTCCGGAGCCCAATACATACCTACAATTTACCACTTCTCTTCACCTCCAGACCTGCTCCGCGAATCTATAGTGTATGCGCACAAGACCAATAGCACAACCCGCCGAAGCTGGAATTGATACCTTCCACCACCCTCTTATCACCAATCAGATCGCTTTGAATCCCCAGAGCGATGAGCTTCCGAGGCTTCCAGAAGAGTGTCGTCCGGGTGAGTCTCGACAACACACCCAACCCGATAATAAATCGTACAATGCCAACCCGACGGAGGGTCGCATCCACAGCTAACCAGAGATCTTCAATTCGTAGGCGCCGCAACAATTCAAGGCCAAATTCAACATCGGAGAGAACACAAAAGATCCCGTATTCATCGATGCCGAGCGACGCTTTCAGGAGCTCGAGGCCGAGACCAAGCACCTTCACGATGAAAGCAAGAAGTATTTCGACGCCATCAACGGCATGCTCAACCACCAGATCGAGTTCAGCAAAGCGATGACCGAGATCTACAAGCCCATATCCGGTCGCATGTCCGATCCAGACTCGCTGGTGGTGGAAGGCAACCCTGATGGCATCAACGCCTGCGAGGAATACGAGGCCGTCGTTAAGGACCTACAGGAATCCCTCAAACCGGAGCTCGAGATGATCGATTCCCGAGTCATCCGGCCGGCAAATGAACTATTGGACGTACTCAAGGTCATCAGGAAGACTGCGACAAAGCGCGAGCACAAGAAACTCGACTATGACCGACATAATACGACGCTCAAGAAAATACAGGACAAAAAGGAGAAGAGCGCTAAAGACGAGAAAGCTCTATGGAAGGCAGAGAGCGACGTGGAGCAAGCTACGCAGGAGTTCAATTACTTCAACGATCTGCTGAAGGATGAATTGCCCAAGCTGTTCGTGCTCGAGCGCCAGTTCATCCAGCCGCTGTTCCAGTCCTTCTACTACATGCAATTAAACATTTTCTACACGCTGCACGAGAGGATGCAACATTGCGATATCGGATACTTCGACTTAACGCTCGACGTGGAAGAGGCATTTATAAAGAAGCGAGCAGATGTCCAAGAGCGAACCGAGAAGCTCGGCATCGTCAAGTTTAAGACCAGCGGCCAGAAAAAACCGCCCAAGTACGGAAACAAGCCTGCAGCCATCGAAGCCGGGCCCCAACCTGCTGGTTTGCTCACTGCTGGCCCATCCCCATCCTCGCCAAGTCTGGCTTCGGCAAAGTACGGTCAGCCGTCGCCATCGGACGTCGTCGAGGCTCCACCTCCACCGTATTCCGCCTCGGCAACCTCTCTGAAATCGCCGGCGTCGCCGCCGCTGACTGGCCCTAAGTCCCCGGGATTGGCGGCGCTTGCTGCAGCAAAGCCAAAGCCCCCTCCGCCGAAACCAAAGCCGACCCGACTTAGCGGGGCGACGACGGTAGAGACAGCTACTGCGCTATACGATTACTCGGCCCAAGCCGAGGGCGACATCAGTTTCAGGGCGGGAGACGTAATAGAAATTGTCAGCAGGACCCAGAATGAGAACGAATGGTGGGTCGGCAAGTGTCATGGAAAACAGGGCCAGTTCCCTGGTACGTGTTCCCCTCCAGAGGCTACCGCCGAGACGCAGCGGACTAACAGTTATGGGGTAGGCAACTATGTGAAAATAGGGTAAGCCCAGGACTCGGGATCGCCCAGCTGGCACCAATAATCGAACTACGATAAAAATCATTTCTCGGGAGGGATCCTAGTAGGGGTTAAAGGCGAAAGGGATCATGATAGAGGTCGGTTGCATTAAACTCGGTCATCAGGCGTGAATACCCCCAAAACTTCAGTGTGGTTGTTTTTTGATGATCCTGGTTGGCAAGGGTGGGACGGTCTATGGAAGCCTACTCCCCTTATCTTCGGGGGTTTCAGTACGCAGTCACAGTCAGCGGAAGAAATTCAACGATTGTACTCCGGCGACATAACTTTCTGGTCGTGAAGGACCATTGAACAGAAAAGCAATAAGTTTCAATGTACTCCGGGATGACTTCTCCTCACTGTGAATTGAAAGCCTGCCTGTCTCTCCTATATACCAGGGGCTAGCCACCTAGGTTTTGGCTGTCGATTACCTATGTGTAATGCTTGACGACGAATGCAGATGCCAACACCCCTTACTGGACAGCGTACACCCGGAATATGGCTTCTACGCAACGTACTATGTGCTCAACACAGGCGACCTGCTAGTAAGGAGAGAACGGCACGTGCTATCTTGAACCCTTCCAGGTGCTGTGCGAAGGACGAGCAACAAGGTTAACATTCACGAAAGAAACGACGCTACGCGGTCGAGATTGTGGTCTCTACATCACGCAGGTCAAGGCAGAAAAGGGACGAGTTCCCAATTCGTTCAATTCTCTCTGCATAGATTTCTCTAGAGCATTATTTTACACGTTCGTAACATTCGGCAGGTAATAGTTCCAACGCAGAGCGGATACCGAGATCCCTGTTCTGTTTCCGTGTCCACCATCACAATACGCCTATAAGAGCTACTATTATTACCTAGGTAGATTCAGTTGGGTAGGTATTTGTTTGAGCCTCAGGCACTTAAAACGTCATCTAGATTGGTTAAAGCTTGTCGTTGCCCGCATCGCGCAGTTACTCGATTCTGATAAAAGTGCACCTGTTTGAAGCTGTCACCTTTGGAGACACAGACACTCCGATAAATACCTGGACAGTATAGTTATATACTTTGATGATTTAAAAGGCTTAAAGCGACGAGGCAAGAAACTAAGTCGCTTGATAAGGTACGCAGAGGGAGCCTAGCTAGGATAATATCATCATTAAGAGTGAACGATTCTGCCTGCTACTATTAATTGCTAGACATAGAGGCATAGTCTCCGGCCCCACAGGAATCAAGCCAACCATGATCCCAAGTGTCTTAGACACGGAGATAATAGACGTGCCGCCAGGGTCAATAACAGGCGGGAAATTTACGGGACGGGCGACATTGTGGGTATGTATTGGCTACAGCACAAGCTCATGGGCTAGCCGGCATATACCTAGGTATCTAGCAAGGCTTAGATTGCAAATGTCAGTTGGTTTAACCGATACCGAATAATACGGCGCGATATGCCGTCGCGCAGATATTTCCCGCAACTACCTTAGGTGCCTACTTGTTCTACGTGTTGCATACCTTCGTACTTCTCGATTCCAACTCAGGCCTGCCAGCAGTCTCCCTGGGAAGTTAGTATCTAAGGAACTTAGCTATGAACTTAGAGCTAAATTTTATGATGGGAGTTCGATGGCCTAGCCATATTCTTGGCTCTCAGGGGGGTGGGGATGGGGGGTTGTTGACGTCTACACATGTTCTGCTATGATAATATACTACTCTTACGCTCTGTTTCAAAGGCTCGAACGAACCACGCGGTGGTGATACTACGTTTCTATTTTCCACTTAAGACGGTCTTGGAAGCAAAGATGGTATTACTAACGGATCAGGCGGATCTAGCAACTCAAGTTATGGCACGGAGGGTTAATAAAAGTTTCTGTTCCAGTTTGTTGTACCTGATAATTACTTGCATTACGAGAAGGTCGCCTCGTGAGGCTCAACGAGGACGTGTGCAAGGGAAGACCACGGCGATAAGAGGGGGACCGGGAGACGAGGCGTGGGTGGTTTCCGCCGTCCAGAGGGTGCCCTAGTCGCGATCATTATTTCATCATCAGCATTCCGCATCTCCAGTCCCCGGCGAAGCAGGGTAGATAGCGTTATGCACTGCGCGAACCCAGCATGGAATTCTCGTAATTCAACGGCATGTTACGTAGGTACATATCTATAGGAGCGTACAGGGATGAGCTATAACGGGTAGGTACTTATTACACAAAATCCCTTCTCTCAACGCCACAAATACCTGCCTCTCTTCCCTTCCTTCTGCCTCACCTCTCTACCTCCTCGACCTTCGGCTTGCCATTGAGATGCAGCTGGCCTGCTGTACGAGAGCCTTCTGGATTCCTTGCTCCCGGCCTCGGCGCGTTCACACGGCGTAATGAAACGCTATTCTCTCGTCTGTATAGCAGTTGCGCTGCTCCGGGCTGTCGCCGAGGGCAAGGCTGTCGTTGTCGAGTCCTTACCAAAGGTGCCCACCCACTGGAGGAAGCTCAGGGACGCGGATCCGGACCAGGTCGTCAAGCTTCACGTTGCGCTCGACCAGCCCGACCTGGACCGGTTCGAGAGAACCCTGTACGACATTTCTACCCCCCAGCACGCTCTGTACGGTCGCCACCTGTCGCGTGAGGAGGTCAAGGAGATGGTGAAACCGAGAGAGGAGTCCGCTGCTGCTGTTCTAAAATGGCTGGAAGAATCTGGCGTCCCCCTATCGAACATCCGTCCCGACGGAGAATGGATACATTTCAGAACCACAGCATCACAGGCTGCGAACCTGCTCAGTGCCGATTTCCAGGTATATAACCATATCGGTACCAACACGCAACGAATCAGAACTTTGCGGTATGACGTCTCGAGCCTCATCGACGGCCAGTTCCGAGGGGGTTGCTAATCCAAAGTAGGTATTCTGTGCCCGAGGAAGTCAGGCCGCATGTCACCATGATCCAGCCCACCACCAGATTCGGGCAGGTGAAACCGCAGGCACTGGAGGTTATCGACGTCTTCGAGCAAAATGAAACGCGGCTGTCTCCTCAAGGTGCGGCCGAGATGCCGACTCGAGACCTGGACGCGGCCGTCTGCAACAGTACCGTGACGCCGAAATGCTTGAGGGCACTGTACAACGTGGGGGACACCATTGCGGATGCAAGCGTACCAGGCTTTCTCGGCGTTAGCGGTTTCTTAGAGGTAACATGATGATGTGTCCTTTCTGCACCGCTCGTTTATTCGGTCTGAACGAGTGTAGCAATACGCCAAACACGACGCGCTCGACCAATTTCTCCAGAAATTTGCTCCTTTTGCTCTCGCCCAAAATTTCACCACTCACCTCGTCAACGGGGGTCTGGACAACCAGACTGACACCAGCGATGACGACAAGGAGGCGAATCTGGATATTCAGTATGCGGCGTCTCTAGCCTTTGACACAGAAATTCGCTTCTATTCTACTGGCGGTCGTGGGCCGTCCATTCCTGATCCCAAGTAAGCCCCGTCATTCTGGTCTTTATCCCGGCGTTAACTGCCGATCGACTAACATCGGCTAGTCAACCCAATTTAGGGGAGGTTCGTAAATGAGAAGAAAACTAACAACGGGAAGTTCGCTGACCTTGCAGGGATCCAACGAGCCATATCTGGAGTACCTAACCTATCTCTTAAATCTCCCCGACGAGGAGCTTCCACACACACTGAGCACCTCGTACGGTGAAGACGAGCAGTCCGTACCGCGAGAGTACGTCAAGAAGGTGTGCACCATGTTCGGCCAACTGGGTGCTCGTGGTGTCTCGGTAGTGTTTAGCTCGGGGGAGTAAGTCCTGATGCCTACAAACGCAAGCGGGCTTGCAGCCCCCGTAGAAGAATATGAAGTAGTTAGACTGACTGGCCACCTACGCCCTAGCACCGGCCCCGGAAACACGTGCCAGACCACCGACGGCCGGAATGCGACACGCCTGCTGCCCATATTCCCGGCAGCCTGCCCGTACGTGACGACGGTAGGCGGCACCGTGGGCGTGGCACCGGAGCGCGCCGTCGCCTTCTCGTCAGGCGGCTTCTCGGATGTGTTCGCACGCCCAAGATACCAGGAGTCGGCGGTTGCCGCGTACCTTAACCGCATCGGGGGCACGTTCCGCGGGCTGTATAACCCAGACGGACGGGGGTTTCCAGATGTCGCCGCGCAGGGCCAGAACTTCAACATCGTAACGCAGGGCTATGTTGTCATGGTTGGTGGGACGTCTGCGTCTGCACCGACGTTCGCTGCCCTCGTCAGCCTACTCAATAACGCGCGCCTCAAGGCCGGCGGGAGACCCCTCGGCTTCCTGAATCCATGGCTCTATGCCGACGCCGCCCACGGCGGCCTCACGGATATCGTGGTGGGCGGCAGCACGGGTTGCACCGGAACAGACCGTACGGCTCGTGGCCCCCCTTGCCTTCGTCCCCACATTCACCTCTTCCCGCGTCCTGCTGTTTCATTTCGCTGTGCCTTCCTCGCCCCCTTCGGTTCGACGAGAAAGGATTGAAAGAGGAGAAGATGCTAACGAGCGACAGGTTACAGTGGCCTGCCGGCACGGCACGTTCCCGGCGCGGGTTGGAACGCGACCGAGGGTTGGGACCCCGTTACGGGCTTAGGCACTCCGCTGTTTGACAAGCTGTTGGCGAAGGCGGCCCCGGGAGTGAAGTTGCCAAGCGCGAGAGGTTAAGAGGGTTACAGAAGCCTGGGTGGATGGGCTTAGCTGCTTGGCGCACCGCGTGGCTCTTCAGTATGCCTGCGCAGGTATTATAACGTACCTACATACGCACATATCTACAGGAGCCTTTGGAGGAGTAACCAACCTTGTGTGCGCGTGCGGGTTATCTTATCTGTTTCACCACCGCTATTCATGGGCTCGGTTGTTTTTGTCTGGCGTCAACTCTGGCAGTGAAATTCGCTCCGGATCTAGCTAGTGGTACCTAGGTACTCATAGTTCTGCCACCCCCGGAATTTAGGAATCAAGAAAAGATCACGTGCTTCGAGGTTACGTAGTAGGCCCCATCTCGACGAGACGCGGTGGCATTGTGGACGTGACGAACCCAGCGGCCGACGGGGACTACGCCTCGGTGGAGTCCCTCCACACTAGCTTTATCTCCCCGTGTTGTTTCGCCGGGTGGATACGACCTAACGACGCTCGAGACGAAACAGGGACCGAGACGGGGAGCAGGGCCTAAATTTTGCCGGGCCTTCTCCGACCCTCGAAATTCCCTCTGGTAGCGGGGGCCAACCTGGGTTGACGCCGGGAGCAAGCACGTCGGAGGCCCGTCAGGTGCGTGTGCATAGGTATGTTCTCTCGAGGGGGGAAGAACCAAGGGGCGTTTTGTCAACCGCCTATGCGAGCGACCATACATAGGTATGTACCTATCTACAATGCCCTTCCCCCGGAAGACCCATCTAAGTCCGGAGTGTCTCTCCCCGAAAAAGGGAGACGAGAAGAGACGAAATGACGGAAAGAGAGAGGAAAAAAACTCAATCCCAGTAAACCATGCCTCGTGTCTCGCAGACGGCGGCGAGAATAACAATAATCGGAATACAATAGAATATCGGCACGAAAAGTACGCGCACATGAGAAACGGTGATGTATTAAGGATCCCACGACTCTGCCCCTGCCCGAGGGGCCGGAGGCTCCGCCGACGACTACGAAATGAGAGGGTAGTCGGGACGGAAGACCGGGAGTTAATGATCCGATCCGTGTTTCTGCTAGACTCGGCGCGAAATCGTTGACCCCAATCTCGACCCCGGGACAGAGTGCTTTTGTGTTATAGGTTTTAGCTGTTTTGCCGCCCTCCAAATTTCCCCTGGCCTCGTTACCGGTACGGTGGATAGCGTATAGATTAAGTATTATTATTGTTCCTGAACGCGCCTTGGGAGGCGGCGACGCCGACGCCGATGGCGACGAGGACGAGGATGATGATGATGGTGATGAGCAGGCACCACCACTTCCACTTGCGGCGGTTGCGCGCGTGGACGATCCCCTTCTTCACGTGCGTGTTGCCCTCCTCGAGGTACTTGGCCGTGTTCTCGGCGTTCTGCTCCGCCTGCTCGACGTACGGCTCCTGCTGCTCGACCAGGATGGCGAGGTCCTGGAACATGGCCGCCAGCTCCACGAGCGTCCGCTCGATGCGCTGCAGCTCGTTGTGGCGGGCGCGCACGGCGCCGAGCACCGAGGTCGCCTGGCCGGTGCGGTTCGTGCGGAGCTATATCTCGCGTCAGCATCGCCGCCATAACTTCCACATGCGCGCGCCTACGAAGAGGCATAGAGAGCGCGAGGTCCTAGAGCAGAGACACATACCGCGGTCTGGAAGACGCCCTCGTTGCCCCAGTCGGCCTCGGCCGCTTCTCGGACTTCATCCTCGGTGGCTTCGGGGTTAACGATGCGGTATTGGCGGGCGATCTGGTCGCGGTATCGTTGACGGAACGAGCCCTCTTCCTCCTGGTAGCTGCGCAGCTCGCGCTCGAATTCCGCCTTGATGGTGTTGACCTGTCGCTCCTTCACGCTGCGGCTCGCGTCGGTGGTTTTGCTGGCGTCGGTGGCCAGGAATTTCAGCTGGTCGCGGATGCCGGCGTTCAGGGTCTGCGTCTCGGCGACTATGCTTTCCAGCTGCTGGGACGAGGAGCCGCTGTCGGCCTCAGCTAGCGCGCGCTGGTGCAGCGATGCGATTGCCCGGACATTGTTGGTGAGCGTGCCAATCTCGTTGCGGAGGAATTGGATGCGGCCGAGGAAGTCCTGCTGCGAGAGGGTGTTTGAAGCTGGCGGCTGTTCTTGGCGAGGGAAGTCTTGCAACTCGTGGTCCTAGACGGCGACCCGAACGTTAGAGAATTCTCGGTGCACGGGCGGGTTCGCTGGCGTTGCCGGCGACGACGTTACATACTTGGGGATAGCCGTAGCCCTGGTCGGCCGTAGGGGTTTGCTGATATCTGTAAGACATGGCGAACGTCTTCTAAGCCCTCACCGTACGAGAGCCGGGGAAGCCGGGTTTGCTGAAGTTTTTCGGGAAGGGGAGCGAGCGAGCGACAAGAATGGCGGATTTGCCTGTCGCGAGGGGGTATAAGGATGATGGTTGGATACAACCTATCAAAGACGTGGTGGTAAAAGGGAGAGGGTGAAGAATTAGCGAGGCGGAACGTGATGAGAGAAGATGGTAGGTAAGGCAGTAGTACGTAGGGATGGGTGGCTTGGACCATAGTAAGACTGCAGAGAGTTGCGTCTGCCAGGAGGTACCCGGGTAGAGGTGTGCATAAGATACATGGCATATACAGGTAATATCTTCTTTCCGGATAGGTTAGGTACCTTAGGTAGGTACCCAGCTGGAAAGGGCATATGTATCAATAGGTACCTGGGCGCTCGTATTAATAACCCCGCGCTGAATGTACTGCAGATTGTGCCCAAGTATTTTACATGTACATTCCTCCTAATAAGAGATAGGTACCTTCTAGGCTCTTAAATTGCTTGATGCTTTTCATCAATGAATGTTTTAGGTGTAGGTGACGTGGGAGATGTACCTAGATACCTACCTATCCTGTAGGCAGATAGGTACCTTTAGGGATACGCAAATTACGACAGATGACATACCTACAGCCTACAGGTACCTTCTCCTAACATTTAGTACAGTTTAGCCAATAGCTAATATGCACTTAACAGCCCTGCTCAGAGAACTTAGGAACTTGCTAGGACCTCTAGACTCCGGCGAAAGCTCCCATCCCATACTCTCACTGTTATTCGATTAATTACCTAGTATCCATGGGTAAGCATCTATGTCCGCATACGGTAGCTGCAGTGAAGGCATTGGTTCCATGGTCGTCTGCCCCGTACCAGTCCCTAAACTGACCCGAAAAGACGAAACAAGACACTTCGAACGGGAGGATAGGTACATGCTCGAGTCTACTGGGAGCTCTTCGAGGGATTGGATACTTGAGTGCCTAACAGATTGATGTTTCCCCCAGGTCAAGGCACATTAGGCACATAGAGTATGTATGCGCTTATCGTAGCGACTAATGCAACCCCAAAACAAAGCATAGCCCTGCGTCTTCTTACCGCCCTGTGGGGATTGATGATCGACTTGGATCCTTTCAACAGCTTCGGGGGGCTGAGTCCTGAACCTGGCTCAGCCGATGCTTCTTTGAGGCTTGGCGTCCTTCCAGCAGCTGCGGCCACCCTATTACGTAGTACGCCTCGCCTCTTATTTGCAAATGCGATCTAACGAGTGCGAGGCTTGACAGAATGAGTACGCTGAGTGGTGGTTCCGATGAGTGAAGCCTAACTACCTAAGATTGGCAACAATCAAAAAAATATCTTATCCCGGGAACATAGTGGCGGGTAAACGCTTTGTTTGCTTCTCATTCCTATTGGCGACAAACCCGGTGCCATACTCCCAGGTAAAACTTGCCTCACGGAAACTGGGTTTATGTAGACTTGGCCTTGGTATATTGGGTAACTAGCGGTAATATGCGCGACGGGAATATCGTCCGAGACCTGATTCCCGTCGGTTGACAGCCTCTCACTGCCAAAAGAGCTAGAGAGTCGGTGTTTTCTCTACCTCCTACATCTCATCCCTTCCATAGCTTGCCCATACTACGGTAACCGCAATGACGGCTTGGCAATGCCGGTCTTCATAAGATCGGGTAGGCGGCGGCCGGAATGAACCACCATACACCCAGCGGCGATCTCCGCACTCGGATTCCACGTTGTGGACGTATCCCCCATAGTAAGGTTGCGCGTTCTTGGGTTCCTTTATGTGCTAAGCGGTCGCCACACCGACAGGTTACCGCAGGGCAGATACACTCATATAGGTGTTTGCCTGAGCTCGAAATAAGATCTGTCGTTCCCTGTGGCGATACAATTCCGTCTGAACCGCGCGCGTGGAACGTACAGCCAAAGCACAATTGCGCCGCACTAGCGACATCAGGGCCGGCAGCTTCAAAGATAGTCTTTCTTGCGGCTAGTTCTCGTATACTGGTTGAGATGCCACTCGACGTCGCCGTCTTTGTTCTCCAGCGTACCGCTCCGGATCTCAAACACCCTCATAGTCATTCGGGGCCCGACTTCGGACAACTCCACGCTATCGTACCCAGTCCTGACAAATACATGGTGTCGCACCTCTATCGAATCCTCGATGTTCTTAAATGTGACAACTCGGCTCCCGAGCTTGGTCTTATTCGTCAATGGCTCTCGCGGGGGGAAAATGTGCTTCAAAATCTTGACAACTCTTGTTCCGAGGCGGGAGGTAAAGCCTAGCTGAAGTCAGTATGGGTGGGATACACGGACGTGTACACTCACCATCGAAGATCAAATGCGGATATGACTCGCTAACGGTCCCCCGAATGCTATTGGGGATATCATGGCGCAACACAACGTTATGCAGCGAGAATGATATTGTCGGCCCGTGTGGGAAGTGAGACAACGTCAGCGCTGTCGGGACGCCTCGATGCTCATGGAGAAGCACCAAGTCGCTGAGACCGCTGGCCTGTGCCGACCGGGTGAGGTCCGGGAGGACCAAGTTGCCGCGATTCAGCCGGATAGCAGTCGGGAGAAGCAAGCGGATCTCCTTTGCGAATGCTGATAAGCGAGCGGAGGGGTCTCTCGAGGTGGTAACGAGCACTCGGGGGTCGACTATGCCAGACAACTGCGAGTATTCGTCATCGAGGTCAAGTTCCTCGTTCACGCTTCGGTCCGGCCTCGATTCGTCGAATTGATAGTCTTTCCTCAACTCCTTGTCGTTCGCGATGGTTGGGTCCAAGGGTCTGCCAGTGGCCAACGCTGCCCGTAGTTTCGCTCTCTTCTCGCTTATCTCGGAATCGCGCAAGAGCAGCGCTCTTCTATAGAGGTAGTCGCGCCGCTGTCGTGCTTGCTTACGCTGTAAAACAGACCAGTTAGAATAATATTTGCTAATAAAACCCGTCGGCAGGCATACAATCATGCTTTTCGTCGCAAACCACAAAGTCGAAGCTCAAGGATCTATAGCTAGCTCTTCCCGTTTGGCTGCGGGAGAAGAATTCGAACAGCGGCTTTGCTGAAGGCTGGAGCAGGACTGGCAGATTAACGAGTCGAGCGTGGAAATAGAGATGGACAGGTACGCGAAACAGATTCGAAGGGGAAAAAAAAAAGAGATATAGTGGGTGGTAAGAGAGGTCGAATGTGTAGATATCTCTGTGGGAGCGCGTATGTTATCATGCAGTACAAATCTTTACTCATATCTGCTTGGAGAGAAAAAAAGGGTACCTAGATACCTCATTCACACCTATCACGCTGTGACAACCCCCCCTCGCTTGGCTATGCTGACTGGAAGTATATACATTCAGTAGAGGTACCTATGCCGAAGGTACAATTCACTTGGAGGCAAAGGTACCTCTAGAAGCATGTACCTTGACAGTGATCGGTGGTTACGAGACTCCGACATGGGGCTATTGGTCCAACGCCGAAAAGGCGACCCACCATCCCGCTGGGAATTTCTCGCCCGCCACATTGACGCAGGCGCGAACGAGGTATCGCAATCATTTTCTCGGAAATCAAAACCTTAGAATTCCACCATGTGATCACATCTCCCTCATCTCTTCTGCGGAACTCCCAACACATAGACGACTCCATGAGCTTTCCGGTAAAGGTTGCAATCAGACAGCCATCCTGTGGTACGCGAGCCGCCTAATTCCTAGTAAGGTAACGCTGGCTGCCGGCCGTTCGCCGTTCTTCTTCCGTGTCTGCATCGCTAGGATACCTTCCACTCCATTCTCCTCCCATCCGCCTACGCCGCCCACCGAACCCGTCCTCTACTAGACTTGCGCCCATAAGACTCGACCGCTCCCCTCGGCGGTACTGACAAGATTTACACAGAAAGGAAACCATCCCCCTCGAATCCGGTCAGTCTCAGCCGGCTGACGGCATTACAATGGAGGGCGCCTTTACCCATCTGGGCAACCATTTGGTATCTGACTCCGCTGCTGCGATCAACGCCGGAGATGACGACCTATCCGCCATCGACCCCGACGAGAGTCGCCTCTACAACAAACTCAATAGTCGCGGGAATATAAACAATGCGAGGCGTCGAAACGACGACGACGACAATGAGACCGAGGTTTTTGACGACGATGACACCGAGAGCATGGCCAGCGTGCCTGTTGGGGCCATGAAAGGCCTGTACTTCAAGTCCCCGGAGGAGGAGAAGAAACTCCCTCCCCACGCTTGCGCGTAGGTCATCCAGGATGGGAATGGTGCGGGGAGATTGCGTTGCTAACTCGGTGTGGTCGCGCAGTTATTGTGGCATTCACTCGCCAGGCTCGGTCGTCAAGTGTCTTACCTGCAACAAGTGGTTTTGCAGCGCCCGAGGGAACGCGAGCTCGTCACACATTGTCAACCATTTGGTTCGCGCCCGACACAAGGAAGTTCAACTCCATCCCCAGTCTGGCCTTGGCGACACCACTCTCGAGTGTTATAACTGTGGCACGAAGAACGTTTTCATCCTCGGATTCATCCCTGCCAAGTCCGATACCGTCGTGGTCCTCCTGTGCCGCCAGCCCTGTGCCGCCCCACCCTCCTCGAAGGATATGAGTTGGGATACCAATAGGTGGCAGCCTCTGATCGAGGATCGCGGGTTTCTGCCATGGCTTGTATCTCCTCCTAGCGACAACGAGCAACTCCGCGCTCGACACCTCACCCCTCCCATGATTGCTAAGCTGGAGGAGATGTGGAAAGAAAACGCCAACGCCACCATAGCCGACCTGGAAAAGGCGTCCAGCATTGATGATGACCCTCAGCCGGTCCTTCTGAAGTACGAGGACCCGTATCAGTACCAGAACATCTTCGGGCCGCTCGTGAAAATGGAATCCGACTACGATAAGAAGCTCAAAGAGGCGCAATCGGAGGACGGCTTAATCGTTCGGTGGGACCTAGGTCTGAATAATAAGCACCTCGCTAGTTTTACGTTCCCCAAGTTGGAGTCTGGTGACGTCAAGCTGGCGGTAGGCGACGAGATGCGAATCAAGTACAAGGGCGAGCTACGACCTCCCTGGGAGGGAGTAGGATACGTGATCAAGATTCCCAACAACCAATCCGACGAGGTCACCTTAGAGTTGCGCAAGACCGGAAATAGCGACAAGACCGTTCCAACCGAGTGCACCCATAACTTCTCTGCCGACTACGTTTGGAAAGCCACATCTTATGATCGCATGCAGGCCGCCATGAAGACTTTTGCTGTGGATGAGATGAGTGTCTCTGGATACATCTTCCACAAACTCCTCGGCCATGAAGTTGCCGTTGCTCCTATGAAGACCAACCTACCTAAGAAGTTTAGTGTACCGGGCCTGCCGGAGCTGAATAGCAGCCAGATCAGTGCGATCAAGAATGTCTTGAATACGCCTCTCAGCCTCATCCAAGGACCGCCAGGAACGGGAAAGACGGTCACATCGGCAACGATAATTTACCACTTGACGAGGATGAACAGTGGCCAAGTCCTCGTTTGTGCGCCTTCCAACGTTGCCGTGGACCAGTTATGCGAGCGAATCAATCTTACCGGATTAAAAGTCGTGCGCCTTACGGCAAAGTCTCGCGAAGACGTCGAGTCTTCCGTGAGCTTCCTCGCATTGCACGAACAAGTCCGTATGCTTGATACCAATCCTGATCTGATGAAGCTCTCTCAGCTCAAGAGCGACACTGGCGAACTTTCGAGTCAGGATGAAAAAAGATACAAGCAACTAACCCGCGCCGCCGAGCGCGAGATCCTCAACAACGCAGATGTGGTTTGCTGTACCTGTGTTGGTGCCGGCGATCCACGTTTGGCAAAGATCAAGTTCCGAAATGTCCTGATTGACGAGTCTACGCAATCTGCCGAGCCCGAATGCATGATTCCTCTGGTTCTCGGCTGCAAACAAGTCGTCCTCGTTGGAGATCACAAACAGCTCGGGCCGGTCATCATGAACAAGAAAGCTGCCAAAGCTGGTTTGAACCAATCTCTCTTTGAGCGCCTCGTCAAACTCGGTTTTACGCCTATTCGGCTCAACATCCAGTATCGAATGCACCCATGCCTTTCTGAATTCCCGTCCAACATGTTCTACGAGGGGTCCCTCCAGAATGGCGTATCCGCGCCAAGCAGAATCCGAAAAGACGTGGATTTCCCTTGGCCAGTTGCCGAGATGCCCATGATGTTTTGGTCGAATCTGGGCAATGAGGAAATTTCTGCTTCTGGAACGTCGTATCTCAACCGGACCGAGGCTTCTAACGTAGAGAAGATCGTCACTCGCTTTTTCAAGGCCGGTGTGCGTCCTTCTGACATTGGTGTCATTACTCCATACGAAGGCCAACGCAGCTACATAGTGACTACGATGCAAAATACCGGTACTTTCAAGAAGGAGTCGTACAAGGAGGTGGAAGTCGCATCGGTCGACGCTTTCCAAGGCCGTGAAAAAGACTTCATTGTCCTATCGTGTGTACGATCTAACGACAATCAAGGCATCGGCTTTCTGTCCGACCCTCGCCGGCTCAACGTCGCCCTAACTCGTGCAAAATTTGGACTTGTTATCATTGGTAACCCGAAAGTTTTATCCAAGCATGACCTCTGGCACCATCTCTTGGTGCATTTCAAGGAGCGCAAGTGCCTCGTCGAAGGACCTCTGACTAACTTGCAGGTTTCTCTACTGCAATTCAGCCGGCCCAAAAACACCTATCGCCCGCGTCCCCAGCAGGTGTCCTACGTCTCCAGTGGCTACTCGAATGGGAGGTCGGCCGGGCTTAACGGACACAACGCAAGTCAAGATTTCGAGTCGAGCTCGATGGTGTCCTACATACCTGATGACACCTCTAGTATTCACAGTTCTACTCTAGGCGGAGCTGGGCTGGGCAACACTGCCTTTCCCCAAATGTTCTCCAGCTTTAACCCGGAGCAATGGCCCGGTCTTCCAGGATTCAACGCCACCCCGGGCGGTCGAATGGGAAGCAAGAATAAGGGGCGAGGGGCGGAGAGTATTGCGGGTGAGAGCGTCGCTACTTCGGAATATACCGATGGGACTGCAAGTGTCATCGGCAGTAAGGGTGTAGGACAAGGCGGCGCCAGCCTCGGGGCAGGACTTCCGGATGCTCTTCGCTCACGGCCTACTTCGTACACCCAAAGCGACCGGCTTAAGCAACACGTCGCCGACAGCTCTAGCTACCCAGGCTATCCAAACGGCTTTCGACGCCGATACGACGATGACGAGAAGTCTGTCAGTACTGCCTTCGCCAGCCAGATCGGCAGTGGATTCGATTGATTCGTTCAAAGTGGAAAGTACAAGAATTGTGCTTGGACATTAATAGATGCGCTAGATAGGGGAGGCAGCACCCAATCCCATCCTGCCCCGGCCCCTTAATTAGCAATCAGCACAGCCCGAATCCGGCATCAGGACGTCTTTGTCTTTGGCGTATCCCAGCCTACGGGACTTTGCAACCTCGCAGCTCTCCTCGAGGCACTGCTTATAGCTGATTCAACAGCAGGAACCGAGCTCAAGCCGCCGCGCTAATGCTCAGGCCTGGCAGAAGTCCCTAGCTGGGCACTGCGACATAGGTTGCTCAACTGGACGGTTTGATCTGGTAGAGGAAGGGAGGGAGGAAGGGAGGAAGGAGAAGATGAGAGCAAGGACGCGACGTTATTACAGTGGATGCCGCCAACTGTGAAATTCGATGAGACGGGGGGCTCGAGACAGCTACCACGAGGCCCAACAAGCAGCGCGGCCAGTTGTTCTTCGCCCGCGAAACACGGCAGGTTCGATATGGCCCTTCTGGTCCAAGAGCCGTCGCGTTCTATGGGACTCGGTGCCCATAACGACCTCCATGCCCTGTACGGAAGTTTGCCGTGTGTGACTGGCCACTTAGGTAGACACTCACGTAGAAACTTAAGTAGATGTCACTTATCAATATACATTCGTTCACCTAACCGTCTTTCTTGTTACGATGCATGTGCATGCATCTCACCTTACAGCCGATTAGGCTAGGTGAGAGAACTCCTACACATCACGGGACCACGAGGCAATGACCACTACATCAAAATACTAGGCAGGCGTTTCGAACTTCTATGCTAGCACCCTCCCTACCCACTCAACCCTCTGCAACTATCACGACAACTCTGAAGTTCACTCGGATCTTCTCCGCACTGCGACCCGAAAATGGTGCGATATGTGTTAGGGAATTCCTGTGTTCCCAACATCAATATGAATTCCTGGCAGCTAGAGGGGGGGTCGGCAGCAAGTTCCCGAATTCTCGCGCCGTCTTGTTCGCTCGCTCTAGTTGAGGCATTTCGCATCCCGCTCTATACTCGAGCCAAAATCGGCGCTCCGCAACTACAACACACTCTCGCTCAGTTGGCTGTCTCGTAATTCACATGCGTCTCGATCGATCGTCATGACGGATGCAGACAAAGGTGACGTCGACCCAAATTCTGGCCAAGAGGCCCGTCAACTAACGCAGGCTGCTGAACACAACAACATTTATTTTGATGATTTTATTTAACTCGCAGCTGAAGAATTCCCTTCCCCAAGTGTTCGATGATCAAATATCTCGCCATAAAACCAACCGTGTCACTGTGTCACTGTATCCACCTACGTCTTCCGCCTCCCGTATATTAAAACAGCAAGTGCAGTCAAAGCTTACATATTTAGTCTCATCCCTCATTTTCCTCACCCCCTCCTATCGTAGAAACTAACTAACTACACTTGCTAGATTTTCCCAAACGAGCTCGCCAAAAGGAGTCAAGAACGTCAACACCCGTCTTTCGAAACTCGCCTATCACATCACGAGCCAACCCCAAGACGCGAAATCCGTATACCTCCGGGTTTATAAGTTAGTCTCACCGAACAATCGGGCTGCTCTGATAATATCATAATATAATAGTGCGAAAACGCGACCAGTATGCCTGTATTCTAGCTGGAACCCCTGATCCCTAAACCGCGCATTACATTCTCCCTGCGGAGACAACTTCTAATGGGAATGCTTCGAAATAAATACCCTGTTTTATACATTCGGGACGAGGAGAGGCATGAGACATGGTCTAACTTTTTCCTGAGTAGGACGATTCCTGAGCTAACTAAGAACCTCATTTGCCTTAACCACCAACTACGTTTCTGGTGGGAGAACGCCAAGTTCGCCTTGAAGCCTTCAAGGATACCCAAGAATGAAGAGATCCAAGCCTAAACAACCAATTATGTGCAACGAGTTTATTACTCAAGCTAGCCTTACGGATCAGAACTGGGGTGAAAGACTCACATACCATAAAATCGGCGTAAGAATCGAAATTAAATAGATATTCGTCGTTAAAGCAGACGATATAGAATTCTTCCGAGTTTCGAGCTCCCAGAACCATAATAGAACATTCTCTGTCATGTAGCCATTTCTAGAGCCGCGGAAGCTTCAGATAATGATTGTACAGATTGTAGTGAACACAGAGACGTTCTAGTTCTCTAGAAGCCGGAGGGGCCCCTATGGCGGTAGTAACTAGAGGGAGACAGTCTCGAAGATGATCCTTCATCCTAGGATCGGAAAGGCCTCCGAGAGATGCCGGATCACAGCAATGGGACAAGGGCAGTGCCGGAAATGATCGGATTTATCACGAAGGCAACATCGCCCTTGGGGAATGACATCAAGCCGACCAATTGTACACGAGCGGATATTAGCGAGTGGACGGTGTCGTCGTATTGTCGCCGCGCGCCGATTACCTATCTGTATTCGTACCAATCACGACACATAATGAATCCCACCTATATGTAACCCTACATAACACACGAAGGAAACGTAGGCGTCTATGTTTTCAAGTGACACGGCTAACATCACGTAACCTTTATAAGCCTATGTTCCAAAAGTCGTTGAGTGTAGACGACCACATTTTACGCAACAACTAATTAATAATAGGTGACTATTAGACCAGGGTTTTAAGGTTGGTTTTTGCCTTTTTATTTCCCATCATCGAAACAACTAGACTCACTCATCCGTGGGTCGCCCTGAAACTAGAGACTAACAAAGTGCCTACTTATAACTAAGCGATTCGGGAGCACTTGGGCTAAAATTAAGGCATTTTGGAAAAGGCGCGGCTTATGAACTACGGAGCTATCTTCAAACGGTGAGCTTGCACGTAGGGAAGTCTAGGATTTTGTTTACGCCTGAGTGTTTCTATTTGAATATGGGTATGTTAGGTACCTACGTCGCCGTAAGAACACATCTATTCATTATTACTTCCTCTTTCACTGCCTTCCCCCAGTGGAGCAGTCTTATCCCCACGCAGCTTCTAGTAGCTCAGTTAGACCAAGTTAGCTACAGCGCGCTCTGGCAACTTTGGGCGCGGTATTACTGGGGGCCCCAAACCAACGAGTGTTAGAAATTTCCTCTACTTGAGCTTATACTTTCCCATTAGTATTGTTCCAACCAGCGCCTTACGTTGGGATTCAATTCACTCTCGAAAACGCATCGCCGTCTCTAGGAGTGAGAAGTGCCCATCTGAAGCTCGCCGCCAGGTGTATGCGTAAGGTGGGGGGTTTTTTTTTGGAAGATTTTCGATACCGCGAACAGACACTACGCCTGGAGAGATTGAACGTCTAAGACCACAACTATATATTGCGTGTCTAGACCACGCATGTAAAAATGAACACCCTGATTGACGAGGCATGTCGCTTGGTAAATAATACAGCTCACCCTGGAAACCTTGTGAGATAAAAAAATCCTGATGGAAGTGCGTCGAATGTGATTCGAACCACCTCCTCTGTCTTGTGGGAGAGAGAAGCAAAGGTAATGGCCGCGAGCTAACTAGGTACGTCATACCACGGAAACCGACCTGCCACTACGGAGTCGCATAGCTACAACTGGGAAAAAACTCCACTTTTCGGTACGTACACCCTAGGGGTGTGGTAGGTAGGAAGGTGCAGGTTGAATATTCAATTATGCGTGGGGGAGGGGCTACCCTCTGGTTAGGTCGGCTAATAGGTAAGCTAGACTACCCCTTCGCGAGCTGAGTATTTTATATAGGTTTATATATAAACGATTTATCACCGTAAAAAATCGGAAAAAATCGGAAAATTCAGAAATTTACGTACGTAATTAATTCGCTTAATTAAATTAATATATAAACTTTTCGGATTTTTTGCTTAGTAATATAAGAAATTATTTATAATTTAAGGGGTTTTAAAACTATATTAATAATTTCCTATATAATTTATTAAGAACCTTATTAACTATACTTATATTAATATATTTACCTAATCTTTTTACGGTAATGAAGTAGGTCTACTACCTAATATTTTATTTTATAAATAAAAAAATGGCTAGTATTAAGTAATCTTATTTTTATTCTTTATTTCCATTTTTATTTAATTTATCATTTCAAGAAAACTACGTTTTTAAATAGGTTAAAACTTTTTAAAATCTTACCCATTTTTATAGTAAGAATTCTACCTTTCTAACTGTCTTCTTTTTTTTATATAACGAGGTTCTAAAAAAGAATACTAAAAATTAACGTTTTTAAGACTTAATTAATTTAAAAAAAGAAGTTACGTAATCTTAATTATTATTTTATCTATATTATAAAGGATTAGGTAATAGACCTACTTCATTACCGTAAAAGAAATAAGTTAAGAGGCCGATATAAAGTATAGTTCATAGATTTATTAATAAATTATATAGAAAATTATTAATATAGTTTTAAAACCCCTTAAATTATAAATAATTTCTTATATTACTAAGTAAAAAATCCAAAAAGTTTATATATTAATTTAATCAAGCTAATTAATTACGTAAGTAAATTTCCGATTTTTCCGATTTTTTTCCGGTTTTTTACGGTAATAAATCGTTTATATATAAACCTATATAAAATACCTAGCTCGCGAAGGGGTAGCTCGGTAGCCTATAACTCTATTCGTACATATACAAGCTACTACGAATATAATATGAAGCTATCGGGGACTTGCATCAAACATACATACCTCCTCCTATTGGGGGCGTATGTGTAGACGATAAAACTGGGGCGTTCGACCGAAAAGTGGAGTTTTTTCCCAGTTGTAGCTATGCGACTCCGTATGCCACCCCCCCCGATAGGGGCGGGGGGCGGCAGGCGGGCATCGTAGCTCTGGCGGCGTGCTCGGCGACTAGTGCCATCGGCTGGGCCGTACCGGCATGCCAACATTTATGCCGTTGGCACGATACAGCTCGCTGGTCTCGGTCATTACTTGGTGATACCCTCGCTTACTCTGCTATATAACCTTTACGTGGCCCCCTTATCTCCCACCGGCTGTTACTGTGGTGACACGGCACAACCTCGAGTTGTTCCCCGGGTATTATATACGGATGGAGTGCTACTGCAGCCCATAATATAGGTAGACCACGAGCGGTAATACTTACCACCCTTATCCTGCCTCCTCACCACATGTAACTCGTGTTCTTATATTCAATGGCACTTCCTAGCTAACTTGGAGCTCACACACATTCTCCGCGCCCATATCGATCTCTCTTGGCGTACGTATGGCCATTTTAGAGATCGATATTGGCCATGGAATCAGAAGCCCATGCTTTCGGTGCGGTGCTATGCTGTCAGGTGCGTATAAGTCGACGTCACCGAGCGGGGAAGGATCGTAGACTTCTACCTATTACCGTGGCGTACCTTGGACTAGAGAACTGATGATCGAGTTTTCTCGGCATGTTCACACACCAAACTGCGGTATTGGTTGCTGTCGGTGTGCTCGTCTGACTACGTTATATCTAGGTAATAGATCCACATCTCCTTAGGGGGCCAACTTGTCAAGGACGTAGGTAATAAACTGTCCGGCGAGAGAGGCCAGACAACCCATTGTTAGGTATTTTATGGGTGTCTCCCATCAATCCTCCGTATAATACCTACTCATTCGAATACCGGACAAACCAGGCCGGTAACCCATAAACCTGTAGGTTAAAGTTGGGTCGGTTGGATTACCTACCTAGGTATCTAACCGATCTACCGTCGCTTTCCGACTAGGTACTAGGTGTGGCCATGCAGTGTGGCCGCGCGACGGCCACAGATAGGTAGCTTATGTAGGTGGGTACTTACGTACCCGCCGCGTAACACCGGAACGAAATAAGCTGTCGCATACTCTATACTGATGTCACTCAGACTTCGCCAGGGTTGACCGATTTCTTATAGGCAGGCCTGGCTACCCGATGGTAGGTAGGTATTGCCAGTAGAGAGTTGAAGAGGGAGTAGGGGACGCGAGTGGTACAGGACCTCGCAGGGGGTTTGGGCGCGGTTTAGGATACCTTTGGAGGTGGTGTATAGGTAAGCCGATAGGCCGAACGGTGGCACAGGAGGATCTACGTAGTAGACTGGGAGACTGGCTTAGGGACGGGTGTAACCGTCCTTGAAACTCGAAGCACGTGGCTGGTATGCATCGTCTATATAAGACATGTATGAGTAATGTCGATGCCGTCCATCCTTTTACGAGCTCCTTCTGTCCCGCGGGGATGACTTGGTGCATGATACACTTTCGTGCTCAGTTTCATGTGGTGTTCCAGGAAGCACACCTCGGCGCCGTACGGGCTCTGGAAAGATTAGGTGTGTACGTGCCTCCACGTGCCCCCCTAGAAGGCGCCTGATGTAGGTATTCCGGACGAGACTTGAAAGTGAGGCAGGGCACGGGGCAAGCTCAAGAATACGAAGTCTGAAGCAACGAGAGAGGTAGTAGGTTGGGTTCCTCGGTCGAATTTTGGTTGAAGCACCTAAGCAAGCTTCTTACATGTAGGCGCCCACCCGTCCCTCTGCCAGGTTAGGTTAGGTACCTAATGTGGACAATCCATGCTGCTCGTTGGCTGGTTGGTCTAGCGCTGGGACACGCCACAGAGTGGATGGCCGGGTACGTGATGTAGGCCATGGCTCCGTGCCCACGCAACAACCACGTCCCTACCGACTTACATACGAATACCCAATGTACGTGTAGGATGGGTGCGGGTGGCTAGACTGGGGGTTGCCAGGGGGGGAGGAGGGGGAGACCCTCAGCGATACGATGGTCAGGTACCAATCAATCCAATATTGCTAGTCGGGTTATCTACTGAGACCACCTAGGGTAACCATAAATAAGCACGGCCATTGTAGGTGATAATAGCAATGCCCTCTCCGTCTGGTGTTGAATTTCGAATAGCTTGGGCACATACATGCCTACCTCCCAGCTTTAGCACTACAGGATTCTGCCAGGTTGTCACTTAACTGCTTGCCTAGGTATAGGCGCCCTGACTACCTACGTGCTACGTGGGTGCTTGGCATAGCTTTCGCTTTCAACCGATTCCCGTTTTAGCATCGAATTCCCTCCCTCTTCTCTCGTGGCATGGCGAGGGGATTGCACCTCTCACCTGCGTCATTCTTTGCCTGGGACAACGAAGATAGGCGACTGGAACTTGGTATTTAGGACGGACTCGGCCTCGGTTTCTGTCCACGCGCCAACATAGAGTGTTCGCTCGACTCACTTTGCTTTACTAGATCCCATCCCGCCACTCGGGAGGACATAACCTACCACGCCCAAGATGGCTTCGTCGGCGGGCCCGACCACCGTGGGACAGAGACCGCACTCGCCGCCCGCCGCGAAGGAGGACGGACCTCGGCCTAATACCGTCGAAGCTAAATACGAGTCGAAGGGGACGCAACCGACGAAGGCCATTCCTCGGAAGGCGTTGCATACGGAAGCCAGGCGATCCCGCGATCTCCCGCATGCCACCGTCACAGACACCGTCACACAAACTGCCGAGGGCGTCCATTTAGCGGTACAACGACCAACGACGGCACCGACGGGTGCCCAAGCTCATGACGACTCGGTGAACCCGCAGGACTTCCAGGGGGAGGTACAAACCACCAACGACTTGCCCACAGCGGAAACACTTCGTAAAATAGAGACCTACACTGTTCTCGATTGCGACGGCAAGTCGCGCACTTTCAAGAGCCTGTATGCCGGCCACAATTCCGCCCGTAGGGTGCTCATCGTCTTCATTCGACACTTTTTCTGCGGTGTAAGTCGGCCCCCTCGACCATCGCCGCCCACGCCCACGCCCACGCCCGTACCGGCACCGGCACCGGCGCCAGCGTCAGCAGATCCCCGGGTACCGCGTACTGACCAGAGTTGCCGCAGAATTGCCAAGAATATCTGCGCACCCTCTCAGCTTCCATCACGCCCGACGCGCTCCTGCAATTGCCAATCAGCACGTTTATCGCAGTTGTCGGATGCGGCGCGCCAGAGCTGATCAACTCGTACATTCAAGAGACCGGTTGCCCCTTTCCGGTTTATGCTGACCCGACTTGCCGCTTGTACGCGGAGCTGGGAATGGTGCGCACCCTGGCGCTGGGTTCGCGGCCGGCCTATATGCAGGGCAAGTCGATAGCGCACACCGTTGTCTCCGGCGTAGTCCAGGGACTTAAGCAGGTGAAATCGGGCTTGGTGATGAAGATGGGTGATCAACGCCAAGTAGGCGGCGAGTTTTTGTTTGAGCCTGCGGCGTTGACTTTGGATACCCCCATCTCCACTCCGCGAAGCGAGGAGGAAAAGAAGCTAGAGCTTTTCTACGACGACGGCAACCGAGACAACGACCACGAGAGCCAGAATATCGAAGAGAAGCGGGTTACCTGGTGTCATCGCATGAAAACCACACGGGATCATGCCGAGATCCCCGAGCTCATGGAGGTGCTCGGGTTAAACGGCACTGGCGCCCCCATCAAGGATAAGAAGAGATGGGAGAGGGCATTGAGGACAAGAAAGGGCACCGGCGTAAGCATGGCAAGCCAGATGACTCGAATGAGCCTTGATATCGGAGAAAACGGTGTTACGAGGGCATAGGAATGCCTCTTCTGGCTCGGGACTATGCTGAATCGCCAAAGGAGCAGCCGAGTGCCCAGAAAGCGACGAAACAATTTCTACTTGGTACGTCCTGTTTGGGAGCGTGGGCGCTGGCAGGTGTTGTTTGTTTAACTGTGCCCTCCCATGACTACCTACCCAGGCGTGCACAAGAGCGGTAGCCTACTGGAGTGCCTCCCTCTGTCTAGCATAGGACCCGTGGAGGTGCGCTTCTGCTCTCGATCTCTCAGAGAAGCGGCCCCCTCGGCGTCATCATCTAGTCTCCGAACAAGGTAGATGTATGGTGGGAAAGAAGTCTTTCTTCTACACTTGAACCCCTCGTCAAACCAAGAGCGGCCGGGAGGCGATTCATAGAATGACACAGAAGCCCCCCTGTCGATCAGGATATGGGCGCACGCCATGGGCCTGTGAGTAATGGGTGTGCTTGTGGCCGGATTACGCACGAATCGGCCGGGGCATTCGGGAAACGAAGAGGCATCATGGAGGAATGGTATCCTGCCGACGGTTGCTTGGCCTAGAAGGTATAGCGAGGGTTTTTTTTGTGAAGGGGACGGGCCGGAGCAGTATGAGTATGCTGACAATGTGCATAACCTGAAGTAGGGTGGCTACATAGAGGTGCCTGCCCGTTGCCAAGAATGTACGGTAGCGGGAGGTACCTACTCACTAGGAGGTACCTAATAATCAACTAGCATTAGGTAACCTTATAGGTTGGGCAGGTATCCTGACCTTTACAGGTACCTTCGTAGTACTATACCTACTCATAGGTGGGGTCAGCACAACTCTCCATCGTCTTCATCTCAACCCGCTCTGCCTCTGAAGCTCTGATGGAAAACGACGTCGTCGGCAGCAGGGAAACCAACGCCCATAGTACCATGGCTTGGATCATGCCTCGGCTCGCGAGACAATCGACTCTGCCAAATTCGCTACGTTGGCACTCGTCAACACTTCCAGACTCTCCAGGGTCGCGCCGAATCCTCTCGTGATCCAATTGCGGACCTCGATCGAGGTCAGCGAATCGAGGCCTGAGATGCCATGCTCCACTGAGCGTCTACGTTGTCGCGTACCGCTGATGACACTTCCGATAACTTCTCTAATAGGCCCTACACGACCACCAGACGGGCCTCCTCGCTACCGGCTGCGGCCCGGAACGCGTTCCTATACGACACGGCTGGTCCAGAATCGCCGCTCGCGGCTGGTATCTCTGCTACTGCTGCTGCTGCTGCCTCCAGGTGTGCAAACCGTGGGTCTTGGGCGTAATAGGGCAAGGCACCGGCGGCGCTTGGAACCAGCTTCAAACCCGTTAGGTATTGCGGACCACATTTTCCGGACATAGCCACTGCCAACAGTCCCAGGACCTCGGTATCAGAGATGAACTGCCCCCCGAAATTCCTGTCGATCGATTCCTTGCGTCTTGCTGTTTCTGCTGCGGTATAGTCGGCACCCATGACGACCGTCAGGTCCAGCGAGACGCCGGGAAGGCCCTGCGCCACTCTATACCGGGCAAACCCGTCCAGAAACGTGCTGGCGGCGGCATAAGCCGCTCGCCCACGGCTACCGACAATCCCTACCACGCTTGACAAGAGGACAAAATAGTCAGGGTGTGCATTGTTGGACTCGAGCGCGTTATGGATGTTCCAGGTGCCTTGGACTTTGGCACGAATGGTAGAGATATATGACTCGTGGGTCATATTTCCGATCGTGTCGTCCTATCACAACAGTTAGGTCTGCCCCTTTTTTTCTAGCCTCGGTCCATTCGAGCACGCCCTCGGCTGGCTAGGAGCGAACTTACGTGAAGCATCACGGCAGCATGGACGACGCCGCATACGGGCAGATGTTTCTCGGCGCATTCCCTCACCACTCGGTGTACGCTTTCCCCTTCCGCAATATCACAGGCTTTGACAACAATGCTGGCTCTATCTCGCGTCGCGTCCATAAGTTGTTTCACCCTAGTAACGTCGCCCCCGCTCCTCGACAACAATACGATGTGTTTAGCGCCGTGCTCGACCATCCACTTGGCCGTGCACCGGCCTATATTACCAGTACCACCGATGATTATATGAGTGCCGTTTGGGTTAAGGAAGCGTTTCGAAGTATCGTGTGAGGCCTGGCGAAAACGTCAGCAGCATACAAATTAGACACCAGTAAGAGGAAGGAAATCTTAACCGGGATACAAAAGATATGGATATCCCACGTACCATTACGACGTCGCCCTGCTGAACGGAGACAACAACCGGGTGTAAGGCGCCTCGTTGGACTATTTCCAACCCCCTGCCGAGTTCTGCCATTCGTAATGCCACTGATCTCCTTAGAGGCTTGAGGAGTCCCTTCGAGAAGCATTGCGTGACCTTTATCAGAATCTCCTTCATGAGTTGTGGGTGCGTTCTAGTCAGACTCCGCATGTTGATCGACGTGAGACATATATTCTCGGCAAGATCGGATCGATCATCAAGGCGATTGTCGAATCCTCCGTACAAATGAACAACACGTCCGAACGGCGCAACGTTCGTCCACACCCTCCCAATAATTTCTTCAACTGCCAACGATAGGGTTGAGTCGCTGGTAAGGGCGACGTTGATACTATCTCCACCCAAAGCACGTTGTACTTCGTGGTCGAAATAGATGCTACCTGCGTCAAAGACATGCTCTGGGCAGATGCCGAACGACTCGAACACAAAATCTCGGCTTTTGCTACCGTGAGTCGCAGCAAACACCTCGGCACCAACGTGTTGCGCAATTTGTATCGCAGCCAGCCCCTCAGCACTATTTACTTGGACGAGTAGACGATCGGACTTCTGGATACGCGCAACTTGTACAAGTGCGTAGAACGCCGTCCCGAAAGCAGACGGAATCATGGCTGCGTCTTCGAAGCTCACCGTCTCGGGCATCTTGACAACGCTGTTTTCTGTCACATAAATATGTGTACCCAACTGGCCAACGGTCAGGGCGCAGACCCTGTCCCCGACATTGACGTCGGTGATGCCGCACCCAACACGAACGACGTTGCCGCTACATGATCTTTCTGGCCGAATGGTCCTGTTCGTGCCAGCAAGAGCGAGAACGTCATCTGAGCCCAGCCTGCTGGCCTTAATCTCGACCTCGACTTGATCGTCCCCTAGAATCTCGGTGGTCGGAACGTCCTCAAAGGAAAGCATGTCCCGGAAAATTCCAGCTTGTGGAGCAACACGCAACCGACGTCCCGATTGTCGGAGTTCCTGCGAGTATGGCTCGGACCGACCTAGTTCCCGGTTCACTCGCAAGTTCATATCGTCATCGACGACATAGCGCGGAACGACTAGACGCCCTTCTTGCTCGGCAAATTCCCTATCGGCTTCGGCGCTGTTCGATAACACGGTTCGTCGGAAGGCATCTTCGATCAACTTAGCTTGTCCTTCGGTACCCAACGTGCTGTCCGGGTCGAGGTCAAGGGTAACAGCAGTCTTACCAAGCTCTGATCGTAGTGAGCGAAAGAGACCTTGAGCCATATTAGTGCTTGGGTTCATAGGGACCTTGGACGCGCCACACGTCACCCAGAGGACGCCTCCAGTCCGCGCCAACAGGCTCTGCACCCTCTCAAACTCGGCCTTGTTGATTGAGCCCAGGACGGCACGATCAAGCTCCGAAAGCACCACAAAAAAGCCGTCAAAGTCTCCGATCTGGTGCAGACTTGAGGTATTCGGAGTAACCCCAGAACGTAACCTGATGACCTTGCATAGTGCGGTCACCAGCGTGTCATCGCAGGCGCGTTCCGTGACAACGGTTATACGCTCCCCATTAGCTTTTATATGCGCACAGCTCACATCGTTAACACGTCGCTCATCGGCTTGTTCCCAACGAACATTGTAACATAGTTCTCTTGGCTTGGAATCCAACATCGGCGTCGTATTTATCGGAGCGAGTTCTAGTCCGAAGATGGAGGCGAAAGGCAACTCACTATCCACCGGCGTGAACAACTCGGCCGAGAACAGATTGGACCTAGCGTCTTTTATCGACTGGACTATAAACTCGGTCCCAAAAGTTTGTTCCCAGCCTTTGCTCGCATTTATATCTATGTGCTTTATCGCACATGGTAGTTGTGGTCCCACGATTCCGTCAAACCCCAGATCGCCCTGCGATACCTGAACCAGGGGCTCCAATGTGGCCGGATGGACCACATACGAGGACTCGTATGCGAGCGGCATGATGGGTTTTGTGTCTAGGAAGACACCCCGAGCGGTGACGACGTATTCGTCTGCCTTGGTTATTCTGACGAGGTTGCAAAAAGAATGTGGATAGCTCATACCGCTAGCACTCAGGTTGAAGTAGAAAACCGCGGCAGGCATGAACGACTCATTTCCAGCGAATTCGGGATCTAAAGGCGTCCTATGATTGGAAGGGCAGGTATAATCGCCCTTTGTAGGCTCAGCCTCAACGAACCCGTGGCAATGCTCCAGCCATCCTCGCGTCGACTCGAAACTGGAGATGATAAATTCACCCCAATCCATCCCAGGTCCGTGTCGTGCCCTGATTTTCAGCACAGTCTCAACCGGCCTATCTTTCTCCAGAAACAGGTGCTCTGGAACGATAATGTTGCGCAGATGGAACCTGCCCGCGCCGACTCCCCCAAGTGCCGCTCGTTGACTAGCTGCTTCGATAACCATGGAGACGAAGGCGGACACTGGAAATACGGAACGAGTCTGAACCCGGTAATCACGTAGCCACGGCAGCTTCTCAAGCCTGATAAAATTGCGCCATGTCGGCTCCAAGCCGTAACCCCAGCCGGTCAGTGTTCCGATCAGGTCGTGGCGCGCGAATGGGCTGAGTCGATGTTGTTGCGTGATTCGATTCCGGTACCAACAGCACCGGCGTGACCATGGGTACGTGTAGAGAAACGAAACTACGTCGGGTGTTTCTGCTTCTGATCGATTGTGGTTGACGTTGAAGAAATCAATGCCCTCGTAACCGCGTACGAAGAGCTGGCCAACGAGCTCTAGAGTTGTCTCGGTCACATCATGATTCCTAATGAGAGTTGGCATATATGCCGGAGTCTTGGCGACGGGCAGGTCCAACATCTTGGGGATCTCCATGATCAAACCTTTGAGCGCGGAGTGTGGTCCAATTTCAATCAGGATGTCTGGCTCGCTCCTCTTACAGAGTGCTCGTAACCCCGTGGCAAAGAGTACGGGGCTCGTGAGGTTGTCTACCCAGTACCGGGGGCCGAGTTCCTCTGCGTCAACCCTGTGGGAAGATAGGGAGGAGAAAAAGTCAACGCTATCATCGGCATCCCTCAATGTGATATCTGCGATCATACTATAATACGTCTCAGCTATCAATTTCATATGAGGGCTGTGATAGGCAACGTCAACGAACAGCTTGCGGCTGATGATCTTATTGCTGGCTAACGTGACAGAAAGCTCATCGACGGCTTCGGTGTCTCCCGACACCGTTGTCGAAGTAGGCGAGTTCTTGTAGGCTACTGCAACTCGAAGGGGGTTCCGCAGTTGTTTGAGGAACGGCTGCAACTCCTCTGCCCCCGTGCCTACGACCATCATGGAGCCCTCTAAAGTCTGGAAATTTTGCTTGAACGCAACGATAGCCTGTCCGCGGAAATATGCTACAGACATCGCCGTTTCCAGGGTCAGGGTGCCAGTTGTGTATGCTGCGCTAATCTCTCCGGTGGAGTGCCCGGCGACTGCTGAGGGTTTAACGCCCCAAGAGGCCAGGAGGTCGACTAATCCGATCTGGACGGCACTACAGATCGGTTGGCTGATATGAGCCATGTCGACACGAGAATCTTGCTCGTCACGCAGCAACTCCTCTAGTAACGAGAAATCGGCACCTAGGGTGCGAAGGTGATTATCGGCTCTCTGTATAGACGAAGCGAATACAGCGTAGGACTTCAGTAGCTCCCGGCCCACGGTGTTCCACTGTGCCCCCTGTCCGGTGAAGACGAAGGCGAGCTTGGGAGATTTGGTAGGCGCACGTTTCGGCATAGCTTCTGGCCTGCTGAGGGCTACCGCTAATTTACTACACGTGTCGGCAACCACAGCTACACGCCACGGTAGCTTCGAACGTCGCTGACATAGCGTATCTAGATGTCTGTCAGTGTGCCCGCTTACCAGTGCTAGGATATCATCGCCACCTACATGCCAAGTTCCGAGGCAGAGTGCTTTCGTAAAGCTCTGCGTGCTGTCCGGGAAAAATACCCAACTGCTCCATACTTTTTCTTGCGGCTGCCTCGTCGTTGGCGCTTAATATAAATATCCGCTTCGTTTTAACATGGTCCTCAAGCCTCTCAGCATCTAGGTGTTCGGTCTCATTCCCAGCTGGCAATCTTGAAAGGACAGCGTGCCCATTCGATCCACTACACCCGAAATTTTTCACACAAATATACTTCTTGCTCCGTGGGAACGGCTCCTGTCGTTGCGGGATCTGAAAACGTAGGTTAGAATCGTCTCCTCCGTCTGGGTCTTCAAGATGGCTCATAAATTTCACTCACTTTCAGGTTCCATTCGGAGAAAGGAATCTCCAGGTTCTCCCTCTCAAAGTCGGCATTCGACACCAAAACCCCTTTTTCCAGCATGAGCGCGGCTTTCATGACAGATATAATACCGCTAGCGTTTTCGAGATGGCCAACATTTGACTTCACCGACCCGACTCTCAGTGGTTCGTCACCCTCCAGGTTCTGGCCAAGTGCTCTGCGGATGCCTCTAGCCTCGATAGGGTCCCCGGCTTTTGTGCCAGTACCGTATTCCTCGAAGAAACCGATGTCTCTGGCATCAATTCCAGCTTGTATGAGAACATTACACAACAGAGGCTCTTGCGCTTCTGAGCCTGGCGTCACGACACCTGCAAAGATTCTGGTTAAGTTGCTTGCTAACAGCCAACAGAAAATGAAACATAGGCACATACCAACGGTTCGGCCGTTATGGTTTATTCCCGTATGAGATATAACGGCCCTGATATTGTCATTGTTTTCTACCGCCCTGTCAACAGGTTTAAGAATTAGGCATCCGACTCCCTCTCCTCTGGCATATCCGGACTTGGCACGATTTTCAAACGCGTGCGTCCTACCCGAGTCCGCAAACAGTCTGTAACGTTTGACATCAGCTCAACTAAAACTTTCTAAAGGAGCGATGTCGTATGGTTTACCTCAACCTCGCCATTGACACCCAGACATCGGGCTGCGTAATTATGTGAGAAGCTCCAACGATAGCCTGTTCCGACTCTCCCAGCCGTATACTTTGGACAGCCATGTGTATCGCATGCATACTAGATGAGCATGCCGCGCCAGCGGTGAGAGAAGGCCCACGAAGGTCGAAAAAGTGTGATATCCGACCAGCCAGGAATCCCCCCCGGTTACCAGTAGGATCGAACATCGGCGAGTTGTCTAGATCCCTGAGGTTTCCAATTCCATGTTCGTTATCGGGACCACCAATGAATACGCCGACTTTTTGGCCCGAAATAGATTCCTTCGGGATTCCCGCGTTCTCGAGAGCTTCGTAAGAGCACTCGAGGAGGAGACGCTGCGTAGGATCTTATAAGCGGTTAGCCTCGTGGCGCAAGTTCGACGAGAAGGTGACTATAATTACCCATCGTCTCGGCCTCCTTACGTGTCATGTCGAAGAAGCCCGGATCGAACAGCTCGAGATCTTCAGATAAGAAATAACCACCCTGCGAGTATATGTTGCCCTCCTTCTCCAGGCCGGGGTGATTATAAACCTCCTGGTGGGAGCGTTGCCGTGGTATCTTCGACCACGCGCTACGGCCCTTGGCCAGCAACTTCCAGAAGTCGCCTGGCGAGGACACATCGCCAGGCAGGCGGCAAGACATGCCGACGATGGCGATGGGCAACGGCGCCCCGGGCTCCATTGTCGAGTTTGGGGCAAAACGTGAGGCTGAAGAGTACCAATCGGCTAATAGTCTCAAGAGATCGATGGAACGTCCCGAATCTAATATACTACAAGCCACATATATTATAACTAGAATCACATAGATTTTCATTTTGGCGCAATTCGCCGATTTTAGGAATCACCTCCTGACTAACCATCCACTGGATAAGTGGTGTGTGGGCACCGAGAGGACGGTTAAACTGGCACACTGGCTCGTGGTAAAACCTTTCTACTCGTGATTGTTGGAGAGATCAGATACTACGGTTATGGGAGACTTGAGATCCTTCGGCATGGTCATTTTAGGCTTTCGTCTAGCACAATTTACACCCGCAAACAAGTTACCCATACTGGGCCTCGCTCTAGCTCCTTTGCAAATCTGCGTCGACATTCAATATTGACTGCATAGGTATGGGCAGGTGTATTAGTTTCCATCCCACCACCCCCGCTCATTACACGGAAACCTAGCCAGCGTAGCTATTCGGCAAAGTTCCTGATATGCAACGAAGTGAATGTGACGGGTCCCTCTAGTTAGGTTATCGTCATAGAATGTTGCCTCAACAGCGGCACGCAGTTGACATCCAAGCCTCGTTAATGTGCTAGGCTGTCAACTTAGCCTCCAGTGGCTGTTGTTTGTAAAAGCTTCACACACAGTACCTAATATCTGAGTAGGAATCGGAAGTCCGTAGCGGGGACGTAAGTAATCGATCCTGATATGGAATCCAGCACAATGATTCTCGGGCAGAGACCTAACAACGGTGGCTACCGAGAACCGAGCCCCCTCGGCACTGCTAACAATGTAGGGGGGCAACATTCTCAAAGCTCATATTGCCAACCAAAACGGCTGGTTTATCAACTAGACATTCACTCTTCGATCCGCGGTAGAGCACAATACGGGCTAATAATGGGGTGAGTAGGAGTCGCAAGAGGGCGATCCCAAAGCCACATGGATGTCACCCATATGGGCCTACGGCAAGTCCCTACGGGTTGCAATACGTGTCGTAGTCCGCGCCCTCCATGCTACCACCTCCGCCGTTCGCCTCACGAAGCCAATACTCATCAGCCCCGTTTGCGGGTAAGACGAACACGACGACCGGGCGCGCTAGGTCCGGGGGAGGGGCGAGGCATGGAATTTCCACCCGAGAGTGGATGGTGTAGCAGTAGAATAACAGCTCTAGGATTTCCTTCTTTCGTTCCAGGAGACTTCCCACGAGGCGCCACGGCATAGACGGACCTCAAACTCGGAGACAGGCGGATAAGAGATCAGGCGCACTTGTACCTAGCCACCCCCCCCCTTTTCTTTTCCTTTCGACCAAGATGAAATTTCTCTACCTCCCGCGCGCCTGCGGCAGCGCCAAGGCGCGCGGGTGTCTGCCGAAGGCCGATCTGGGCAGCAGGCCTGCTCCGGGGCAGCGGCGCGTAGCGCGGATCTAGGCGCGCGGGCTAGCGCCCGAGGCGACGCTGCGTCTCGTCTGCGCGCTCGCCGACGACCTCGCCGTCGACGGCCTCGTCAGCTACTCCGGCGGCGCCGGGGAGAGCTGGCGTCGGGAGGAGACGGGGATCCCGCGGCGCGTCAAGGCAAGGTATCCCCTCTCTCCCTCTCCCTCTCTCTCTCTAGCACCCTAACCTCGATTCTTCCCCTCGTTAGAGGCTAAGGGGGAAAGGAGAAAGGAGAAAGAACTGTCGAATACGGTAGGTAGGTAGCGACTAACACGGCGCTCCCCCGCCGACACCGCCCCCGCCCCGGGGGGCAAACAGTTCGCTATCTTCTCCTCGGGCACGCTGCCGCTGGTCGCGGACGGCGAGAGGAGAGCTTCTCGGTGCGGCTCGCCGACGAGCGCGGGCCGTGCACGCTCGCATCCCGGCGTTCCGCGTGTTCGGGTCTAACGACCTGCTCGCGCACAACGCCGTCGCGACCCCCCCCCCCCTTCCCCCCGACGGCACCCGCCCGTCGGCCGCTAGCCTCGGCCCCCGAGAGCGCCGTCGTCGCCGAGCGAGAAGCGAGATATAAGGAAGGACGTGCGGGGACGCGAAAGTCTGGCGGCAATCTACTTTCAAACATGCCTGCTCGCTCGCGGGTTACACTTTTTTTTTTTTTTTTCCTTTCGATTCGGTGCGTTGCCGCGGCAGATCGGACCTAGGGGTCTGCGCATGTAGGCAGCAAGGAGGCTACTCGGTAATACAGTTCGGGCCGCAAGGTCGGGGCGTCGTCGTTAACCTTGTCGTGTCCCTCTCCCCTTGGAAAACAGCCCAGCTGGGAGGCATATCCCGATACAGTGTTAACTATGTGAGCTAGCCTTATCGATACATTGTTGTTCATTAGAATAATAAGCATAGCCGAGGTGGCAGAAGCAGCATGCGACGTCGTCAGGTTCTTGAGACGTGGAGCCATATACCCGCTGGCTTCCCCCCTCCCCCTCTTCCTCCTCCCCCTTTCCCGTCTCTTTTCTTTTTTATACTTTTTTTAATAAAAAAAAACAAAGGAGAAAAGGAGACGGGAAGCCCACCAACGATCGTAATGCTAGCGATAAAACAACCCGGAAACACAGTTGTCTCGATCGGCCAGGGTATTCACAATAAGGAAAATGTAAGCGGTTAACTATGTACAGGACTAGGTACAATGGATTGAGACGATACCCTCGTCAACTAATCATTGTTGTTCAGGGTCGTTGGATAGTTATGCCAAGCCTCGGCCGACGCCCGTAGCTATATGGCGACTAGGTACTTTTCTTCTTCCTCTCTGTAGCGGAGCGCGTCATGTACTGCTTTGCGTCAACCCGAAGCAAATTATGAACCTTGACGTCGAGAGGTCGCGTAGCCGACCTGGCCCGGATACGGTCGATTGTTTCGTGGTTGGTACTACTCATAGTTGTGTATTTTTGTGTAGGTAGGGGGGGAGGAAGGGGGCGGGGGAGGGGGCCGGGTCGTGATCGTCCGAACATCGTCTCATCATCATCGACCGATTTCAACGGGCGCCGGGAAATGCGCCACCCCCCATTCCGGCGGCGCCGGCCCCCATCCCTTGCAGCTTCGCTGCTAGTTGCGGGTACTTTTCTTGTACTTGAATCTGCGTCCGCGTGGCTTCGGCGTACGAAAGCGCGTTGATGATCTCTCCCGGTGTTCGGGCGAGCTCGGCCGCGCGCTCAAAGTACCTGAGCGCCTCGTTAATTTTGCCCTGTTGGAGCAGCAGCTGGGCCATCGTGGCCACAGCAATGTCGCACTCAGGATCGACTGTAGCGGAGTCCATCAGCATCTTTCTCCTTCCTCTCTCTCATCTCATCTAGTTTTCGTCAGGGTGCACACTTACTGATCAGTGCCTTTTCGCACAATTTCTCGGCTTCGGTGAATTCCGACTTTTGTTGGAAGAGGGCCAGCGCCTTATTGATAAGCGGTAGGACGTTCATCGCCAAGGGCTTGGTCTGCTTCTCCATCTCCATGGCCGTGTCAAACTTCTGGATAGCCTCCTCGTACTTAAGTTGGTCGAGCAGCAGTTCTCCATAGTAGTTATACACGTCGGGGACCTTGTCAAAATTCTTGACACATCGGCGGAAGGTGGCCATGGACGACGCGACCGAGCCCATCTTATACTGGGTCACGCCGAGCTGGATGTGAGAAAAGATGAACGAGTTATCGAGGTCGATGGACTTCTGGTAATCCTTGGCAGCATCCTGAAACTCGCTGTGGATAAAGTGGAGCTGGGCACGGTGATAGTAGATGTCGGGATCCTCCTCGTTCTGCTTCACGGCGTGCTCCAAGTCGGCGGCGGCACTGTCCCGATCACCTGTGAGTTAAGGCGTGTCAGCTCCCAAATCTGGTCAAGACCGCAGGCGAAGCACGGTATGGTTGCTGCGTACCCATCTCTAGATGCATGCTCGCCCGTTTGACGTAGCTTTGCGTGTAAGTGGGGTCGAGCTCGATGCTCTTATCCATGTCGCGCAAAGCTAGCTCTTGCGATCCGCGCAGGCATCGGAAAGTGCCTCGCAGGTTGTAGGCGAGAGCCTCGTACCCGTCCAAATCGCCATATTCCAGCGCCTTTTCGAAAGCGGCCGCCGCCTCTTCGTATCCCTCGTGCGTTTTCTTCTCCATGGCCTTCAGCCCGACTTGCAACTGTCCCTTGCCGGTAGACTCCGACAGCTCCACCGAGTCCTCCAACCCCTCGGGGCGGGGTTTTACGCGGAAGCTCTGGATGTAGTTGGAGACGAACGTCGGGCTGGGCAACTTGTTGGGGTTCTTGGATCTGATGACATCCTCGGCCTTCTGCTCGGCAACCTTCTTCAGCAGCCTCTCGACGGCGGCAGTGCTGGACTCGCTCTTGAACTCGTCGATGATGCAGCTGGCGGTGTAGTCGAGCAGCGACTCGCTAAAGCGGGAGAGATGCTCGTAAGCGTTCGCCCTTCGGTTCAGAGCTTTCACGTATGTGGGGTCGAGGCTGATGGCGGTAGTGGTGTCCTCGACCACCTTGTCCCATACCATCAGAGCATTGTAGCAGGCTGCTCTATTCGAGTAAAAGACGGAGTCGGGCTTGCACAAGATAGCCTTCGAGTAGAGGTCGATAGCGCGACTGTAGTCCTTGCCGCCGTATGCTTTGTTGCCGGCGTTCTTTAGCTGGAGGGCGTAATCGCGACGCTGGCCGTCAGTAAATGCGACGACGGTCTCTTCGTTAATCTCGGGGAGTTCCTCGGCGACCTCTACTACGACGGTTTTGAAGTTCTCGCCGGATTCGGAGGACTTTGCGGCCTCGGCCTGACGCTCTGCTTCTTTCCGTCTCCTCCTCTCCTTCTTGCTCGGCCTGGATTGCGCAACGGGCTTCTTGGACTGTCGGTTGGTCATCTGGGTAAGTTACCGTAACCCGGTCAGCAGCAGACAAACGGCTTACCGAATCATTGAGATAGTAGACAACGCCGGCACCGGTGACGACCACGACAGCACCGGCGATGGTGTAGGTAAGCGCTTTGTTCTCCGAAGCCCAATTGGTGAGGCGGTCCCACAGCGAGGACTCGACGGGGATGGCGACGGGCTTGGCTAAAGAAGGCATTGGGGGCGGAGCTGCGGATGCGCGGGACATGGTGACGACGGTATAAAGGTGGTGACGAGGTCGTGGTGGTTCGCCGCGGCACAAGGGACGAAAAGGTGCGGCGGACGGTGGGGTGAGGTGGCGGGCAGGTAGAAACTCGGATGTCGTCGTTCGTGACGGTGTCGGCGTCGTAGGTCGGCGGTGTTCGTTGGCGTTGTGGTCGGTGAAATAGTGGTCAGCTCGCAGTTTGAAAATGTCTCCCGCCTTGCCAGTTCTCTCCCGGTTCAGCAGGCTCTGTCGGAGGTCCAGAGGTGAAGTGGAAGCTTGCTAGGGAAACCGAATCGTACGCGCAAAAAGGAAAAAAAAATTCAATTTACGAAATACATCGATTATCTCCATGTGGTCTAGGAAGGTACAGGTGCAGGTTGCGGGTACAGATACAGGGACAGATACAGATACAGGAACAGGTAGGTACAGGTAGGTACCTAGAGAAGTGGTAAGGTTGTACACACTCATACATACATGCTACGTATGTACACCCAGCATCTATCCCGTCATACATCCACCGGCAACGGGCCACCCACGGTAAACTGGACGAGATACATCCCGGCCAAGTACCTACTTACGCTAGTAGGTACATGGCGGCCACTCGATCGAGGTCCCTGCCGTTTCTGCTGTCCAAGCTCGGGCCCCGCCTCCCTCTCGTCATCAGCGGAGGTGTAAATGCGTGTCATAGGCTGGTTTTGTGGCGCCGACTGCTATTGGACCCACCATATTTGTCATCCGCATTGTGCCAGGTAGGTACCTAATAGGTGTACCTACTAGATACCGAGATCACACCTAAAATCGTACCAGCGTTGGGCAGGCAGGACGGATGTACATACCTACCTACCTACCTAACTAGGTACCTAGGTAGGTACCTCCCACCTTCTCGATATACCTTACTCTAGGTGATATCCCCCCAATGGGTACTTGGGTACATAAAGTAGGATGGTAGGTTGGGATGAAGTTCGTTAGGTTCGCTTGGGGTCTTCTCCCTATGAGTACATACCTACTCATACGTACGGGATGTAGTAGGTTAGGAGGTGGAGGAGGCACCTATGTTTACGATGTTCCCCGTATCCAAAATCCATAATCTAGGGGGAGAGCCGGCACCTTATTTGCGTCATGTGACGGTGGCCCAGTCGGGCTCAACCCGTGGGAGAAGGGAGAGGACAGCATTGTGGGCAACAAATTCTTGATTCGCTACCTAAGGTATAGGCGTAGGCGTGTCTCAATCCACAGAGGCGCCGCCGCTGCTGCCGAGGTTGTACCTATGTGCATACATGCGCAAGGTATCGATGTATCAATATAGAGTAGCTATGCCTATAGGCAGGTATACAGGAGCGACCAAAACGTGGACTCGTGAGAACGCGGCACGCTTGCGTTGGGTGAGAACCCTCGTGGGAATGGCATCCCAACGGTTTCGCTTCCGGCACAGAATTCCTGTGCCTTAGGTACACGGCAGATACTCTAGGCACACAACCCACAAGTAGTCGACTGCAGGTAGGTACATTAGGCACCTAATGAGCAGCTCTAACGGGTAACGGTTCAACCTGCATCTCCCCCCTGCGCATCTTTTCATTCCAGAGGCAAGTATCCGGATAGATTCACTACCTACCTACCTACCTACCTCCTGGGTCTCGTAGGCATCCGCTTAGCACCAAAGGCTCTTTACAACCTGTCTTGGCTGGCGATGGACGACTTTCACCTCTTCACCTCTATCCGATACGACCCAGCCCTGCTCCAGATCCCGGAGCTCGGGTTTGCCGGCACCGGGTGGAACCAGCACCCTTCTCCTTTCTACATGCTCGACCTGCACCGGGACCGCATGCTGAGAGCTGCCACCTACTGGGACTGGCCCGCCGCCGTCGCCGCCGTCGCCGGTGAGCAGGGTTTGGACGCGCTGCACACCTTCCTGCGGGCTATCACGCGTGACGTTGGTAACAGTCCGCAACGAATCAAGATTACTCTTGCCGCGGATGGAAGTTTAGGCCATCAGATCTCCCCCCTTGCGGAGACGCGCGTAGGTAACCTGTTCCCCGAATACCTCCCCGCGCCAGACCCCGAGGATTCGGCCCGGCCCGCGGAGGCCAGGGCCCCGGTCAGGCATCCCGTGTACGAAATCGTGGTGGATAGCCGGGAGACGGCAAGATCCGAGTTCACCCACTACAAGACCACCTCCCGGGGCATGTACGACGACGCCAGAAAGCGGGCTCGCATTGCCCTAGGCGACAAGAGGGAGGTGCTCCTCGTCAACCACGACGGGCATATCATGGAGGGCAGCATCTCCACCCCCTACTTCTGGAGAGACGGAAAATGGGTGACGCCTCCCGTACCCAAGCAGTTCCTTGCTTCTCGGGGTAGTGGCGGGAATGACGGGACCACCAGGAGATGGGCCTTGGAGAGGTATTCCCCATCCGCGTAGCTCCACCGGGCCCGGAGGAATTAGCTAGGGCTAACCGAAACAGAAATCTTGTCGCGGAACAGGTTGTTGCTGCCGATTCGCTTGTTGACGGTGAAGAATGCTGGATAAGTAACGGGCTTTTGGGGTTCGCGCTGGGGAAAGTGAGCATCCGATGATCCGTAGGGGGCGGCCAAATGCAGCACGACGCTTACCGTAATATACGAAGACAGCCCGGAAAGACATAAAGGAGGTTATGAGGTAGGTAGTTTGGCTCTGCGCGTGCCCCCGTCAATACACATCGAGATTTCCCAGAGCGTCAGCGTCGGCCCCTCGCAGTGAGTCACGATCAAGTTTGCCTACCTCCCTAGGCAGGTAGGTAGTCAGTCACGGCCATCGCGGCCATCGCGGCTATCACGGCCATCACGGCCACCACCACAGCAACCCCAGGCAGTGTAGTCTCGGGAGGAGGTTGTCTTATGATCGTGGATGAAGGCGCACCATTGGCCGGTTGGTCTACAGCCCTGTATAATAAAGGCTCCTTACTTCCCTTACGCAGGTAGACAGGAGGGAGCTAGCTACCTACCATGCAGTAAGTGGCATGGGAGCAAGAGCGATGTAGTAGACACGGTCCCTCTCCGGGCATATAAAATTCGACGCGGCCCCGTCTCCTCGCTCTCCCGCTCTCCCGCTCTCGTTTCCTTTCACAGCCACCCTCAGTTCTCGTCTCTGGTCTCTCATATTCCCTATATTCTATCCCCCATCCTAGTGCTGATATTCTCTGCAGACTGCTAGCTACTGCCACCCTTCGTGTCGAAGCTACTCACCATCATGGAGCACATCTATTCCGTTCAAGATAGCTTCAAGCAGGACCGCGACCTTTCCAAGGTTGACGTGATCCACAACACCAACTACCAGCGCCACGGCACCAAGTCCTACGTTCACTCGTTAAGCCGCTTTGGTTTCCAACCTACTCTGCCTGGACCGTACTTCCACGTCGACAGGGTTAACAAAGTCGAGGAAGGACTGCGAGGCGCCGCTCATACAGAACGGGCTCTCGTCAAGAAGGTTGGCAACGCCGAACCCACCCCAATCACGGCCGAAGATCTGCAAAATGACAGCATGTATCTCTGCATCGTCAAAATCGGCACGCCGCCCCAGGCGGTGTTACTAAACTTCGACACCGGGTCTGCCGACACCTGGGTTCGTTTGGGAAGTCCTTGCCTGCCCCTCACGCCTCGATCTAACCGTCTTGTCTAGGTTTTCTCAACCCATCAGGGCCAGAATTCGCGCTCGGGCCACAACGTATTCGATCCCAATCGGTCGACGAGTTTCAAGGTACTGCCTGGGAAGGCATGGAGGATTACATACGGCGACGGCTCGTACGCGTCGGGAGACTGTGGCAGCGATACGCTTATGATGGGGGGTTTGGCTGTCGAGGGGCAGACGATCGAGTGCGCCATCAAGGCATCGGGCGGGTTCACTACGGGCACCGGGGATGGTCTCCTGGGCCTGGCTTGGAGCAAGATCAACATGGTCACGGACTCTGGGACGAAGGATCCTCAACATACTCCAGTCGAGAACATGATCCGCCAGCACGATATCCCGAAGGAGGCTGAACTATTCACCTCGGCCTTCTACAGCGTCCGCGACGCGGCCCCACACTCGTTCTATACCTTCGGCTTCATCGATCAAGACCTAGTCAAGAAGTCGGGTCACGACATCCATTGGACGCCAGTTGACAATTCCAAAGGCTTCTGGTCGGTTCCATCGGAGTCTTTCGCCATCGACGGCGCGAACGTCAGTGCCCTCGACAACACCGCCGTCGTGGACACGGGCACCACGCTTGCGCTTTTGTCGGACTCTATCGTCAAGAAGCTGTACAACAAGATACCCGGGGCAGCGTATGACTATGTCAACCAGGGGTACGTATTCCCCGTTGGCACCAAGGCGGAAGACCTGCCCGAGTTCAAGGTGTCTATCGGCAACAAGAAGTACGTGGTCCAGAAGGAGCACCTGGCGTTTGCGACGACAGATGACAAGGCAAATTGGTATGGCGGCGTGCAGAGCCGCGGCGACCTGCCCCATGACGTCCTCGGGAACATATTCCTGCAGAACGTATACGCTGTAAGAAACTCGCTCCTTGTGCCTTTTTTGTACAGCCCACCCTGCCTCCCCTTCATAGAAACTCTTCCCTCCGTTCTCTCCGTATCCTATACCCAAGCGCGCAGGCCTAACCTTAGGTGTTTTGCGCAAACAAACAGATTTGGGACCAGGGCAACAGGCGTCTGGGTCTCGTTCCCAAGATCGAGGCGAGGCAGAACCTCAGGCCACCGCCTGACAGCTCTGCTTCCGCCGGCGGCGGCGACGGGGGCAAGAAGGAGCGGGTCAACAGCATCACGTTACTTTCACGCCACAGCGTCTGATTCTCGGATAATCCCTCTCGAGATGCCGCCGAGATGTCTGCTTGTCGTAGGTGCTGCAAGGTGCTAGGGAGGGGTATGGGTGGATTGAGGTCACGAAGGCGTAGAGTGAACGAACGAGTAGTTCCTATAGCAGGTGGTTCTCCTTACCTTAGTCGATAGAACCTATATTAGCAGTTGGTGGTTCGGCATTAGGCTTTCGCTACCTATTACCCTGTGTACTTAACAACATAGGCTAGCCCAGAGACGCTGTTGTGTCGTCTAGATCCCCAGTAGCTGAGGCAGAATGGAATTATTCTATATCTACTCCTATTTCCTTCCCCGACCCACCAACCCGATATGCCCGTGCTATATATTCCGACGGGAGAGACTACTAACCCCGAGCCCAAGCCTGAGCAATTATATGCGGCTGCTGTAGATGCATCTAGTCTTTACATGAATCAGGAGACGGGGCCTGACCGCTCCTAGTATAGGAGGGCCGTAAGTATCACCTATCTACATCCGGGTCGCCGGTCATATACATCGTGTCGAGGACTACCTGCGCACGCGCACGCATGCATACATGTACATGCGCTCGCACCCGCAGCTAGTCGAAGGGTAGATACTTTAGGTTTCCTACATCCGCGCTACCTAGCCGCACCCGCTCATTCACATGCCCGCCTCCCTCGACGCCCCATCTACCCAGCAACGTCGCTCTTTCGCTCTCTCTCGCTCTCTCCGTCTATCTTTCTCCCCCTCCCGGCGTGTTCGACTGCTCTGGTCTCTGCAGGACCCGTGCCACTGCTTGATTCAGCTCGGCTTTGCGTCTCGTAGGATCGATCCGTCCGTCTTTCCTCTGCCGTCCGAGCCCCTAGGCCCTGTCCCCCCATGAAATTTACTACTACCACTACTACTATTTCCATCGCCGTGACCGCTAGTTTCTGAAAAGGGGTTCCCCCGGGTGTTCCGATCACCGCCGCGCGCCCAGAGGAGGAGTTAGACAAAGCCGACCCGCCGGAACAAAGTTATTGTCGTGATGATCCCGGACGAAAGCGCGCTTATCATGCGGAGAGAGGCAGGCTGGAACTGAAACGAGCAAGCACCCAAAGCAACAGGGGCAGCGATCAAAAAAGAAAAAAAACCAGCAAGCACACAAACTCCACCGAACGCCAATGCGATATGGTCCCTCCCAGAAAAGACGATCAGGAGCGCGGTAAGGGCTGGAAACCTTAAGAGAGCTCAGTTGAAATTTTTAAAACGGGTGTGGGCGAGCGGGAGAGAAGGAGAGAAGAGCCATTGACCTGCTAGCTATCATAGGCGGGCGGGCCGGCGGCGTGACGTTTCTCCGGGTTTGCTTGCTATAGCACCTCGAAGATGAGAAATGATGGACGGTATCTCGGATACTGCCAATAGGGAGATTAGAATCCAGGGACGCAGAATAGAATGGGGTCGGCCCTAGAATCGCGGGTGGATCGGCGTCCTAGGACGACGATGAAATGGTACGACCCAAACCCGTCGACGAGGGCTGTAGATAACCGCGTATTCCCTGACTCCCCTCGCCAGAAAGAACCCAAGGCTAGTGCAACGCCAGAAGTGACTTATTGCGAGTAGTAGACGACGTTGGGTCCTGGCGGGGGGTAGTAATAACCATCCGGACTGGGAGTCACCATACCATTCATGCCAACAACGCCGCCCGGCATGGAATAGCCCTGCGGTGCTGGGTACGGATTGTATGTGGGCATAGGCGGTAGTTGGGAGGCATCGTAGTAGTAGACCATTCCGTTGACTTCCTGGGCGACCAAATTGGAATTTGGAGCGACCTGTCCATTAGGCTGACTACTCGGGGCCTCGCCTTGAGGCTGGGGCTGCTGTGCTCCTGGGACAAACGCTGGCGCGGTGGCGGACGGAGCCATCGCGCCGGGATAGGGCGCCGAGGAATAGTAAAAGCCCTGCTGAGGTTGCATCATCTGGTACGGCTGGTAATAGCCTGGTTGCGCAAATTGATTGGGCTGGAAGGGAGCAGCATGAATGGCACGCTCTGGGATCTGGGAAAGTGGCGTACCGGTTGAATGCTGAGACGGGTACGATGAATGGCGAGCGTGAGACTCCTGTGCCAAGCTGTTGGACACCTGGACAGGAACTTGCTGGTGAAAGGCCTGTTGATAGGGCTGAGACGAGTTGTGCCGCATCTCCGGAGACTCTATGCCGGCGACCGAGACCGTTTTCTGGGGTCGAGGTTGGTGCATGGGAAGAGGCACAGTTCTATTCTCCTGGAAAGTTGACTTGTGGAGAGGAGGCTGCGCCTGGGGTGCTGGAGGGTCGCTGTTGTTGGTTTGTAAGTCACCGGCGGGACCTTCTCTCGGCGCAGTATCGACGGTAGGAACCGCCAGCTGCTCCGTCCGATTCTGCGGAGGAAGTCTGACGACGGGCCGTGAAGTATCATACGGCAACGGTGGTCGAGACATGGCAGAACCGGTTGGGGAAACGAGATAGTCTCGACCTAACTCGGGAGCGATCGAAGACCGCCGGCTTAGAGCTACGCTTGGGGTGTAGGTGCTCCCGGCATAGACACTCCCGCCAAAAACGCTAGTCCTCCGAGAGAAGCCCCCGATAGACCCGAGGCCAGACCTCGGCTTGCCCCTTAGTCGCTGGTTCGGACGCATGGCGCGGGGGATGAAGATGAATGACCTATCGGTGGCTGGGAAGATGTATCGCGGTGGGAAATCGGGCAAGGAGATGCGAACCGGCTTGTCGCGTCTCAGCGGAGGCCTATGATCCGGTAGCTTCGTATATTGCCGCACTTGCATGGGCGGAAAGGTGATAGGCTCCTCCAGCCCCGGAAAAAAGACCCTGACTTGCACATTGCCAACATGCCTGTCGGTGGCCATCGTTCGGTTGATCGGCGTAGCGCTTGGAGGACACGTGGGAATGAACCCGTCGCCGTTGGGGGGGCCGTCATCAGCAAACGTTGCCCGTGGTTGCCGAGCCTGTGTGGGCTGTGCCACTGCCTCATGCATATCATGGGCCCAGGGACCGTTAGTCGTGGGGTCGACTGGGGCATGGAATTGATGGCTGCATCTACGTCAGCAAACGGTCACATCGATGGAGGTACGGGACGTTGTAGTAATAAACATACTGGGCCGGAGCAAACGACGGTCCAATGCCGCCGCGACCTCTTCCACGAGGGCCTCTAGTGAAGGGGCGAAAGCCGTTCGTGGAGGGACCGGCATGTCGGTGGTCATGCATAAAGAAGGCTCCCCGGTTGGGAACGAAGGACGGATCCTCGTCTCTCTTGCGCCTATATTCCTCATGTTCCTTCCGTCGGCGATCGATAGGAGCTTCGTGCGAGTGATCAGCGGCGGTAGCGGCGGAGTTTGAGCTGACCACTATCGGAGCCGAGGATCTGGACGGAAGCTCGGCGGTCTCGAAATCCAACACCTCCACCGGGGTAGCCTCATCCGAGATGGACATATTATTCAGCATGAACTCGGTATCAGACACGGCGTTTGGGACGGGCTTTTTGGGGGTTGTCGTGGGTGGATCTGCCGAGGGTTTGCCGTGCGCCCTCTTCTTGTGGCCATTGACAACTGGACCGGTTAACTTCGGCGCGGCTGGTGTGGTCGGTGAGGCCTCATCGACATTGCTAGTGTCGCTATCATCGGCGGGATCGGGGTCCTCGGAAGCCATGGACCCATCGGTCAGCGAGTCATCGTCAATATCGACCTGGTCAACGCCCCCTTCATCCTCGCCCTCGTCCTCAACCCGGCGGCGGTGGCCGACCATCTTCCTTCGTCGAACAGCAGCTGCCGCCATATTGCTAAATAGAGGTGGATTCCTTCCGGAAATACGCAGATGCAGGCGAGCGAGAAGTAGCTAGGCAGGCAAGTAGATGGGCCGAGTGTTTCGAGGCCGCGGAAAAGGGTGAATAGGAAGCTGGCAGAGCAAGCTAGCTGTCGGGGGTGCTTGGGCACGACGAGGGCGTCGTGATCGATGTGGATATCATGCGTCGTCAAATCGTCGGAGCGGGAATGACGGGGTTAACGGATGTTTTTCTGTGAGAAAAAAAAAAAAACCTAAAGGCGCTATAACCGCCTGCGGTGCGGAAAAGAAAGAAAGGACGGACGATCAAACAGTCAATTAAGAAGTCAGTATATGTCTGGTTTTCCTAGGATCCTTTTTCAGCCCAGAGGCCGGAGTCTCTTGCCGTCGAGTCAGGTCGGAATTAGACAGACGGGAGGACACACAAGGGGCAAAGAGAAAGAGAGAGAGAGAGAGAAGGCGAAAAGACGGGAGGCCGAAATAAATAAATAATAAGAATAAAAGAAGAACAACTTTTACAAGACAGCCACCCAGGCTCGGGAATATCAACCCACAGGCGCTGCGAAGGTATATAACGTTGTCCCTTTTTTTCTTCTTTAGTCTTCTTGGGGAGTTCTGGGTTGTTTGATGTGTTCCTAGGGGATGTAGTCGAGGGGAGAGCTTTTGTTGGATGGGATACCGGCCAAGCCAGAGAAGGGCTTGATATTTTGGACGTTCAAGGCCGGTAGGGGTGGGGAGAGAGAGGGGATGGGATATGTGTTGTCGGGATCGTAGCGCGTATGTACCGGTGTTGGTACCGGTGCTGGCGCCGGTACTGAGATGTGTACATTAGGTACGATGCCTACCTGATCTCTCCCTCCCTGGGTACCTAATCTTCATACCTAAGGTGTCCAGGTGCCTAGAAGGTACCTTAGGTACCTGCCTCTTCATCAATCCCCATCCACCCATTGGACTCCCACAACCCAATGAACGGAAGGGTACTTGGTACCTCGACGTCCACAGATTTACCTAATACGGCATACGTAGGCAAGGTACAGCCATTCATACGTACCTGTATGGGGACATCAGGTGGTGGAGATACATTAGGTTAGGTACCCCCAAGGGTACCTACCTCTAGGCAGGTAGGCACAGGAGGTACATGCTATGCATCGTCGAAGTGCAGGCAGGCAGGTGTTGTGCAGAGACCAATTGTGAGGTTCAGCGTCCTGAGAAGGTATATGCCTACTCATAAGGCAGCCTTCCCACAGGCCGGTCTCTTGGTGTGGAAGTTGGTGTGTACTAGACGGTACCTACGCATATACCCAAGGGAGCCCCAGGATAAGACAGAGCGGGGACAGGTCCAGTCCAGATCCATTCTCGAAGGCCGCTTCGCCCTCTGAACTGGCGCTGACAGCGATCTAACGAACAATCGGATTGACCTGGTGTCTGGTGTCTGGATGTACCTATTGTTGGCCATTGTGGCCCGTGCATTCCCTGCTCGCTGCTCGCTGCTCGCTGCTCAACGGGTCGAGCTTCGTCGGCTAGTGGAGCCACAGCCTTGGCAGCTAGGATACGCTGGTACGTCGGGTATCTGCCTTATCAACGGGTCTTCAATGTACCTCTCCGCATCGAGACATGTGCTACATCCTGGCGTAGGTACCTACCTACCTAGGTAGGTATTTATTTACACCTTAACAACCTTGCCTGCCTCTTGCTGCCTGGTAAGAGGTACCTACCTACCTCTCCTCGCTACCTGATGTACCTGACTTCTATAGTTTACATCCACCCATACATGCCGCTTATACATATAGTACGTCCAAGCCCGAGTCCACGCCACCTGAGGTGCCTACCTAACTCGTCTTCTGCCTCTGCGGAAGCGCAAGTTGCGACGTCGGATTCGTGCTGAAAGGGCCGGGTCAGTTAGTTAGGCCGGGTCGGGTCTCACGGGCAACACCTCTGTTCAGCATCCCGAAGGCCTGAGAATACCGCGAGAGCCAGGATACGAACAGCGGTCGGGCTGCCGTTAAGCAGGCACCTCTTCCGTACACGCATCGGTTTTGCGAAGCTTACGACCGGGATGCATACCTCCACATGTATCCAATGTATACATCCCTACATTAGTAATGATATATGCATATGCTCACTTGGTATGCATTGCAGCCGAAAGCATGCCAGCCGCCTGCACATATCCATCTACATACGCCTACCTAGGTACCTAGAGGAGATACCTAATGTAATATCGATTGCATCAGGTCCCGACACCCTCAAACTCGCTATTCGCAGCTACTCAAGTAACCAACCCGTACGCCGACAACTATCAACCCTCTCTATCAGGACCCTATCCCCTTATCCCGTTAATAATCGTCTCGCCCGGCATGCTTGTTCGCTCCTCCATCCGTTCATCCGTTTCGCTCGTTCTTTTGCCCGTTCGGTCGCTCATTACACGCCTCGGGGTGCCGTCTATCACCATCCGCGCGCGCCGTCACTCGTCAAGGCCCCTCCACATGCAGAATCACACGTCCAAATCATCCGAGTACAACTGTAATGTACAGCACAAGCCCATCTCTACCCGCGGCCTTCCACCAACCAGTCCTTACACGTATCGAAGCATGAATCATCGTCTCCCCGTAGGATCCCTGTCCACTTTTCTTAATTTTTTTTTCTTTGCTGGTAACGGTGCCCTCTTAGAGATTTTGCCGTCGGTCCTTGACTGGTAGTCCAAGGGACCCGACCCTCTTATCCAGCCTGCTTCTCGCTTCCCCGTACGAGACGGAAACAGCAGAGGAGATAGGATAACGGCCACAATGATCCGTGAAGATCATCACATTTTGTGTGTTGCTATCTGGTGGGGCCTGGATGCTAGTTCAGAAGTCGCACGCAGGATGTATGGGCACAGGCCTGGTGGCCTGGCGGCCTGGCGGCCTGCCCGTAAGCCATCTATCGCCCTCTCACTCTCTCTCGCGCGCGTTCTGACTCCCTCTCGTTCTCCCACCCTCCGTTTCTCTTTCCAGGAACCTCCGGTATCGCCATCCCCCGTTATGCCCGGCTAGTTGTGCAAACCGGCATAATTCCGCCAACCTCGTCCCCAATAGGCGGCTTTGGGGTTATGCTGACTGGCGTTTCCTATTCATGTGTGATTTATAAGGCAGTAAATAGGTAGGTAGGTCATTGGCGCCTCTCTTACAGCTACGTACGTAACTACATCCTAGGAACTCCTCGCCCGCTGCTCGTTCTTTTTGTTGAACACCTCCTCTCTTACAAAACCCATGTGCTCTCTTCCTAAAATGGGGGAGGGGAAGAAGAGGAGGAAAGGGGAAAGAAAAAAAAGAGGTTACTAGCACAACAACTACTTAGGTAGGTAGTAAGCGGCCTGGCAATACATGTCGAGTGCCACGAAGGTCGCGGGCGAGTCTTCACAAGACATAGAATGGTTGCTGATCTTGCCCCCTTTTGCCGTCGAAAAAGTCCAATGGCGGCCCCGGGAAGCATGTATGATGTGGCCTATAATGATGCTCACCTAAGTTTAGCACAGGCACGATCCTACGCTTGACTTTCGCTCCGAGGTCGATACTTAGGCAGTAGGGAGGTAGGGATAGTTGATAGGTAATTGACGATTCATCAGGTAGCTACTACGCGTAGTAGGTCCCGCCCGTCCATATCTGCAATGATACTTGTCGCACAGGGCGCAATCCTAGACTCTACCTATCCTATGATCCCAGTCGAGGCACGTATACGGATCCTACGACGACCCCACGCAGCTTCTTGCATGTAGCGCACTCTCAGCTACGCTGAAGCCGTTCGTCAGTTGATATGACACCTGGCCCGCGTCCTTCTTGAGTCCAGTCGCTGCGGGCTAATATTCGGTTGACCTTCGGAGCCTCTGGAAGGGAACCCGACCTCAGTTTACATATACCTATAGTATATCTCTAGATGGTTACCTGTACCGTCACATCACCAGTCCCGACTTGTGCTGGCGCCCTCATATATAGATGCAATCGCCAAATAGCCCAAACTGGGACACGTCGTTGGTGACACGGTATGGTTTATTGGGCCAACCGCAGGCGCATATATAAGTCTGGATATGCAAAACGCCGACAACGAATCTGACCGTGGTGGCTATTGGCTAGCTTCGACACAGACAAAAGCGAATGGCTGCCATGCCGACGGAACAACACCCGACAAAGCTCTAAGCAATAACAGCACGATACAGGATATCGCGGCAGCTTTTTCCATTGGCCGAACTTTTCGAGCTATCGAAAGTCGTTACGGGCAAGACATCTATTCGAGTTGTCTCCGCAATAATACTGCCTACCATGCCGACAAGCATTGGATGGTCACTGAGTATAGGCCGACTGTCGATAAGTCACGAACGAACACCCATTACCGGAAAGCTACCCCGAGCTGACAATTACTGTTGAGACCTGCCTTGTTCCCTTCGGCTGGACTACCTACCTCTAGGTTTGAGGTAATCCATCCGGCACGTAGGTAGTCGCATCTGCCAAATGGCAGAGGTTCTCAAAGATAGGCAGAGTACAAGGGTAGTGACTATGCTGGTCGACGGCGACTCGGTCGCGACTGCTCGCTACTTCTTGCTAGTACATGCGCCCACTGAACTTTCCTCTCCCTGTGGCACTCTATTATAGCCTTCGACGATGTTGCCTCTAAGGCACGATTAAGGCTTACCATGGGCTGTTACCTCAAGAGGGTGACGCGAAATTCGCGAGGATGGCTGTATAGGCATACCTAGGTGACCTTGCTTGGTCTAAGTGAAACCCGTATACTGGTCGTGGCCTGCTTTTGTGTGTATCTATTTTCGAGCGGTATTCCCTCGAGGAATGATACGTTGACAGGTGCCAGGAGGCAGGTAGCTTGACTATTGCAGCTGTCCAGGCAGCCTTATACAAGAAAGTTCTACACGTAGGTTGCTCGTGAGTATAAAACCGCATGGGGCAGGACGTCGTGTCTGCTGTACGTCCACATTACCGCTGGCTATGCCTTTTCCCTAACACAACGCGTAGGCGGACGAGTGGTGCGTTTACGGCCCGGCAAGCCAGTAATTCCCGTGTCAGACTTACTCCTATACCAGCAGCCATCGCGCTTAAAGCCGTTGGCTCACGACGAAGCGTCTATTGAGGTAGGTTAGAAGTAAGCGATAATGCCGGGTGGGGAAGCGCGGGGTGGCCTTTGAAGCCCTGGGCATTAGGGATGGGATGGAGGTGCGTCCTACCCATCCGAGGAAAGAAGCCGTAACCAACGGCCGCGGATACTAGATACTTTAGCTATTATTGCTCCGAGATGATCGACAGGCCACCAAGGTCAGGTGGTCGGGGTATCAGTCTGGAGCAGTTGGATCTACCTCCACGGCCGTGGATGTCGGATACCTATAGTCCATAACCGTCGTCATGTTGGTTGGGTTCTGCATACCCACGATGACCGTCCTGATAGGGTTAGACATGTAGCAGTACGGAAGGGCGACTGGCAGGTTGCGTGGCTGGACCGGTGAGATACGTAAGGTATGTCTTGTCGGCGCGGCAAATTTAGACAGTAAGGGATAGCGTTGCCGTCGGCCGTATTTTTGGACGGAGTAGACGAGGAGCCGCGTCATGAAGCCCCGGGGATGATGCAAGACACGAGTATTTGGGATGTAATAAAAACCAGTAGAGCAGCAGTTGCTGTTGGGAGGCGTCGAAGGAGACGGCGGACTCTGGTCGGACCACTTCGCTCCTCCAGTCGATTACAGCAAGTCGAGGGATTGTAGATAGCGGAACATGAATCTTATATCAGAACGGAACGAAGCTATCCCTGCTCCTCTCAGCTAATGATGTGTAGCACGTTAACAGGCAACACGCGGAGGGACGCCGATAGCCCTGATAATGTAGGTATATATATATATATATATATGGACTTACCTACTAGAGGTACCTACCCAGGTAGGGAGGTACATAGGTACCTACGTATGGAATGGGGTCTACGCGCCTCCGCCCAAGTCCTATATGCATTTAGGCATTATATTTATATGCCTACCTGTCTCAAGTTACTGAGGTGAGCAGGTAGGCATGGCGTCATACCTTCCCTGGCGCCACTGATTGAAGTTTGCTTATTTATTGCATTCATCGCTTACATAGGTAGATAGGTATATAAGGCATTTACCTCCCTTACCTGCATCGCGTACCCGGTACCTCTCTCGATCTACATATATTATGGGTACCTCGCTCCCAGTGGTGGCAAGTCGGACACGCCTTTAAGAGGTATGCCTGGCACCACCTATTTACAGGCCTTAAATAGGTTAGTAGGCCAAGCGTGGAACCTTATCCGCAGGCTCCAGATATGGATGACGAATACACAAGTTGATCAGCTTCTACGACCTCCGCTAACCCCCATAATTTCCGCCTCCTAAGAGAATTATTAACATTAATAGGTAGATAAGTAGAGGGTATTTGCTAGGTAGGCTAGGTACCTAGAGGAGGTAGGTACGTACGTACGTACGTAAACGTGTAGGTAAGAAGTAGGTACCTAGGTAGGTAGGTGGTAGGTACTAACTTATGTAGGACGTAGGCGTCTTGCAGATGGTCCTTGCTGCTCAGTCAGGTGACGTATTCTCTGTAGGGAGGCGTACAAGTAGGTTACCGTTTTCCATTTTCCATAGGGTTCCGATGTCTCCCGTTAGACTCTTACACTGTACATGTCTCAAGCCAGGTACCTAAAAGCAGTACCTACCTCCTACTACCTTATGTACCATAGGTACCTATTCACATCCTTAGGTACCTAATGTAGGTACCATCACAGCTTAGGAGAGGTATCTTCCCTATGTGAATTGAAGCATAGCACGCTAACGTACCTTTTTATGTACCTCCTTCCTGCCCCTGGCGTGCGATGCAACATCTGCGCTGCATATTCACATATACAGGTGGTACTACTTACCTCCTACAGGTACCTACCTACCTCTTACACACGCATTATATACCTAGGCAGGTACATATACCTAGAGAAGCTAACATGTATCTAGGTACCTAATCATTAGCACGGTCAGGAGGTAGCCTCACTTCCGAACTGTCCCCGCTTTCTTGTTGGAAGTGAATCCGTCATCAAGGCCTGTATTGCCTGCCTTATTTGTTGCCATCGCCGCCACCCTCCACTAGCCCGACGAACCTCGACCCATTCTGCCCATTCTCCTTCATCTAGGCTCTTCTTCCTCGTACGCGGCCGCCGTCTTATGGGATTGCGAGGTCCCTTCTGCCTGTGATGCAGACTGCCGCTAGGAATTGAATATCTGCTAGCCATAGGTATGTTGAATTGCTTTCTTCTCGCCTCGCCCTGTTCCCGACTATTTCAACTCGCCTACCGACCTGGAGCTTCCCACAATTTCCTTTCCTTTTTACCCACCTATCCAGCATCACCAACGAGACGAGAACAAAGTCACGTTCCTCTGGTGAGAGTCTCGATCACTCATCGGGTGAGTTTGGCCTTCCTCTTCCTCTCGCATCGAACAGGGTGTGCGCACATAGGCATATTAGCTTTACCTACGTGTTGCCTATTGTAGGGGCAGCTCATACACTCTACAGGTCCTGAACGCGACACACCCTCTCCCCTCCCTACTCTTGGGGGCTGGCAAGACTTTGGCGGATCGGCGGTGTCTGCCTTGTCCACCTTTCGTACTCCGCCTACCAACACCCCAAGGGCCTCCCTTTCTACCTGGCTCTGCAATACATTTCTGTTCTATCCTCTTCCCAGACACACTCCTCCTACACCATATCATTCCTACACTGTCCCTAGCAGCATCGGCGTCGTCATCATCACTATTGTCGTCGTCATCGTCATTACTGGCATCATCATCATCCCCATCACTGTCCTCTTACTATCTGCATAATCTGCCCATCTCCCCTAGTTCTCGTCCTCTTTACCTTCTGCGCTGGCAACGAGTCGAGGCTGACCGCCTAGGCCGAGTAAGACCCCGACCCTCACAACGGCTGCCTCTTAATAAGAGGGCACCTGACCATACCCCCCAGCATTTAATAATCTAATTGCCTCCTAGTTATGTATGTGCCCTGCCTCCCTGGGAATCTTTCATGCATCCATCATTCCACTTCCCCGTGCACTACCCTAGCCTGCTCCATTTTCATGACCTCTGATATAGTCGACAAACACTATCGCCTGCCCATTTTCCTTGATTCCTGATGGACCTCTCGTCTTCGCCTCTATACATCTAGAAACGAAATTCACTAATAAAACTGCTATTAGCGAGCTGCCTCTAACAGAGTGGTGTAGCCAAGATGGCGTCGTCAATGACTGCTACTCCTGATACCATGATTACACTCAAGGTGAACTTCGATGGTGCGACACGTCGGTTCAAGTTGCCGCTTCGCGAGCTTGTCGTACACAACCTGGAGGATAAAGTAAGTCTCTCCATCTATATGCCGCGCACGTCGATAACCCTTTTCGATCCCTCTTTACAAACTACAATCCCATAGTGTCATGGCAAATCTCGGGAGACAGCAGCCGTGCTGACGTGAAACTAATAGCTACGATCTTTCCTCCATATCCCTGTTGGAGCAGTGACAACATTCGAGCGATATTCCGACTCCGCTGCCTCTTTCGTTGTCCTTGACCCGGCCAATATATCTGCGTACAAGCAACTTTACCGGGCTGCTAAGGCTAAGCAAAAATTAAAGCTGCGAGTTACCACACAAACCAGACCAGAACCTGAAACCAAGTCTACAAGGGATGTGGTCCCAAAGCCCGCGACTGTCGAAGATGAAATCGAGTCCGAGTCTAAGGAAACGGTCGAGCTAACCTCCCGTGTCTCGTCGCCAACCACCCAATCTATAGCCCCGGAGGCTGATGAGACCCAGGCAGGCATTCTAAATACCGTTCCTGTTTCCGAGATCCACTCAAACTTGCCCAACTTCATTCATCTATGGCGTATCCATGGAATGCCTAAAATCCACCTACGAAAAGACGCCGAGGGTACGGAAGTAGTGGATCTGATTAGCTCCGCCTCTCCGGCTGTTCCCGCTATCTCACTCGATCCTCACATTGGGGCGGCCTCGATCCCTGGCGCGACTAACCGGTGCCCTTTTGCGAGATCTACATCTATGTCGCTTGGCACCGATTCTAAGGAGGCATGTGGAACAGAGCAGACCCAAGCACCTGTTTTTTCCAAAGGCGCCACAGCTCCGCCCGCCCGCGATGAGCTAAAATCCCCTCAGACCGAAGAGGAAGAGGACACGAAGGCGGATGACGAATCCCTACACTTCTTCGGTGCCCCCAATCGTCCATTTACCGTGTGCTGTAACAGTTGTGATAAGGCTGTCCCCGATGCTCATTTCCATTGTGCCACGTGCGACGATGGTGACTTTGATCTCTGCGAAGACTGCATCAATCGTGGTATAACCTGCTATGGCGATGGCCACTGGCTCATAAAGCGAACCATCAAGGACGGACAGATCAATTACAGCACAACCCACATTGCTCCGAAGGCGAACCGACCCCAGCCAGATAAGGAGCCCTTTACCACTTCGGTGAAGCTTCCTATCAGAACTGCCGAGACCGCACACTGGGCACCGGCTGTGCCTTCTCCAGTCTTGACACCAAGCTACACTGCGCGAACATGCAACTGTTGTGTTCAGGATTTCCCTGACAAGGAATTCCTCCACTGCACGACGTGTGAAGATTATGATCTCTGCAAAAGCTGCTTCGCCAAGGACAAGCATGGTCATCATCCCAAACATGGCTTCACCCCTGTTGTGAAGGGTACAGTTTTCGAGCCTTCGATCTCTTCTCGTCTATCCCCCGGGCGAGATGCTAATCACAATGCCATTTGCGATGGATGCGACCAGTTCATCCGCGGTGTTCGACACAAGTGCCTCGACTGTCCCGATTGGGATTACTGTTCGGAATGTGTGCAGAATGCCGATTTCGTCCACGCAAATCACCGTTTCGTGGCTATCTACGAGCCGCTACCCGATCGTACTATACGACCCGCTTCCTGTCTCTCACACTATGGCATCTGCTGTGATGGACCACTTTGCACCTCCTCCGCCTCCCGGGGCGGTTTCAAGTACATTGTTGGCGTGCGTTATAAGTGCGCTGTCTGTCATGATACTGACTTCTGTGCCGACTGCGAGGCCAGCCCATCCAACAACCACAATAAGACGCATCCCTTGATCAAGTTCAAGACGCCGGTTCGCCACGTCAGTGTTACCACCACCGGCGAGCATGAGAATGGGTATCCCCTCCCCACCATGGGTGACCGTACCCCTCTGGAGCTCAACCATACGGAGGCCGCCGCAGCGCCGCAGGAGAACATATCAGCCACCTCGGTGCAGACGGTAGTTGACGTTAAACCCATAGAGCAGGAGGAGGAGAAGGAAGAGCAGCAGCCATCTGAGCCGGAGAAGACCGAGGAGATCGAGATCAAGAAGGAAGAAGTAGTCGATACTGAGGTGGCCACCTTGGTTGAGAAGCCGTCCGACCTGGTTGCCGTCTTCAAGCACGACACGGTTGCCGATGGGACTATTTTTCCTCCCAACCACACCTTCGAGCAGGTCTGGGTTCTCCGAAATGAGGGTACGTCCCCGTGGCCGGCTGGGTGTTCGGTCAAGTTTGTGGGTGGCGATTACATGGGTGCTATCGACCCTACCCACCCCGCCGGCATCCACGAGCTAGTCTCAGCTTCGGAATCGACCATCTGCTACAATGCGTTGAACCCGGGTCAGGAATTCCCGTTCACTGTCTTGATGCGTACTCCCGACCGAGAGGGTAAGGTGATCTCGTACTGGCGACTAACGACCCCTGATGGCATCAAATTCGGCCACAAACTCTGGTGTGACGTAACAGTCGAGGCGCCGATCGCCAAGGCGGTCAAGGCACAGCCCCAACCCGAGGTCGAGGGAGCAGAGAACCTGGCGCCTGTCCCAGAGATGACGGAAAGCCGAATGATCATCCCCAAGCTAGAACACGAATCCCCTTCGGCTAGCGTCCACGAGAAGTCCAGGGACTCAGAGTCGGACACGCTCGCACAGTCGAGCCAAGGCAAACAGGAAGAGGAGGAGGATGACTTTGAGGATTGCGGCGAAGACGAGGAGTGGGCCGAGTCCGAGGATGGATTCATGACCGATGAGGAATACGACATCCTCGACGCCTCAGACGAGGAATACCTCTTGGAGCAGCGTTCGGCATCATCTCGGAAGTAAGGACGGCTCCGCAGGTTACCGGATAAGCTGGGCAACTCGGGCGAAAGCAAACGGTTCGTGCCAGGGCTCCTCCGGGGTTTCATATGGTAGTGTTTATTCTACGTGGGATGGTATTTGCGATGTTAGTTCGGTACAGTGATTTCATCTCGTAGGTGGGGAATTCGGTAAGCAATGGCCAAGGACAATCCACTCATTAGATTGACAAGAACAGATTGGCATGCTTAGGAGCTCTAGGGTAGTTTCAGGCAGCTCAATTTACTCGTTGCGTCTCCAAGAGAGTGATGAAGACAATGTGGGTGATGCGTGTGTTCATTGCTGCGATTTCGTCGGAGCAGGTTGTCCTCTCTCTCTCTCCGTCGAAACTGCGAGCGCCACGATATACGGTGAGCGCGGAGGACAGTGCTAGATTTGATAGTACCGGAACGTAGTAGCAGCAGAGAGAGTGATGATGGTATGGCGATATTTGCTGCGATATCAGTTGCGGCGAAAACACGGTTTTGGGGGTACCTACAGGCAGGTTAGGTACCGTTTGGATACTTTCCAGTACTTCGAATACCAACCTCTCCTAGAGGTAACCTACCTCTACCTACCTGGACCTCCTACAGGTATATGGTGTCTGGGAGGTACCGTAGGTAGGTAGGGTAGGTAGGTAGGTACCTAGGTAGGTAGGTAGGTAGCCTAAAGGTGGTGGTGGTGGCCCATAATACCCCTGCACATCTGGCTAGGAGGTACCCAAGCAAAGATCGGCGGGTACCTGCCCGGGTAGGCTATTGTACCTACCGGTAATGGCAAAAGGTGGTGGATAGATTTATTTGGTTTCGTGCAAGTTGTCCTCTTATTATCTCGTAGGGGTCAACCACCACCATCGCCGCCATCGCCATCACCATCGCCGTCCGCCGCCCGTCACCACCGTTACCACCGCCCAATCCGACTTCGATCCTTGCCGACGAAAAGAAGCGACGTTACGCCCCGACAGCCTGGCCTTGCCATTGCAGCAAATGCCGTGGTAGCACGTACACGCACGGGCAGCAAGTCGAGACGTCCCGGGAGCTCGCAGTGCGCCTACGCCAGGCGAGGAGTGACCAACTCGCCAGCGACTACCCCCCCCCTACTGCTCTCTAAGCCCTGGCGCCAGCCACCATGGACGGCTACAATGAGAAGGCTCACTTCGACGACGAGCCCACACCCGGCAGCTTCGTGCGGGCATTTGATGCTTTCCGTAAGGCTTCCCTATCTTCCCGTCCAACCTCGTCTCCTCTCCCTTGCCGTCACGTCTACCTACGCCCACCAGCTCGACGCGCGGCCAGCTACGCTAACTAGGACCATCGATTCCACCTCGCAGCAAAATCGAAACCCCAATATGTGACGCACACGTCGGGCGGCGGGAAATGGACCATCGTCATGTCCGTCATTTCCTGCTTCTTGCTGTGGTCGGAGCTGGCGCGGTGGTGGCGCGGCGAGGAGTCGCACACCTTCGCGGTAGAGAAGGGCGTCGGGCACGGCCTGCAGATTAACTTGGATGTTACCCTCAAGATGAAATGCGACGACCTGCACGTCAACGTGCAGGACGCAGCCGGCGATCACATCTTTGCCGGCTCGCGCCTCCGAAAGGAACTCACGCACTGGGGGCACTGGGTCGATTCCCGGGGCATCCACAGGCTTGGTCACGACCAGCACGGCCGCGCCATCACCGGCGCCGGCTGGCACGACGAAGAGGGTTTCGGCGAGGAGCACGTCCACGACATCATCGCCATCAGCCGCAAGAAGGCCCGCTGGGCCAAGACCCCCAGGCTCTGGGGCGCTGACGGCGACAGCTGCCGCATCTACGGGAGCCTAGAGCTCAACAAGGTCCAAGGCGACTTCCACATCACCGCCCGAGGCCACGGTTATTCCTCGCCCGGCGAGCACCTAAACCATAACAGTAAGTTTGGCCGGCCGGCCGGCCGACGGACGGATATGCCAGCCATGGGCAACCCTGGCAGACAAGGGCAACGCTAACTCCTCGGGCGGCTCTGGTCGCGCGCAGGTTTCAACTTCTCCCACGTCATCTCGGAACTCTCGTTCGGGCCCTACTATCCGTCGCTCGTGAACCCGCTCGACGGGACCATCAACATCGCCGGGGCGCACTTCTACAAGTTCCAATACTTCATGTCGATAGTGCCGACGGTGTACAGCGTCCGCGGGGGCTCGTCGACGAAGCAGACGGTGCTCACGAACCAGTACGCGGTGACGGAGCAGAGCAAGGAGATCAACGAGCGCATGGTGCCGGGGCTCTTCTTCAAGTACGACATCGAGCCCATCATGCTGCACGTCGAGGAGCACCGCGACAGCATCCCCACCTTCGTCATCAAGGTCGTCAACGTGCTCTCGGGCGTGCTCGTCTCCTGCCACTGGTGCTTCACCCTGACCGAGTGGCTGCGCCAAGTGGTCGGCCGCCGCCGCACGAACCGGAGCGAAGGCGTCATCGGGGCCAAGGGCGACTACGACGAGTAGAGAGAAAGGGAGAAGTATACCGGTAGCGAGAGAGAGAGAGAGAGAGAGAGAGAGAGAGAGAGAGAGAGAGAGAGAGCGAAAAAAAGAGAGAAAAGGCTGTTGTTTATATGTAGTTTCTCCAAGAGCATCGGAAAGGAAAATAGGGGTTGCAGCGGGGAAAGCAAGAAGAGCGTCGGCAACGATGGATGACGATGACGATGTACATGTCCTGTACTATATATACCGTATCTACCCTACCCCAAGGCAGGCGTTTCTGGACTACACCTTCTCCCCCTACTCCCTCACATTAGGCACGTAGGAGGCCGGCAGGAAAGTTGGGCAATGTGCGTGCGTGCGTGCGTGCGGTCCGAGCCTAGCCGCACCGCAGACGGCCTGGAAGAGGTCGAGATCGGCGGGGGAACGAAGATCTCGGTCCAGCGCCGATTCGCAAGTTGGTTCCCCGGGACGCGAGGCGCGCCATGCTTGCTCCCCTACCTCCTCCCCTGTGCGATGCGGCCGCCCGTCTCTCACTGTCACATCGCCATAGGTGCTCCCCCGAACGAAGGCAAGTCGGTCATGCAGGCTACGATGGAATCTGCTGTATTTGTTGTGTCCAAAAGAGGAAAACGGAGCGGCTGGTTCTTCGACCAGCCTGCCCTCCCTCCCCCCGCTGGGACCTCTTCCTATCGACACCCTGTCGTCTACGCGCTACATGCATGGGTATAGAACTGCGGCTATATATGTGCTTACTCTGATAACAATACGTGTAAATACGGCGTCGTGACGATAAGATATGCGAACCCCTCCCGATTTCGAACATTGTCGATCCCCCCCCTCTCAGCATCCCCCTGTTCACTGCAAGAGTAGTGCGTCTTCGTCGAGCCTGCCAAATAAGGCCTCGACCTCCTTCTCCACCACCTTGAGCTCCTTGGCCAGCTGGGCGGAGACCAGGGCGTACGCGTAGAGCAGCGTGTAGTCTGCTTCCTTGACCACGGTGTCGCCAATCCTCGGACCCTGGCCGAAATATGTCGACTTGCCGTTGCCCCCCGCAAAATCCGCAAAGTCGCTCGTATCCCCGTCCGCGGCGGAAGATCTGCTACGTTCCTCCGCCTCGTCCAGGTCGTCGTTGTGCTCCTTTCTGAAGCGGAATATCTTGCCGAGAAGTCTGTCCCGCAAAATATCTACGCTGGGGATGGCGTCCGTCAGCGGGTACTCGAGCATGATGCTGGACGCGAGAACCTGGAAGACGTGGCAGATGCGAGCGCAAAGCTGCGCCCGCTCGTCCGCCGTGAAGTACAGCATCGCCTTCTCGCCTTCGCTGAGCTGGCCGTGCTTCTGCGTAACCAGACACATGGCGTGGAAGGCGTCGAGCACGCGCTGCGTTGACGCCATGATCCGACCGTACGCCACAAACGGAAAGGGGCCGCGAAGCTCGTACTCGTTATTGGCGGCAACACGAAGGGTCTGTAGCTGGGTTGCGTAACGTTGCATGGCGGCTTGCTCGCCCATCTTCATATAGCTAGCGGATGCGCCGTCATTACGGAGGAGGACGGCTAGCGGGCCTCGCTTCCAGATGAGGCCCATCTGTAGGTACAAGACGGCCAGACCTTCCTTAAACTTCTTACGGGCCGGCATGGGCCAGATGAGACGGCATATTATGAGGCCCCACACGATGCCTACGGACACGGCGACAACTCTGTGCAGGGCGATGGTCTCGATCATGGGATGAGTGCCACCCTCGTCATCGTCGTCGTCATCGACACGCTGGGTGAGCGTGTATGCATACAGCGAAGACACGTTATAGCTAAGCAGAACGAAGCGGCCAAACGGTGCATTCCCGCGCTCGATCATTATAAAGAACGCGCCGAAGGAGACGGCCCAGCCGAGAATGGAGAGGGCAACGGGGTTGCCGTCGGATATCCACCAGTTGATCAGTACGAAAGCGGCGCCCAGGATGGTCCCGGTGAAGCGGGCCATGCCAGTTGCGTTAGCAGCACCCACGGTCATCGAGCACACGATCATGAAAGACAAGAGCCCCCATTCGCCTCGCCAATGCGAGTACGTGGGGCGGGTTTGAGGGATGAAGGCGAACATGGCGTACAGAGTAGCGCCGATGCCGACCTTGAGGCCGAAACGAACTGTCGTCGAGGTTAGCACGGCAAAGATCACCTCCGCAATCACGCTTACGAAGTTGTTGACTCACTGTCGTTTCTCGAAAAGAATCGGAAAATCTTCAGGAGGCTGCGAGAGTTAGCTCGGACAATATGGTCCCACAGGCTTTCGCCCTGCGGTGCCGTGTCCCAGCCGACGGTACCACGGCGGGTCTTCATCGAATCCGGGATGCCCTGGGGCAGCTTCGACTGCCTCAATCGCTTGACCGGTTGGAGCAGGGAGACTTGCTCCGGATCGTCGTCCTTCGGTTTTGAGCGCAGCTTAACATGCTTCCATACCATCATCCACCTCCAGGTCCTCCTGTTTCGGTCCGTGACATCTCTCAAGTCTTCCAGGGCATCCAGGTACATCTGCATCTCGTCCGCAAAACTGAGGAGACTGAACGAGAAGTGCCCGCACGCAGCAGCAACCTCCTCAAAGTCCGCCTGCACCGTCTCGGATCTGGTCCTCCCTAACTCGATGGTTTCGTATAACTCTTCGAGGGCAGCCCCCCTTGCTTGATTGTACAGACTAATCGCGTCATTCAGGCTCTGCTTGAACCGCTCGTTAACCCGGATCGGAGTGCCCGGACCTCCGTATGGCGGCTCCTGAAGCATTACGGCCATCGTGTGGACGAGGGACTTCATCGAGGGCCCAAGGCGAGCAATAAACAATTCGAATATGTCAGGTGGCGTCCTCAGCGACGAGACGGATTGGCTCAGCAAAGGAGGGTGCGGTCCTGGGGTCGGCGTCGGTTCCTCTTCTCGATCGCTTCGCTCGTCGGCGGCCTCATCGATAGAACCGAGAGTGCTGTACCGATTGCCCCCACTTTTGAGCGTTGCTGATAGCGACCGACCAAAAGAAGCAGAGAAGACGTTGCTAGTGGGAGATATAGCCGAACTCGCAGAGGGGGGCGCGTGGGCGACCTCCTTGAGAAGTTCGAACTGGGTGTTGGCCGCACTCCGCAGGCCACCGAGCGACTGGGCTAAATTCTCCATCGATTTCAGCACTGCCCGCTTATGTCTATATATCTGCTCCTGGCCCAAAAAATAGTACTCGTACTTAGCCTCCCGCGCATTCTTATTCATCCGGACCAGAGTCGAAGTGTACGTGGCCGAGGCCTTGGTAAAGGCAGCCGACTCGAAATCGTCGTCGGTACCACCTAAAAAGCCATCCGCGATCATGGACAGCATGTCGCCGAGCGAGATGGAAGCATCACGCATGGAACTGCGCAGCTGCCTCCTGGCAGAGATGGGCCAGATGAGCAGATTGACTAGAGTTGACGTCGTCGTGGCCATGAGGAGAATTTTGAGCGATTGGATGATCTTCTCGTTGGTGAAGACGCCAGTTTGGACCGAGTTTTCCTTGGTTATGATGGTGATGATACCGATGGATGCGATACTGGCGCCGACGCTCACGAGAGGGTTGTTGAGTTTCTGCTTGACCCATCCGACAAAGCCTAAACCGCCCCCGACGAACACCAGGAGGACGAATACGTACGAGAACTCGACCATGTGTAACATCGAGCCGAAGAGCACAGAGCTCGCCATCGACAGAGTCCCGACGAGCATGGCGTAGGATACGGCGATGACGGCGATGGCAACCGCTTCTATCTGTGAGCCCGCAGACCTCGCCGGGTGGAAGTAAACAGATATGGTGGCCACGATATGCTTCCCGTCCATGGGACCTAGGAATTCGGCGGCGGGGCGCCAGAAGGTCCCCATGCTAGCCAGGAAGTAGGCGATGGAGCACTTGATGATGCCGCGGCCATTGGGCGAGTCCGCCCACGCCAGCAACCGGCCGACGGCGGCGCGAGAACGGTGGAAGGCATTCTGGACTCTCTCCTTTAGCGTTTTGATCTCGGCCAAGGGGTGTGTGCTGCCGTCCTCGGTACTAGGGCTTTGGAGGCGCGGGTATCGCAGGGAAAACTGGCGGCGGGAGCGTTCGCCAGTGCCGGGAATGATCCAAGTACTGTTGCGCAGCTTCTATTGCGGTGGCGTTAGCATCCGGCTTTCTTTGGCTAGCGACCTCGGACAGGATTGGGGGAGGGGGCTTTGGGAGGGTCGAGTCTCACACAGAAATCGGCTTACACTTCTCGCGGGTGGTCTAGCAAGCCGCGGCCGCGAAGCTCCACCGCCTCCAGCCAGATTAGTATTCGAAGCGTTCTCGCCGGTCATAGCTCGGTGGTCAACGGCAGCCCTCTTCTTCGTCTTTCGGCCCGTGCAGTGTTCCTAATGCGCCTGCCGCGGCATGGTCGAGAGAGAAGGGGGAGGAAGAAGGACGAGAAAGGGAGAAGATGGAGAGGGAATAAAAGAGTCGGGAAATACGCGAGGGAACAAGGGCGAGCGTCGAGAGGGGGCGTCGAGGGAGGTCCGGCCGTAGGTCGGATTAGTTGTCTGAGGTGAGAACAGACACGACGACCGCGAGGGTGTAGCGCACAAGATCGCTCGCCGCAGGGAAGGGGGAAGGGGGCTTCTGTCTCACCAGCCAAGGAACGGAGAGAAAGGTAATATAAAAATATAAAGAAAGGAGGGAAGGCGAACAAGAGGAATTACGACGGGCGAGGGAGAGGGAGGGAGAGGAGAGGCGGAGGAGGACGGAGGGTTGGGATCGATCATGCGCTACGGCAAGAAGGAGGCTTTTCCTCACGGCCCTCCAGCAGCCTGTTGGTTAGGAGGGTATGCACATACACGTATACGGAGTCGCAGATACAATACAACGCTAGGCTAACCTGTAGGTTGCCGGAGGAAGGCCTAGGAAGGGAGAGAGGGTACCTGAGACGGCCGTATATTACTTGCCGCAAGCATGTACCTCACCCAACGTCCCCTCGCCGAGATCCATCGGTAAGTGGACACGGATGCGCCCATTGCGTGCTGGCAGGTACATGGTGGGCCGGCCACAGGTACCTGGCAGGTCATGTACCGACGGAGGGTCGGGGTCATTTGACGGCGAGGGTCCACCAGGTGCCAGGAATCAATCCCTGGGTCTGCGGGGGGGGGGTCGGATTACGTACAAGGCGTAAGAGCCAATCACAAGCTGCTGCCTTTCGCTAGAGCGTCATCGGACAAGGGCATCACCAAAGGCGGTAACGAACGGCAAGGGCCCGCCAGTCCATCCAACATCCACCAACATGCTACTAATAGGTATGTACTATGCACCTACCCAGACTACCTATGGTACTGTAGCACCCGATCGTAGTACCCCCCGCCTTCTCCCTCCTCAGCTGGACTCTGTGCCGGTGCAGCAGGTTACCTCTACCTTAGGTGCCTACCTAGGTACCTACCTGCCTCCTAAGCACCTGACGTAGGCGTGTGCTAGGATTGCCGTACGTACCCACGACCTACCTAGGTACTTGATGTATGTATCACCGCTGGATGTGTACATACCTCCTAGCCCCCTCCCCTTCGACCAGCAGCCAGATAGAGAGAGCTCAGCTACCTCCTACCTACCTCTCTACCCTACCCAGCTCGCCTATCTATCAATTTGCTGTCCGCCTTGCCTACCTACCTATCTCCTTACCACCCGATCTTCCTCAAATAACAACATATCTGTGTCGCACCGCCTTTAAACCAGCTCTCCTTCGAACCGGTCCCCTCTCTCTGCCGCGTTCAGAGCGAGCATCCGATACCGCTACTCAGCTACGCAGCCCTCCTACCTCATGCTTCGCTCGCCCTGCCCTCCCCGCGCCATCTACTCGCTCTATAGCTACTCGCACTGCCCACCGCGGCCAGCTTCGCTCTCGCCCTCTCGACTAGCGCAGCCGCAGCCGGGCGACGACACCCGAGCCCCGAGAGGAGAGGAGAGGAGAGGAGAGCAGCAGCCGGGAACATACCTACCTATAAACACGCCATGGCCAACCTGCCCTCGCAGCACCCGCACCTCTCCCTGCACCTGACGGACCGCGCGCTCACCCCGCTCGTCACGTCCGCGCGCTCGGCGCCGCAGCTCGACGCCCTCGGCTCGCTGTCGCACGCCGCGCTCGCCGCGCACGAGGCCGCGCAGCGCCTCGGGCTCGGCCAGCCGCGCCGCGTCCTTGTCGAGCACGGCCGCGCCGGGCCGCTCCTGCTCCAGTCCTTCGTGCGCCCCACCGACAGCGACAACGGCGGCGGCGGCGCCGACAGCCCGGCCCGCCGCCCCCGGGACTGCTCCCGCCCTTCGTCCTCGTCCCCGCGCCCCGCCACCCCCGGCGCCAACGGCACCTCGGCGGCGGCGGCGGCGGCGGCAACGCCGACACGGCAGCCGCACCAGCCGCGCCCTCCCGCGCCCGCAGACCCCGCTGGCGAGGCGGCCGCTGCGCAGCTGCACCGGCTGCAGCTCCGCGCGGGCGTCGTCGCGCCCTCGGACGTCGACGCGCGCCCGCGCCCCTCGCGCTCCCCCTCGGCCGTCGGCTCGGACGACCACCGCCATACTACCAGCGACGTCCGCAACGGGTCCCCCGACGCTGGCGCCGACGCCGCCGACTCCGACTCTGACCCCAGCGACGGCGACGAAGACGCCGACGCCCCGCCCATGTTCATCGGCGTCGTGGTGGGCCCCGGCGGCGACGAGAGCCACGCCCGCGAGGCCCGCCGCGCGGCCGCGCGCCTCGAGCGTGTCGCCCGCGAGGTCCAGGCGCACTGGGCCGAGGCGCAGGCGCAGCTCGAGCCGGAAGGAGACGGCGGCGGCGGCGAGGGGCCGGAGCCGAGGCTGCGCGGAGGGGCCGGAGGGAGTAGGGGCCGGGGCCGGGGAGGCGAGGGCGCGGGGGATTGAGCGAGCGAGCGACCTGCGTCTACGAGAGAGCGGAGAGGAGAGAGGAAATGGCTGTGTTCGTGGAGGCTTTTTTGGTGATGTCCTCTCGAACGTTATTTTTTTTTAACAAAAAAGGAAGAAATAGGGTCTCTTGGCTTGAGGACCGGGAGAGAAGACCCCGGCGGCACAGGGGAGGGGGGGGGGAGGTATCTCGTGAGTCGAGCTGTCAGTCTCTGCGACACACATACACACACCTACGTATCTCCACGGGAATAATGCCCTTTGGACCCAGGCGTGGTAAAGGAGAGCGCACGCGGACGGTTTTAAAATTAAAAACGGGGGCCGAGGGAGACGTCTGAGGAGGGTAGAGAAGGCTGCTTCAAAATAGGCGAAGCCCAGAGAGGGAACATGAGCGAGCGAGAACGGGTTACTTAGGTAATAAGCCCCAGACCACCCGTATAGGCCTGACCACCCGTGCGGACCAGGCCTTTTTTTTTCTGTCTGTCGAATTACTCAGTCACTACCTAACGCGCCTCTTCTTCGCTCAGGTCGGGGTGGTAAGGAAGACCACGACTAGGGCTCGCAGATTAGGTAGTTTATAGAATTTGATGTCTCCAGCCAGCTTTTTAAGACCTACAAAGCCTGGGTTTATTTACGGCTGGACCATGAACCTGATTTTAGCCTCCCGAACGACACTGGAGAAATAAGGCAATGCTTACGAATAGAGGACGATCGATCACGTCTAGGCCTAGAGTCACTTCTTTCCGAGAGGATTACTGTTATTTCATTGCATTTATGTCTGGCCTCGACTATCTTGGCTCGCATGTCTATATGTCCGCGATCTGCCCCGACTTACTACACCGGCTTTTCTGCTACCATCAGAACTCATGCCAGGACTAGTGCCTGCGCTCCCGTCCTTAAATGAGCTGCTGGAATGCGCGGTTGATGGGTGACCGAATGTTGGGAACGTCCTTCCAGAAGTCGATGGTTGCAATAGCCCTCTTTGAGACGCCTTCGGGGGTGAACTCGAACTTCTGTTCCAGCTGTCAGCATTTTGTGTAGCAGTGATAGTTCTAAGAGAGCTTGCCTTGTAGACGTCCTTGTAGGCACCGGAGGCACCAAATCTGTTCAGGCCGAACTGCTCGTGGGTATACCTCTCCCAGCCCATTGTGCTCATGGCCTCGACAGACAGCGACGGGATGCCGTCGGGGAGGACGCTGAGTCTGTACTCTTTGGTCTGCGAGTCAAACACCTCGAAGCATGGGATCGAGACGATACGAGCCTTGACCCCGTGCTTCTCTAGGAGATATTTCGCGGCATCGACGCAGATGCAGACTTCGGACCCGGTAGAGACGAGGGTGATGTTAGCACCCTCGACCTCATGCAAGACGTAACCACCCTTGAGCGCCTTCTCGACAGTCGAGCCCTCGAGCTGAGGGAGGTTCTGTCGCGATAACGCGAGGATGCTAGGGGTATGCTTGGAAGTAAGGGCCACGTAGTATGCGCCGCTGGTCTCGTTGCCATCGGCGGGCCGCCAGACCATAATGTTAGGCAGGGCACGGAAGTGGGCGAGGGTCTCGATCGGCTGGTGGGTAGGGCCATCTTCGCCGAGACCGATCGAGTCGTGGGTGGCGACCCAGATCGTACGGACTTGAGATAGCGAAGACAGGCGGACAGCGCCAGCAGCATACGAGACGAAGTTCAGGAAGGTACCGCCGTAGGGGATGAGAGTACCGTACGCCGCGATACCGTTCATGATGGCACCCATGGCATGCTCACGGACACCATAACGGATGTATCGGCCGGCGTAGGTGCCGAGGCCGGTCGACGGGGGCTGGAAATCAGTAGCGCCCTTCCATCGCGTCAGGTTAGAACCCGTCAAGTCGGCAGATCCGCCGATGAGCTCGGGAATGACGGCCTCGACCTTCTGGAGGACGACCTCGGAAAGCTTTCGAGAGGCGACAGCAGCATCTTTGGGGGTGTAGACAGGGAGGTTCTTCTCCCAGCCCTCGGGAAGGTCTCCCTTGAGGCGGCGAACGAGGTCGTCGTGCTCGGCCTTGTACTGGGTGTCGTACGAAGCAAACAACTTGTTCCAGTCTTCCTCGAGGGCAGCACCCTCGGCAGCCTTCTTGTGGTATTGATCGTAAACCTCTTGAGGCACGACGAAGGATTGTTCGGGGTTGAAGCCGAACTTCTGCTTGAGCTGCTTGATGTCGTCGACCTTCAGCGGGGATCCGTGCACACCGTGAGTCCCCTGCTGCAGAGAGCCAAACCCGATGGTCGTTTTCAGCTTGATGAGTGAGGGCTTGTCCTTGACGTCCTTGGCCTTCTGAATAGCCCGCTCGATGCCGCCGAGGTCGTGGTCCCCGTCCCCAACGATCTCGACGTGCCAACCGTACGACTCATACCGCTTAGCGACGTCTTCGGTGAAGGCGCATGCGGTGTCGCCGTCGATAGTGATCTGGTTGTCGTCGTAGACGGCGATCAGGTTGCCCAGTTGCAAGTGGCCAGCCAGGGAGGAGGCTTCACCGGAGACACCCTCCATCAAGCAACCATCACCCAGGAAGCAGTAGGTGTAGTTGTCAACGAGGGGGAAGCCATCCTTGTTGAAGGTAGCTGCCGTCTGGGCTTGGGCAAGGGCAAGGCCAACAGCGTTCGAGATACCCTGGCCGAGAGGGCCGGTGGTGACCTCGACACCTGGGGTGTCATGAGCCTCAGGATGGCCCGGAGTAATGCTATCGATTTTCTATTGAAGCCTGTAAGCAACGGAAGAGGAAAACCAGTAGGCGGGGCCGCCTACTCGGAAGTTCTTGATGTCGTCGATAGACAAGTCATAGCCGAAAAGGTGAAGGAGAGCATATTGGAGCATGCATCCGTGGCCGTTGCTGAAACACCGACGGTTAGCGGTAAGAGAGGGAGGTGGGGGTTTGGTTTCAGACTCACGAAAGCACGAATCGGTCGCGGTTCAACCACTTGGGGTTCTTGGGGTTGAACTTCATGAACTTGTTGAAGAGAACGTGGGCAACGGGCGCCATACCCCTACGCTCGTCAGCAAAGACAGCCCCCGCTCAGGAAAAGGTCACAGCCAAAGCCATGATACGACTTTGTCAACACGTTGCTACTTACATGGGCGCGCCCGGGTGGCCCGAGTTGCACGCAAAGGTGGCATCGACCTGGACGGTAGCATAGTTCGTCAGCACCCGTCACTAGCTATCTGTTGGAGGGGACGGTGAGGCAGGAAAGTGAGGGGAAGGAGACGGACGAGCTTCACGGGACGGTGGCGAGCTTGCGATGGAGGGGCACGGCGGGGGCGGGGTCAGGGAGTGAGGGACATAGACGTCGTCGTCTTACCGCGAGAACACGGATCGTGTTAATGGCCAGCCAATCTTGGTCGGTATATCCCATGGTTGCGGTTTGGTTGACGATACCTTGGGATGCGATGAGGTGTACGAGGAGAGGGCAATTGGGGGGGGAGAGGAAGGGAAGAAAGCGAGAGAATGGAGGGAAAGGAGAGAGGAGGAGGGTTTAAAGATGTTTTTTCTGTTTGTCTCGGTTGGCCCATAGGATGGGATGGGATGACCGGCAACCGGGGGACCTCGACCGCACATGCAATGTCGAGGCGACCTGCCGCGACAGAGTGTTGCCATCCCAAAGGTAGGTACATGAGAGCTACCTAAGCCAGCATGCAGCATGTATACCCAAGGTACCTACCTGCCTACACGAGGCGAAGCGACGAGAACCCCGACGCCCAAGTGCCGCCGGTCGGCGTCGGACCGATGCCCGCCGAGCTCGTCGCTGCCACCTCTAACGTGGGCACCCTCTATGTTGAGGTCTCCCGGGTTCCTATGTTCGGTTAGGTTGGGGAGCTCTCCCACACTTACCGCCCACTACAGCTGCGCTACCGGTATCTAGGCAGGTACACTACACCAATGTATGATGTAGGTGTATAGCTTGAGTTGTAAAATAGGTACCTACCTACCTATCTATACACCGTACCTATAAATACATATATATATATATATACCTCTATATACCTACCTAGGTACCTACCTACCTATATAGCTGCCCACCTCGAATATAAGGATGCCCGGTGCTCGGTACGGATAGAGCTATCAAAAGTGGGTACCAAGTTCCCCCCCACCGTCTCATCATCTTTACACTCTTCTCCCCTTGTTCTCTAGCCTGTCTCTATCCCCCCTCCATCTCTCGTCAGCCCTAAGATTCTTCTTCCAGAATACCTCTCAGGGCCTAGGTACCTACCTGAGATCGCCCCCGACCAAGACATGGAAATTCCCCGTCGGCCTTGTCGCCACCACCTTCATATCTCGCCTCTCTGATGTGGTACTTGGTGGGATATCTCGTCCGTTAGTTACGTCATTCTAGCAATATCGGATGTCCCGAGATTGGCGAGAGGGGAGCCTGGCGGTGGGTATTTATAATGTCCCTTCCGGAATCGAGGAGCACATGGGAACAACCCTAGAAGCGGCCGGCTTCGCCTCCAAACTATCGAAGCCGCTTCCCTTCCCCTCTCCCAGCGGAGGAGGCATAGCATGCCTTGGGTACCTCCCTAAGGCGCTAGGAGGTACCTATAATACACTGCCGTCCGACTGATAGACCCGGCGAAAAAAGTAGGTCCCATAGCCTGCCTTGGCATACATAAATCTACCTTCCAGTATGCAGTTGTCGGCGAGCGAGAGAGAGACGCAACTGTCCAAGAACCCTCTAGGGTTGTGTCAAGGTAGGTAGGTACTTATACCACGTAGGTTACCGTACAGGTAGGCTACCTGCCTCCGTATAGGCACCCAGACTCGTACCCACCCAACCTCCTAACCCTACCCGAGCCACCTATATTTACAGATATTTACAGGCACCTACCTCCTAGGTATTGTACTTACCTCTTACTACACACTTCGGCGGATTCTCCCTACAGATACCTAAGTAATAGGTACGTAGTAAGTTAGGTAGCCTTTTCCTCTTCCTCGATTCACATCTCTAATACTCGTCGTCTTCACTCGCACCTCGTCATCTATCCTCTCTCGGCGCGACGAATCCGTCGGACTTAGGAATTACTATGCCATCACCCAAGACCCAGGTGGATATATCGCGCTCGCTCGCCCCCACGTCTGATGTCTGATCGCACGCGTATTTAGCCCGAGAGCGCCTTTCCCTCAAGAAGCTGGTGGACTCCCCCACTAGAGGTCTACGCAAGTAAGCAGAGGCCTGTACAAGCAGGCAAGTAATGCGCCAGATCTGTAGTGTAGGCGACGTGTGGGCGTACGTATCACGGGTGCGTGCCAATATCCGGCATTCTCGGTCCTCCTCTCCTCACCTACTCGACTTCTCGGTAAGCCTACGTTGGCAACGTGAGCAAGCCGAGAGACGTCATTCGAGGGGTCCGCCCTCTCGTCGAGGTACTTACTCGACCCAATAATCCTCGAGAATCCCCGTCCACGGGGGCGGCAAGACCATGCGTGCTCCATGTGCTCTCCTAATCTACGGCGATCCGTCCTGTGTACAGGTCGTCTAAGTCGCCTACACTGGTCAGCGCCGTATCGCCGCCGCCACCCAAGTATGGCCATGGTATAGATTCGGCACAGGAGTAGGGCGTACGAGGGACACCTATTGGGCTTGCTGTTGTAATACCGCGTCCGAGAGCAACCTCACCGGCCTGGTGGCACCATCAGGACGCATCGGCCCGGATTGTTCGCCCATCCCTTCCGATCTAAGCCGTAGATATTGGCCAGTCCAGACGGCCCTCTGCTGCGCGTCCCGTGACGGCGCAACCCCGGCGATACCACTCCCGGCGGTAGCCAGCTAATCTATCGCCTGTTCCGATTGCTCGAGCCTGGGTCGATCTCGCGTCGCCACCGTCTGGCGACGATATCGACGCTGCTCTCGGGCGCGTCGCCCATCCTGCCGATGCCATAGGTAGGTGTAGCCTAGGTGGCAAACAAGATACAGTTCTCTCCTTGTCGATTCCACGTCGCATGCATATGCGCTTGTATCTACATGTCATACTTATTCGATAAGAAGCGCTCATCGATCTCCTGTTGAACCCCTTAGCGATGTCATAATGCATAGCTCAGATCTATACCGACTTCAGTACACAGTGTCCTTCCAGAATGGTTTCATTTCACCCTCGCCCTTGGTCTCGGCCTTGGTCTCTTTGAAGGCAATGAGAATATGCTCAACAGTATACACTACACTTGACTTCGACCGAACGATAACCTTACGTAGCCAGCGCACGCTCACCACCTAGCGGAATGGGTAGGCGTGGATGGATCCCTTAGCCAGCTCAATGTCAGGCTCGGCTATCCTATGGTCGTAGTAGTCGTAGTAAGTAGGTAGGTGGTTTTTTTCCGCAGCCAAGCAACGGCGATTTTCGGATTGGTGCCCACTCCGGATGATAACCCGCAAAAAAGCGACCGCGTGCGCGAGTCACGCCAAATCCATCATCGTGTGGAAGCCTAGCTAGAAAAGAATAAGCAACAGACTTGCGGGCCTCAGAAGGGAGGGAGAGAAACCAAGATGCGATAGCCGAAGGGGGAGAAGACTCCAGAGCAGCGACCACAGGCACCAACAAATTTCGAGCCCGCCCGATCCTCATTCCGTCCGCGCCTCTCCCGCAGAAGAGGGCGCCCGGCGCACCGCAGAGCAATGGTGAAGAAGAAGCCGTCCGGGCCCAAGAAGCCGCCCCGGGCCACAACCCCCTCGCCCAGCACCGTCTTACCCGGCCCCTCTACCTCCGCGGCGACCACCCTCGGCTCGATCAAGCGAGCCGCCGCCGCCGCCGCCGCCGCGACAGACAGCCGGGCGGCGCGGGAGGACGAGGGCGCGCAGCTGGCGGCGCAGCAGCGGGTGCTCGACGCGTTCGCGGCGGCGTTCGGGGGCGCGCGGGCGGACGGCGAGGCGTTCGCGGCGACGCTGCAGCGCGTGAAGCAGGCGCTATACGAGCGGGACTTCGACGCGGCGTTCGCGGGGGGGCCGGCGCGGCGGCGCGAGGTATACGCGGCGCGCTGGAGCCCGCCGCGCGCGCTGGCCTACGCGCGCCTGCTGCGCCGCGTCCACGCGCACCTCGCGCCGCTGTTCGCCGACGAGCACGGCGCGGAGGGCGAGCGTGGGCCAGAGGGGGAGACGAGCGGTGGAGCCGCACAGGGAGACGCAGCCGCCACGCCGACGATCGGAGAGGCGCTGCCGCATGCCGCCGACGTGACACAAGAAGACCGCGCTAGCGCCCCCGCCCGCACCCTCAGGGTCCTCGCGATCGGCGGCGGCGCCGCCGAGATCGCTGCCCTGGCCGCGTACCTGGCCGCGGGCGACGACAGCGCCGCCGCCGTCGACGTCACGCTGCTCGACGCCGGGCCGTGGGACGCCGTGGTGCAGGCGCTGCACGCGGCGCTCACGGCGCCGCACGGGCCCGTCGTCGCGCCGGCGTCGCGGCTGCGCGCGGTCTTCGTGCAGCGCGACGCGCTGGAGCTGGGACGCGCGGAGCTGGGCGCGCTGCTGGCCCCGGCGGGGCGGCAGCGGCCGCGGCCGGTGCTCGTCACGCTGCTGTTCGCGCTCAACGAGCTGTACGCGTCGGCGGGCGGGGTGCGGCGCACGACGGCGCTGCTGCGCGCGCTCGGCGCGGCCGCGCCGCCGGGCTCCCTGCTCCTCGTCGCCGACAGCCCCGGCAGCTACGCCGAGACCGCCGTCGGCCCCGCCGCCCGCCGCTACCCCATGCGCTGGCTGCTCGACCACACGCTGCTGCGGCGCGGCGGCGGCGGCGACGCGGGGGGCGGGGAGGCGGCTGGCGAGGGGGTGGGAGAGGGGGAAGAAGAGGGCGCCGACGACGACGACGACGACGAAGACCACAGCAGCTGCGCCTGGGACAAGCTCGAGTCCCACGACTCCGTCTGGTTCCGCCTCCACGAGAAGCTCCGGTACCCGATCGCCCTCGAGGATATGCGCTACCAGATGCACCTCTACCGCGTCTCTCACCACCATCATCGCCGACGACGCGGCGGCGGCGACGCGACGACAATATCTGAGGTCCTCAGCCCAAAGTAGGCAGATAGGTAGGTAGGTAGGTGCGAGCACAGGCAGTTAGGTACCTAGGTATGTAGCTGGTTAAGTAATATGCGATCAGAGTTACCCAATAAAAGAGGTCGTATCCTAGCGACACGCACGCTTTCTACCTATATACATACAAATTGTCTGTCTCGTCGCCTGGGTATACCTACACCTGCGTACATATGCACGTGTGTGCTATGCCAACGAAGCAGCCTACGCTCTACCTCGTACCCTGTCTATTCGCCTCCCTGGCTACGCCCAGACGAGCTTCTTTATCCCGTGCGCCCACTGCTCTAATATCCCCGTGCTCTTCTTCGCCTCGGCGAGAGAGATGATATCTCCCCTCTCTATTATGCTCTTCGGCTGCTGTCGTGAATCGATCCCCTTCCCCTTTCCTCCGCCTTCGTCGTCTCCTCGGCTTGAGGTTGGAGGCGGCGGTTGGTTGAGGAGCACCAGGCGCTCGATCTCGGTAGCCACTACGTTGATTTGCCCCTCTTCCGTGATCCTCTTAACGTCTCTCGCGTTGGAGATGGCCGTTTTAGCATGTAGCGCCTTAAGCGCCAGCTTACGCGGCGTCGTCGTCGTTACCCCCTGCTGCGGCTTACTCGCGATGGCGCCGAAGATTCCCTGGTTGAGGATGCTGGATGGGGCGGCCGGCGGGTTGTCGGCGGACGTGGTATCCTGCTCCGACGGCTGCTCGGACCATCCGGAAGTGCTGGATAGGGATCGCGTGTTGGTTCTCTTGATGTCGAATTTTCCGGGTTCGTAGGTGATGACGATTCCCACATTCCTCGACTCGTCCGCTTCCGCCGGCGAGATGGTTGAGGTTATGTACGTGCCGACCTTGATGCCAACGATGTGTGCCAGATCTACCCGCTCAAAAGACGATACTTTATCGAGCTTCCAGTCAAACCTGCATAAGTAGAGTGCCGTGTCGGTTAGGAGAAGGACCACCTCTTCGAATGGTAGAGCCTTGATGGTATCCGATACGTGAGGGCTCGAAAGTATCCATCCGCCGATAAAGTCCTCCTTATCATCCCCTATGGCAATATTCCGGGACGTCTCGATGGCCTGTTCCCTCATCTCCGACATCGACACGCCAGGATCCTTGCTCATCATAGTCGCTTCAAACTCGTCGAAGACCATCGACGAGACGTTACCTAGGAAGAAATCGATAGCAGCCTGAGAAAAGTAGTCGTTGACCATCCTAGCGCACACCATAAGCAAACGATAATTCTAGTTGTGCGCATGTCTCTCACCCGTTATAAAATCGCGTTAGCGACAAGCCGAGGTCGTTCACCATACCGCGGTAGTCTCTCTTCCTCGTCCTAGTATAGTCGCCTTTCATCGCAGCAGTAGAGGCATCTGACACGGGAGTTAGTAACATCGACGCCTATAGATCCTATCCCTATCTGACCAACGCTAGAGAGAGTGGGTGTCTCGACTGACATTGCTTAGAGATGGCGTCCCCGTTGTCAGCCCAGAGGGTATTGAACCAAGAGTTTTCCTGGTCGAGCTGAGCTGACATATCGACACCCTCTTCCTTTAGTTGCAGATCGAGCATGAATTTTCCGAACGAACTTTGGCAGACATTGGTTCGATCGAGACAATCCATGCAATTTGTTCTCAGGGCGGCGTCTTGTTTTCGATCTAATCGGCCCTCCCTCTCTACCGTGCTGCCGGCTTTCTCGATCTTCCGGCCTAGTATGTCCAGGAGCAAGTTCACATTCTCAAACTTCATACCGCGGCATGCAGAGTGGAAGTCGAACCATTCGAACGAAAGGGGTTGCGTATCTTCCGCGTTTAGTTCGTTGAACTTATTCACCATCTTCTCGTATTCGTTCCCGACTATGGATTCGACGCCGTGCTTTTCGACTAGGTTGACAAGCTGTATGGGTCCGTACGTCCTGCCCAAGAGCTCAAAGTGCTTTCTGAAAGCCCGGAAGTTCGCCTCTGGGGAATGCTGCAGAACCGGGATCGGCTTGAAAGAATACGGCGATTGAGTGAAGAAAAGGGGTATGCTACCTCGTAGCTGAACGAACGAGAAGATTTTGGACGAACGGTCCCAAGTTGGACTAGAGAGTATCTGTTCCGTCTCGACAAAATTCGCGGCATGCCCATTGTCATCAATCCCCCGCCGAAGGTATCGTAGCCCGGCACGCCTCGCCGACCTCCTAGAGATCAGCGTGATGACGAACTCCCTTTCCGACGGCCTGCGGCTAGTAGGCGCCTCCTGGAGAGGGGGGGTTCCCTCGTTAGACTTTCGGGACGGCGTCATATCGCTTAGTTCCATCGAGTCCTCCTGAGAATCGATCTGCGGCGGATGTTGATCCACGACAAACGTCCTCTGTCCCACAAAGCCTTGCATCAGTGGCAGTAGCAGCGACCCGTCACTCAGCCCGTAGAATGGTTCCAGCAAATTTCGATTCCAAAAGAACGTGGGGTCAGCTGCTTGGTGTAGCGGAAGCTCGACTCCCGCCGTGGCTGCGGCGGCGGCAGACCGGCTGGCGACACTTCTCGTGATATCCAAGTCATAAGAGAACACGAAGCTTTTGGAAGTTCCGAGCCAGATATGTGCAAATCGCAGCAGCTTGGGCACCAGACTTTCGCCGGTCGATGGCCCCGGCGGCGGGTCAATCTTCTCCTCTCTCACCGTGTCACTCAGCTCCTTGTCCGCATTCCCATTCTTTGTGCTGCCGTTCGCCGCGATAGACTGGTCGATTCCAACGCTGGTCATACCCAGATTGCGTTTCTGGTCCACCAGCCAGCCCCTGTGACTGAACCAGCGCTGCGCGAAACGTCCATAGCTCCCGCGCCGTTTGATGACGTCTTCCGCTATGCTGCTCCTCTCGCCACCCACCTCTGGCACATTTTGATTTTCCGAGGACTCACGGTCGCTAAGCGCGCCCGGGTCTTCTACGTCGCCGCCGCCGCCTACCGATGCCGCATCGGCATCGCTTTCCATCTCGCTGTCTTCGGAGGGCTTGTCGGGTGACGAACGTCGTAACTTGGTAGCCGTGTTCGCGATAGCGGACTCGGCCTCGCTCCGACTTGTGCAAGGAGTGAGCGCGACATCGGTGACTACGTAGACGGGAAACCCTCGAACCTGGGCGACTTGCTGGCGGCCAGTTATGGTGACTAGGTAGCTTAGGCGGGAGACGGTGAAGAGCCCTATGTGGAGGAGAGTAAGAGCCTGTTTCTACATCGCATCCAGACGAACAGATAGCGCCAAGCGAGACGAACCTACGATGCCGAAAGCTTCGAAGCACGAATTGGGCGTAGAAGTGTCGGGCGACTGGTCGCGCGGGAGGGAAGAGACGACGGCATCTCCATACTTTATCCTGACGGGCGGAGAGACTCGCTGGCCCTTGGTGGACAGAGGTTGGATTATGAGGCCGTCAACAGCAGCGCATATCAGCAATTTCCGCGCGAGACTAGGCATTATCGCAGTCGATACTGAAGTGGAAGTAGACCATGGCAAGCCCTCAAAAGGTGGTGTGAAAGGGTTCGTCTTCACTCAAAGTCGACAGAGCCGCGAAATAACACGGAGACCGGGGTGACAGCTTGCGAGTGGCAATAGGGCGAGCTGGGTGCGGGCTGACAAGGTCATGCTCGACGTGTGCGCTCTGCGTCTTGGAGAAAATCAGTCTGGTAGTTAGGATGTTGGTGGGGTTGGCTGATGCCGTCACACGCGGGGGAAGAGGACGAGGGAGGATGCCCGGGTACCGGAATAGGGGCAGCATCACAGACACTCACGCGGGGTGTACTGGGCTGGCACCTGAGGTACGATACATGCTGCTTAGGGACCTTATGTACTCCTCCCACTTTCCATGCCTCGACTCGAAGGTGTATGGCTAGCAGGTAATAGTAGGTATAACCTCGTGTTGAATGCCGGTCTCACGTCGCGAGAGGTACCTGGCATCCCCCTCGTTAGCAGATACCTTGGGTACCTGTAAACTTTAGCTAGGAAGGAGGTAGATACATGAAGGACAGATTAGGCACACGAAGCACCTGAGCTACTAAGCCTAGCATGGAGCTGAGCAGGATGTACCTAGCTCTACGTAGGTAATTAGCTGCATGGCCCAGGCGCGAGGACATGAGGTAGGACGCATCACACCCTTTGGACAGGTAGAAAGACACCTAGAAGTACCTGACCTGACCTCTGGGGGGCGTCAAGTACGCAACATACTACCTAATATTATGCACCTAACACTAATACGCAAATATTTAGACATGTCAAGAAGCTTGGGTTAGAAAGTACCTAACCTAATTAAGGTACTCTAGCAATCGGAGCGATCTTAGGTTACCTACCTGCCTCCTAAATAGGTAGGTAGGTTAGGTACATAGGTAGTCACTATAAGCAGAGTATGTCTGAGGATGTTCGAAATGGGAAAGCATATCTAGTACCTAGACTCGACATATACCTCGAGGCACTGGTAATGGAGCTTGTCCGCCTCAAGTACAGGTTCCTACCAATACCTGCGCGGCCACTTATCCCTTCTTCGATAGAGCGCCGACAAGAGCCGCCCGCTTACATACCTACAGACCGGCCTGCCACCCGGGCTATTGATATCGCCAGAGAGTTTCGACGCTGGCCGGGGCTGAATGCGAACCGAGACGCCGCCACGTGCGATTTCCCGTCCCTTCATTCGCAGCGATAACCCCATGCTAAGTGATACCCGCCCGTGGGGCTGCGGCTGGCAAGGGGAAGTCCGCCCCTCTGCCCCCCACCTCGTACCTTACTCGGGTCTCTAGCCCCTTGTTATCCGCGTCGCCCACCGTCCCCACCGGTAGTGCTCCCCGTGTCCGCTTGTCGTCGCTGCTTGGTACCCTACCGCGATGTACCCGAACACGGACCCCGTACGCCTTGCGGGATGGTAAACACGGCATTCTGTCGAGGGGTCGGGTGTAGGTACTAAATGTCGGCGCACAGTAATTTCCCGTCTCTGAGCACACGGACAAAGACACGCTGCGGGAGGAGATCGTCATCACCTTGTGCGAATTCGATTCCTCGCCGGCCAGCCTCCTTCGAAAAGGCTCGCCTGTTGCTCGTCTCGAGCGGACTGGGCTTCTCAAGACTATCGCGTCGTTGCCACGTCGCTCAGGGAACGGGCAGGATGGCGCGGCAGCCTGGTTGGGTCATGAAGGGATGAACGGGCAAGACGGTGCTTTACAGGCCCAGAGTCGGCCCGCCGTAGCCGATGTAATACCTCCATACCCCGAACGATCCCTTGGCACTTTCGTCTCCGTCGCCAGCTTGTCGAGGCATCATCTTCGGCAACGACTTTCGTTACTCAGCAAACGAACCCCTTAAAAGGTCGGTGCAACGTTCGCGGCGTTGTTGAGCTCCCAAGTCTCACCCGCAACTCGAGGAATAGATCAAGATTCGTCGTGGCTAGATTCTCGCTCGCTAGACCTAGATTCGGGTGGGGTATATTCAATCTAGGTGGTATCTATCCTTGATTGGTTTCCTGCTTCATCTTTGACACAAGGTTATCGTTAAGGATCAAACACTCGTCAAAAGGTAGTTGCTGGGGCCGTCAGAGTCAACCCTTCTGGCTTTAAGGAGCACGCTAAGGACCTTTAGAGGCATGGCTCATCATAATATCTGTTTCGAAGCCGACGGCCGATAGAGAGGAGAGGCGAGGGAATCCTCTAGCCTGGCGGGACAAGTGCTACAATTAAGGAGGCAGCAGTTGACAGGGAGAGAGAGTGAGCGTGGTCAGTACAATGATGAGTGAGGACTCGACGCGTTGGACGGTATTCAACTTGGTCTTCGAGATAGTATATACCTATTAGCTACGGGTCACAAGCCGCTCCAACCACTCGGTCGATCTCGATATCCGCATATGCTGAACTGCTTGTGCCGTTGAACGAGACAGGGCCATGTTTCTGTATATTATTAGGTACCTGGCGTATCTTTTCACCGCCTCCTTTCAAGTTTCGACGTTTCGCTGGGACCTGCATGGCCCAGCTAAATTCGCATGAATCCAGCACGCATCGTCACAGGCCAGGGAGATCATGAGAATGCAGCATAGGTTCTGCCAAACTTCGGTGTATTACTTCCCTGGACTACCTACCGGTGGCTTTCACAGCCACCGCATCTTCCCATGTCATTCAACACCCCGAATTCCTTTTCCGACTCTAGGGTATCTTAGATCATGAGGCGCTCGATCTTATCCTTCAAGCTCCGGATCTGGTTCGAGAGATCGCTGGCCTCGTTGGTGGTGATTGATGCCGCGATGACAGCACGGCTGACGCCGCAGGAACGCCCCAGGGCAATCTTCCCATCGTAATCAGCATTTGACGAAAATGAGGGCTTTCGCTCGACATACCTTGCTAGGGACATATACGTATACCACATTCTTGTCTTCGCAAAGCAGTGGTAGGTGGAGGAGGATCGCGAGCGGCGTGGTGTCGGCGGAGAGAACGACAACCTCGGCAATGCCTCGCGTCAGGGTCTTGGTGACTTCGTTGGCCCCCTTCTTGAGCTGGCGAGCATCTGCGCAGGGCATGGTTAGCAAGCCACGGAGCTTCCAAGACCGCGCAGGTGCGCACTTACGGCTGGCTTGCTGCACGAGGTCGAGGATTTCTTGGGTTAGGCCCTGGTCGGCCACAGGCCAGGCTGCGGACCGGTCAGTACGCCAAATGTAGGGTCTTGTTTTGGTAGGGCTGACGTACCAGCGCTTTGGTCTTGGTTGGCAGACATCGCGACGGTGCAGGGTTCCTTGCGTTGGCTCGCCCTGCGGAGGTGTGTGGGAAGTTGTGGGTTGAAGGAGAAAAGTCGATGAAGCCGGTAGGGAGGGAGCTGAGATTCGCCAACAGAAAAAAAAGGGAAGGCGATAAGAGAAAGGGAAAAGAAAGGCGATAAGAAGCTGTCGAAATTCCAGGCCCAAGTACCTCAAACTAACCACTTAGGGATATTACTCGTCGACCTAGGTACCCCCCCATAAATGCACCCGATATTGTCCAATGATGTTGTGCCGGTACATGGGGGCTGGTAGCTGAAGGCGAGGTCCCCCCTGTGGCTTCATTTACGGACCTACATTACCCCGTTCCGGCGCCGTAACGAGAGCCCGTTTTTATCTTAGGTAAGCTTCTGACCCGTGTTAGCCCTCGACTTAGCAACCTGCGCCTGTGTCTCGATGCCCTTTTACCTTTTACAACCTGGAAAGCAACATCGATCTCTCCCTCTCTAGTCACCACTGAGCAACCAATTCCGTCCTCCCCCTGACTCCCGAATTCATCAGTCCGCTATTCCATTTCGTTTCGCCGTTCTCGTCTTCTTGACTCGACATCCGCCCTTTCAAGTACCTTAGTTTTCCTCGTTCCTAGCGCTTTTCCGTCGTCACCATGCCGGACTTTTCTGAAGCTTGGTATGTCACCTGCAGGATCGCGACAATTCCATCTCTTGTTCCCCATTGATATAGCCTTCGCGCGGCATAACCGCATTGCCTTATTTATCTAATCCGGCCTACGATACCATTTAATGCGCAACGCTGACGTTTTGTTTCTTCCGCAGCCCGGTCTACGCGGTTAGTTTACCTTACCCATCCTCCCGGGTCTTGGCGAAAGCGATGCTCCCGTAGCAACATCGAGATTATCGAAACGAACACGCCGTTTTAGACGAGACCCAACTAACTGACCGCGTAACAGCCGTTTTTCGGTGTCATGGGGTGCACGGCAGCTATCGTCTTCACCTGCTTAGGTGCCTCCTACGGAACCGCCAAATCCGGTGTTGGCATCGCTGCCATGGGCGTCTTGCGGCCTGACCTCATCGTGAAGAGTACGCGTCGCCTCCACCACCAAACGCGCTTCCCGCACCCATATCGAGTACTAATCAACCCCCACTAGATATTGTCCCTGTTATTATGGCCGGTATCATCGGTATCTACGGTCTCGTTGTTTCCGTCCTGATTTCCGATGGCCTTACCCAACGACTTTCCCTCTTCACCAGTTTCATCCAGCTGGGTGCGGGTCTCTCGGTGGGTCTCGCTGGTCTGGCTGCCGGCTTCGCTATCGGTATTGTTGGTGACGCGGGTGTGCGAGGGACTGCCCAACAACCTAGACTCTTCGTCGGCATGATTCTTATTCTCATTTTCGCCGAAGTGCTGGGTCTATACGGCCTCATCGTGGCTCTGCTCATGAACTCCAAGGCTGGCAGTGACACCAGCTGCTAAGGGCCAACCCATGCCTCGAACAGCTTCGGATGTTATACCGTAGCTCATGAAGAGCAAGGAGGGACGACAAATTACCCTTGAACCCACACCCCCTTGTCTCTCGGGCGTTCCCTTTTGGCGAATATTTTATACGACTTGGGCCGCGGCAGATGCGCTCCTAGAAGCTCAAGAAGACGAAACATATGGTCGTAAGCAGCTGGGGAAGGTAGCAGAGCGGTGGAATGGCGTGTTCGTGTGCCTGTGTGTTAATGACCGCAAAAACTCGCATTTGTATTGTTGCATATGCTGTACGCTCGATAATGGCTTCTCGCCCTGGAATAACGGATGGGGAGCTTTGTACTCTAGGTTAGTAAGGTTCTATGGAAGAAAATGATGCTGTATTGTTCTGTTCTACTCGACCCCGGGAAAACGGAGGCGGCGAGTACCACTCCAGCAGGTGCCGCAGAATCCTGTCTGGTACTGGTAGAGACACATCTACGGTGCGGCTTGAAGAGGATAAGCTATGTCATACTCCTAGTCCTCCTACCTCTTATAAGAACCATAGAGGCTCCGACAAGACTAACTGGAATTTATGACATAGGCTCCTCTTAAGTCCACAGGCTATATGAGGTCTACTGCGGGATATCTCGGCGAACTTCCCTGTATACTACCATTTCTTGCCCTGGTCGAACACGAAGTGGCATCCACGCCATTCCTATGCCGAACTGGGCAATTCCATCGTCATGCGGATCGATTGCCGAAAAGAAGTATCTCGTTGGCTCTTCGGTATGGGCTCTTGTGGTTGCAGGTCCCCGGTTTAGCCAGCACTCCTTAACCCAGCCCTCAACCGGAGTTCAATCATGACAAATGCCTCCTCTTGTCTACCTCAGGACACAACTACCTAAGGAACCCAATATTTATAGACTTGGAGAGCACAGACTCCTTTCGACTCCCAACGGTGGGTTGCCAACGCGTTCTATAGAACGCGGAGTCCCCGAAAGTCCCACAGTGTACGAACCTCTACGGCAGCCATCCAGTCTACTTCGACCATCGCGGTAGCAATGGAACTCACGTTGTCTTCCTCTTGAATTTCAACGGGATGAACATTAACAGAGACCGGACTGACACAGGCGGCCAATACCGAGAGTATAATACGATTGGCGGAATACTAGACTTCTACTTTTTAGGATGGTATGAACAAAGCGTCCAGCTTTTGCCCCAATATCTACTGCGAGACGGAGTTGATTGCGAGGTTAAGCCATAGCCCCCCGGGCTGAGCAACCATCCTCGCAACAACACGGGCAGACCTGTCTCCGGCTTCCCTGAAGAGTTCTAGCCCTAGTAGTCGAGCGCGTCACCCGCGCAGACGGCACGGTGCAATACGACTCATACGACTTAGGGATGCTAGCTCCCGACCATCCACTGCTCACTACTCACGCGCAGTCCACTAGCTCGACGACGACAACTCGACGTGGCTGGACTACCGGGAGTCGATCTCGCAGCTGGTGCAGTTCGCGGCGGTGCTGCAGGTGCTGATCGTGGGGGTGGACGTGTGCGGGTCTAGCGGGTCGGGGCGGCGGACGAGCAGTTGTGCGCGCGGTGTGCGATGCTGGGCGCCTTCTTCTCTTTCAGGTTCGCCACCGACGTCGTCATCGAGAGCGTCCAGATCCTCGGCGAGGGCGGCCCGGTCACTAAGGAAGGACCGTGGCGCCTCGACGGACCGCTCAAATTCACTCTTCGTACGTGAGGGAGAGAGGGAGAGAGAGGGGGAGGGGGCGTGTGGCATTCTCGTGCCATATCGGCTAATTAGGTACAATTCTATTTTAGAACCTCCGGCATCTAGCTTCGATTAGATAGATGCCAGTTGAAATCAATACCTTTGACGCACTAGGCGTTATATAACCTAGCTGCGAGGAGACTCCTATAAAGGCGTGGAAAGGTGCATTTCCCCCTCGATTAGTCAGACAATCGGTCACCACCAACTCCGATTCGGTACCTCTATCGCTCAGGGCCTAGATGCTTCCAGAGGTAGGGTTGGATATGTAAAGTAGCGCTTCTTGAATGGCAATCATCGTCTAGATATAAGGATAAGTGCACGCATATCCACCTTGCCCGCTGAAGGAAGGGGTTGCAGCCAGGAGCACGACCCAACCCTCGACTCTAGTCAAGGGGTCGATTGGCAAAGCGAACTTGATTCCTTGCATATATGCACCTGGGTTTCTATCTCTATACAGACCCTGCAGGAACCTAGGCGCTAACCCGTTTTCGCGTTCCCATCATTTCCGAGCAGAACCCGTGCTGGTTAGCTCGGAGGGCTACAGATCAGATTGGGTTCTTAGGCTCAACTCCATGCATGTTCACATCATATCGTATCGTGTGGGTGGTGTTGGGAGGGACCCGAGAATGCCGAGAGCTATGTAGGTATATATGTGTCCGTATGTAGGCGTGGAGGGACAGAGAGCCAAGAACCCGGGTTCCCTATCACCCTCACACGGAGACTCGGGTGAGTGTAAACGGCATCCCGGCCAATGAGCAAAGCAACGGTGTCGTCTTGCACCCCGAGCTACTTTTGGGAGGTCGTTTCTGGCATTGGGTACACGATGCGATGCGGCGGATATCGATGATGAATGTTGGACGCTCTCGACAGGTTGTTGTTAGGAGCAACAGAACGTTATGTACCTGGGCCGACGTCACGGCGGAATATCTCCGGAGAAAACCAGCGCCTCCCGGATAAACTATAGCGACCGCCTGTCTCTATAGGGTAGGTACCTCTCATTACAGATACCTAGGTAGGTACATAGGGACGGGGTGGGTGCGCAGGTACCTCTTCTGGCGGCTGGGTGGGTGCAAACGTCCCATCACGGAAAAGTATCGCCTCCACTAGAGCTTCCCTATGTACCTTGGAGCTTTGGGGACGACAAGCACTTGACTTGCTCCATAACATTTCGTCCAACTGTCGACTCTACTGCCCGACAGCGCCATCCCCCCCCCCCCTTCTCCCCTACCCTCCTCCCACGATAGCGTATTCACGCGACGCTGCTGTTGAATCGGACTGCCGCTTCGTTTCCGTCGTATTTCTCGCCTGCTGAGTCGGCTAGCCGCCCACGCTCGAAGAGTCACAGCACAGGAGGGGCCCAGCCTTTCCACCTAAGAATACTCCCTATTGTAATAGACCACCAACGCCCTTCGCGTCGGACCGAGTCCGTGCTGACACCGCCAGATCTTCCCGCCGCACGATTTAAAATGTCGGATGCGAAGCGCGAGGAGCGCGAGGAGCGCGATGTCGCCGGAGAGGACCCTCTCGTCTCCGAGGAGGGCAATGACGAGGTGCGACTCCCGCTTCCCCCCCTCCCCTCGACTCTACGCGATCCGATGCGATATCTCGCCTGGGAAGATCACGAGGATGTTCTCAGCTGACGTGCGATGTCGATGTGTGATAGGAAGAGATTTCCGCCATGAAGAGACGTGTTGCCGAGATGGAGCAAGAAGCGGCCAAGTTACGCGAGATGCACGCCGCCCTGGAGGAGAGAGGGCAGGAGGTCTCAGAGGACCGCTCCGACGTCGACAGCCGCAGCATCTTCGTCGGAAATGTAGACTACTCCGTGTCCCCGGAGGAAATCCAGGCCCATTTCCAGAGCTGCGGTTCCATCAATCGCGTCACGATCCTCCTCGACAAGTTTACTGGCCAGCCGAAGGGGTAAGTCTACAGGTCCCTCATCGGTGAAGGAGAATCAGATGAAAGTGCAGAGGGAGGCCAGCATCAGAAGACCATCCGTGCCAGATCCCGCTAGCTAACAAAGTGCCGACTCGCCTTTCTAGTTACGCATACGTCGAATTTACCGAACCCAGCCTCGTCGCCCAGGCGCTCGTATTGAACGATAGCGTTCTTAAGGGGCGCAATATCAAGGTCACGCCGAAGCGGACCAACATCCCGGGACTGAGCCGTGGCCGCGGCCGAGGCCGTGGCGGGTATGGTGGCCCAGGGCGAGGATACTACGGGGGAAGAGGAGGGTTTACGCCACGAGGAGGATATTACCGCGGCGGTTATCGAGGAAGAGCCCGGGGCGGCGGGTTTAACCCGTACTGAAGGCAATCCGAGCGAGCCCCCTCGGGTTGCTTGAACTTTTTTTTTCCCCTCTGGGAAGGGGCCTAGACGTGGCTCTCAAGGGGATGGATATGGTTGATAGCATAGGGACCGTGGCATGAAAAATTGGTTTCCGCACGGACAGACAGACGAATCAACAGGGTATGCGAAGTATATGCAAAACATCATTCCGCCACCGACGTTGCAGAGATGGTGCAGCGCTGCAAAAGAGAGAGAAAAAAAAAGTAGCATACTTCGCTACCCTCTCCCTCCTCCCTCTTTACCCAACACCGGAGGAAGACATTCAGGCGCGACTGATCGGTCTGGCGAGGGGAGGGGAGACTGGCGTATAGGTGTTATATACCGCCTACATGTTTGAATTGTTTAGCCGTTGGGCATGGTTGTTACGGAACCGGGAGGCATCATCGAGACAAGGCTGTCTTATCCATGCGCGTCCGCCCCCGGAGCGGCTGGCAGCGAGCGGGCTTCAGTCACGGGTTGGGCGTTCGTTCTCCTTCCAGGTCCACTTGATTTGCCGGCAACGAGAGATATAGAGCAATCCGGAAGCTGATTCGGGGGATTGGCACATGTCCGAGCGGAGGAGCGACAATGATGGTGGCGGGCCTAAGGTGGCTTCCGGTCTACGGCAGACCTACGGTGGAGGCCCCTAATTGCTGGTTACGACAGATAGATTGATGATTATTGTCATTCCAGATGGGTAGCTCAGCCCCTCTCGGGCGCTCGCCACGGTCTGGTCTCTCTACGACCTCGCTAAGCAGGCTCTCTGATCCCTTGACTAATTCGCTTGCCTGCCACCGCCTTCATCAGGTTCTCTCCTCCGTCTACAAATCTCGGCTGCGTGCTTATCTGAGTCTCAATAATCAACAAGCCCGGGCGAGCAGACCGGTTTGCCAGTGCCCGTTTCGCGACCGGTAAGATTGCTTCTCCTGCTGCTCAGAAAGACGCGTCGGAAATAGAATAGATACGTACACTCATGCTACGCGGCACGTAATGGGTCGAAGACTACGGGTAACGGCACACGACCAAGACCTGCCACTAGGCCACCAGAACCAATGGGGCGAGGGATCTCCCGCGTCCATCATACTTCTCCTACACCATGGTAGTATTGTTACCCTGGGACGTTTCCGAGGAGGTAAAAGCCGGGGAAGCAAGTACGTGCAGATACGGAGAAGGGGGGGGTTAGCAATGAACGAGGCAGCCAGACAGGTAAACAGGCAGGGGAGAGGAGAGCTAGGAGGCCGCCGGATGGTGGAAAGGGGGAGGCTATCTCATCAGCTTGGACGGGAGGTGTAAGGCATGCGTCACCACGGCGGGCCGCGAAGGTCTGAGCCTCACCAGAAAGGACCAGCTGGAGCCAGGAACGCGATGACGACCTCGGCCACGCCCCTCTCAGGGTAGCATGGACATCGTTGTAGCTTATATTGGCGATGTTGGGAGATGGAAGTAGAGCAGCTCCTTTGAGGTACCTGCCCTAGTACCCCGTTGCTTAGGTAGGTCGAGTACTCGACGCCGATGACTCGTACGGCGACGATGTAACCACCGCATTTTAGGTGGGCTTGCGAGGAGGTAGGTATGAGAGATTAGTAGGTATAGGGCAATAAATCCAAGTAAAATGGCTCCGGGTATATGATATATATAAATATATATATATCTGTCTGGGAGGTAGTTATACGGGTTTGTCTCATTACAATGTGTCCTACGACTGGACCGTCCTTACATCTGCCTACCCGGGAGCCTGTTAGGTATATACCTTAGACACTTGCCTACAGGTAACAAGGTTCCGAGTTCGACAACCCTTCGAGGTGCTTCTGGACTCATTGGACGGAAGTGGGCTGGGACCTTGCGAGGGCGAAAAGAGAGAGTGACAGAAGGGGGTCAGAACGGTTAGAGAAGACCTCAGATACCTAAGGTCCTAAGACCTACGTCTAGCCTACCTACCTCCCATGTACCTCTAATAGTAGCATTGCATGTGCACACCTGTAACAACCTGAGGTGCTCTGGGGGGTTACGCTCTATGGCGACACGACCGGGGAGGGTTCCATGGTTTGTTTACACGCATCGTTATGCCACCTTCTTTTAGCGCATGCACAGCCTCAACTGACGAACTGAGGTTGGATTATGTACAATACCTACATGCATACACATACCTGCTATGAGGTACCTCCTAGCTGCCTCTGGAGCGATGCCGTAGTGACCATAGGGCCCTTCAGGGCCAAGCAGGTACCTATAGTCCTTACATTAAGGCACCTATTAAGGCACAGCACTAAGCTAAGTGGACGCAGCCACTACCTGCCCTATTAGACTTGCGTAAACCGCTCCGTCCCATCGCTTACCCCATCCATACGACGCGATATATCAAGAGGAGGTAGGGAAGTGTTGATGTCAGGTTGCAGGTATGGATAGTGTGATGAGCTCAGGTGGAAATAGCAGGTGTTGATAATACTCCACGATCGACTCGTGGGATACGCCCAAGGTAGGAATGCTAGGGGAGCACGGGATCCGGGATACGGTATCGACATGTCTCACCTGCCCATACACGGGTTACAGGTTACATACCTGAGGTACTCAAGGTAAGTACCTGGAAGGCAGGTAACGCGTGAGGCACCTACTGGTAGGTTACCTACCTCCTACAGATAGGTACCTAAGGTAGGTGTGGATTACCAACCACTACCTACCACCACTCCCTACAACTACGGGTGCTTAGTACTGATGGAGTGTAACCAATTTGTATGGGCGCAGCTGAGGTGTGGACCCCTTACCATGGATAGTATTAATCCCCTATGGTTGTCTGCTATATAGGTACCTAACCCACCTACGAAAGGGTACGTTAGGCGTTTCCTTAGACAGCCTACCACCCACTTTGTTACCCACGGTAGTGTATGTGCGCGCCTTTTTGACGTTACCTAGGAGGTATATAGGTACATGGGTATGCACCTTGCTATGTGTAATACTTTAGGAGAAGGTACGTAACCTGCCCCTCTCACTCCCAGGTACCTACCGTATACCTAGATACCTATATACTAAGGAAGCAGGTACCTATCTACAACCCCCGCTGTAGCTGCTGGCTCCCTACCGCGTTACCTCTGTGACGGCCTTAGGTTATCGAACACCAGCACCGCAAGCTAGGGTTAGAGGTAGGTACCTAAGTAAGTATATTAGGTACCTAAGACAATGCGCATAGCTCACGCCTTGCCTAGGTACCTCCTGCTTGCCTTTCGCCTTGCTTCCTCTCTTGTCTTTTTGCAGTTCCTAACTCGCTACTCGCTAGTCTCTTCTCTTCTCTCTCTCTCTCTCCGTCTCTCCCTCCCTCTCTCGCCGTCTCCATCAAACTCTACGAACCGACCATATATTAGCAAATGCCCTGGCAGAGGAGGGAACAATAATAACACCGATATTGGCCAGCTACCTTAGATCCCCCCGACAGAGTACAATATTATTCGTCTACCCATCTTGCCCTTCTAAACCACCCCTCCCTCTCCCATCTGATCAACCTCATTCTCGCAATTGCTGGCTGCCGTCTTTCTTCCGCCCCTCCATCCGGTACCGCGAGCACGGCGAACCCCTCCTTGCGAGACGGGACGTCGAGGTGGGAGAGGCGGCTATGAGAGCGTGAGGAACTAGACCTCATCCGAAACCGCGAGCCGAGCCGAACATGGCTACCAACCGCCCGGAGGCCGCCCCGTCGTCGTCGGCGTAAGTGCTGCGATCCATCCCGGACTGTGTCCCTCCAAGGAAAAGTTAAGGGGAAAATGCTAATCACGGAATCATGTCCTTGTTGTAGCCAACCCAATCTAAGGGTCACGAGTGCGTTCCCGGCTCGACATTGACATTCTCTCCTCCCTCCTGCCGCAAAAGTGGACTCGCGCTTATTGACTTGACCATCGCAGTCATCGCCGCCGACGGTCTGTACAAACGTGATGTATTCCGTATGTCCTCCTCCCTCTCGTGACCCCCTCCCCCTCCTACTCCTATTCCTCCTCCTACTCCTCTTCCACCACCGTCACCCACCACTACCACGACTACTATCCCTCGCTCCTGCTACTGCGAGCGCCGGCGCCGGCGCCATCGCCATCGCCATCGCCAGCATCATACCCTCCTCGTTGGCGAAGGGTCCACTAACCCCCAGACGCAGGACTGCCTGACCCCTTCGCCGTCGCTACCATCAACGGCGAGCAAACCAAGACAACCGCCGTCCAGAAACGAACTCTCAACCCCTATTGGAATGAAAGCTTCGACTTGTATGCGCCTCTCCCCCCTCCCTCTTCCCATGCTCGGTGTCGGTCTCGATTTATATCTATATTCACCTCTCTCTACATATATTTATATATATATATATGTGCCCGTTATGGACACGATTGTGTATTTGTGTGCGAGTCCATGCTTACCGCGATCCTGTTCTAGCCGAGCGAACGAGGATAGTATTCTCGCGGTTCAAGTTTTCGACCAGAAGAAATTCAAGAAGAAGGATCAGGGATTCTTGGGCGTTATCAACATTCGGATTGGTGATGCCATTGAGTTAGCAGACGGCGCCGATGGTACGACCTTACTCCCCCTCTCCTCTTCCCCTCATATTGTTTGCCCTCTCCCTCTTTTGTTTCGTTGCTATCGAGACTGATAAGCGCTACCCGCAGACTCGATGCTCACGAGGGACCTCAAGAAGTCTACGGATAACCTCGTAGTCCACGGTAAATTGATTGTAAACCTCTCCACTAACCTGACCACGCCTGCGCGTCCCGTACAGCAACCCTTGTCGGCGAGCCCTAGTCGACCTTCCCTGACGCCCCAGACGTCCACCCTCAGCGCCGATCGGCCTTCGGAGCGTCCTATGTCTTCCGCCTCTGGTGTCAATGGCCTTACTCCCGGGGTCCAGTCCACCCTACCCATTCGACCAAACGGTGCGGGGCCCACCGCGGTGAATATTCCCCCTTCACAAACTCGATCGTCAAATCAGATGAGTCCCTTTGAAGATGCCCAGGGCCGTTTACCTGCCGGTTGGGAGCGACGTGAAGATAACCTAGGAAGAACTTACTATGTCGATCACAATACCCGAAGTACGAGTTGGAATCGGCCGACGCAGACCGGCAACTCAGCCGAGAACCGCGGCGAGAGAGAGGCGGCCACTCAGGTGGAACGCCAGAGGCATCAGAACAGAACCCTCCCCGAGGACCGCACCGGCGCCAACTCCCCGTCCCTTCAGCCGCAGTCGCAATCTCAATCTGGCGGCTCCCCGCATAGCCCTAACCCCAGCACTATGATGCACACGGGCGCCACGAGCCCCGGCTCTGGCGAGCTCCCGCCCGGCTGGGAGCAGCGGTGGACGCCCGAAGGCCGTCCTTACTTCGTCGATCACAACACTCGGACTACGACCTGGGTGGATCCTCGGCGTCAGCAGTACATCCGGATGTACGGCGGCCATAACAATGCTAATGGGACGGTACAGCAGCAGCCGGTTTCGCAGCTTGGCCCCCTGCCCAGTGGCTGGGAGATGCGGCTGACGAACACCGCCCGCGTCTACTTCGTGGACCATAACACCAAGACGACCACTTGGGACGATCCCAGATTACCCTCCTCTCTAGATCAGAACGTGCCGCAGTACAAGCGAGACTTCCGAAGAAAGCTGATATATTTCCGGTCCCAACCCGCCATGCGCATACTCACCGGACAGTGCCATATGAAGGTACGGCGATCGCACATCTTTGAGGATTCGTTCGCGGAGATATCGCGCCAGTCGGCGGCCGACTTGAAAAAGCGCCTGATGATCAAGTTCGACGGCGAGGACGGTCTAGACTATGGCGGTCTATCCAGAGAGTTCTTTTTCCTATTGTCCCACGAAATGTTCAACCCCTTCTATTGCCTCTTCGAGTATTCGGCCCACGACAACTATACCCTCCAGATCAACCCGCATTCCGGTATCAACCCCGAGCATCTAAACTACTTCAAATTTATCGGCCGCGTGGTCGGCCTGGCCATATTCCACCGGCGATTCCTCGACGCATTTTTCATCGGCGCTCTCTACAAGATGATTTTGGGCAAGTCTGTGGTCCTGGCCGATATGGAGGGCGTGGACGCGGACTTCCACCGAAGTTTGCAGTGGATGCTGGATAACGACATTTCTGGCGGCATACTGGAGCAGACCTTTTCAACCGAGGATGAGCGCTTCGGTGTGGTAACGGTCGAGGACCTCATCCCCAACGGGCGCAACATTGACGTGACCAACGAGAACAAGAAGGAATACGTCGACCTCATGGTCAAATGGCGCATCGAGAAGCGCATCTCGGAGCAGTTCCAGGCCTTCAGGGACGGTTTCCACGAGCTCATCCCCCAGGACCTGATCAACGTGTTCGACGAGCGCGAGCTCGAGCTCCTCATCGGCGGTATTGCCGACATTGACGTGGACGACTGGAAGAAACATACCGACTATCGCGGCTACACGGAGAGCGACGAGGTCATCCAGTTCTTCTGGCAGACGGTGCGGAGTTGGGACGGGGAACAGAAGAGCAGGCTGTTGCAATTTACTACGGGTACCTCGCGAATCCCCGTCAACGGCTTTAAAGATCTCCAAGGGAGCGACGGCCCGAGACGGTTTACCATCGAAAAGGCCGGCGAGGTTGGTAACTTGCCCAAGGCGCATACTTGGTACGTTGTCCCTCCGAAACCACCGTAATACCGGTGGACTGGATAATTCCCTAGATGGCCGAAGCCGTAAAAGCTAACACCGTAACGTGTAGTTTTAACCGCTTGGACCTGCCCCCGTATAAAACGCTGGAGCATTTGCAGAATAAATTAACCACAGCGGTCGAGGAGACGATGGGCTTCGGTCAGGAGTAGAGACAAGAGAAAGGGGCGGGACTGGAGTTGGCTGGTCAAAGTTTTTTTTTTTTTTCCCTTGTCGTTGCTTGCCGGACGTTCTCGCTGTACATAGACAGATGAAATGAACGATGCTTGTTGCGACATGCCTACGGAATACGGACGGACGTTTTCCTTTCTGCATCTCTCGGTCCGTTCTCTTGTTCAGCAAATCACCCCTTTTTTTCTCTCTATCTAAAGTCTCCCCTTTCTATACTTCTAAATCTCGGTCAAGGCGGGGGAGGGGGGAGGCAGGGGGGGTTGGGTTATGGAACGAGGGGAGAGGGTTGGAGGAAATAGCGACGTTAATTATGATGTAGCCACACTCGTCCATCTCATCTCCCTGCGCCGTCCATATCTATCTATAGGTGTATTTCATGTTCGGTGTGCGTTTTTATTTCCTCATTCTTTTGTCCCTTTCCCCCGGTCCCCCTTCCGTCTGCCAAGGGGGGGAGAGGGGGGTGAATTGAGAGGGAGAGGAGCACATATATATAGGTTACTACTGCGTGTGGGAGGGGGGCAGGGCGGAGAGCGAGCGCAGCGGAATTCCATTCGTTTCCTCGGGCGGGCCAGCGCGCGCCAGCGTGCTATATTACTTGACTCGTGTAGGTCCTGTATATTATATACATGTACGTATGTAGGTATGTATACTGCGACTCTAGACGCTAGAAGGCATAGACGACAGTGCTATCACCGCCACCACCACCACCGTCGACGACGACGATCGTAGAGCAGACGACCAAGGCTGCCGCCGCGTCGAGTAGGGGGTTCCAGCACCGAAAGAAAGCAGCCCTCCCTAACCGAACCGAACCCGCCGCTCGCCAGCACGCGAGCGCGCGCCGTGTGGTGGGGGGCGGGAGGGATATGCGGTGCTGGGGCGTCTGTCGTCGGTGACGTGCTGGCTCGGGCAGCTGCCGCGGGAGAGGAAGAAGGGAGACGGAGACGGAGACAGGGTATTCGCTGCGTGCGGTGGGCGCGTTAGTCGGGATGCGCTAAGGCGCGTGTCTATTGCGCGGGTACTGTGAGTTCTGGCGTCCCACCGGGAGATATAGGATCTGTTGGCAGACTTAACACGACGGGTTATCGGACACATCTCTCCCGGCTTAAGAGAGGCGGATCGGGGGACAGACGGCTGCCAGAGAGAACGCAGAGGTCACGAGACGGCGAGCATAGCAGAGTTAGATATTTTGCAGGGCGATGGGGCGCGGTTGACTGCCTGCGATACCGGCTTTTCTTTGTACAATTGATGTTGGCGAAACTTCTAGATACAGAAACGGGCGGGCAGACGGCTCGTCCGTCGTCTTCCAAGCGCGCGATCGCGGCCCTACGCGAGCCTGCCTTCCCCCCCCCCCTCCTTATTCCATCATCGTCGCTAACCTAACTGTGCTCGCGCAACCGAATCCCCTTCCCCGGAAACATGTATCATGACTGACTGAACTGACTTGGCTTGACTTGACTTGTCGACGCGTCCGCGCACCGACGCGCTCCCTTCTAAAACTCTACCGGCAGTTCCAAATTGACCATTCAACCTGACGCCGCCCTACTTCCGTGCCAAACACTCGAAAACAAAAACATCCTCGTAATTCGGTTAAACGTGTCTCTTCCCTTGGGCCCCGAAACCAAGAACGAACGAGGGGGGAGGATAAAACCAGCCTGCTCTCGGGGAGGGAAAAGTATCTCAAACTTAAATACCAGAATAAGACAGCGTAATAAAAGGTGTAAGGTTAAGGATAGACCGTCCGCAAATTCGGTCCCGTTCGTGAATAAAGAAGAATGCCACTTCGTAGCCCGCTATCCCCCCCTCCCCTGGGGCTGCTCAGCCAACAGGTTCGCACCCGAAACCTCATGGTTCAGCTTGCGGCCCCACTTTCCGACCCCGTCTCCGATTTCCGTTCCCGCCGTCCTTGATGGGGCTGACAAAAGTAACATGCTTGCTTTCGTCCTTGCGCAGGCGCACCGTCGTCCCGGTGCCCGTCCCGGTAGAGCCACGGTGGTGTCGGATAGAGCGTGGTCCGCTATGGTCGTCCTCGATGTCGATCTCGTCCACGTCCGAGATCGACTGGGCCCCAATGCTATCGTTGACATCCGACTCCACCTCAGAGTCGGCTTCGGAGTCGTCATACTCGCCGTCATCGCTAACGAGCGACGGCGCATTGTTGCTAACAGCCGTGTGCGGACTCAGATCTACGTCCAACATGTCATCGTCCGCCATCACGTCCGATTCGGAACCGGGAATCGCCCGAGCAGTAGGGGTTGGCATGGGTGTGGCGTAGGGAGGCAGAGCGGTAGGGCCTTTGCTGCTCGTCGGCCGGGTCGTGCCGACCGCTCGGGGCACCGGCGCTCGGGCAGGGACACGCACGAGAGACGGGGGGGGAGTTCCAGCAGCATTGGCATCGGCATTACCGGTCACGTCAACCTCGTCCAACTCGTCCTCGGGAGAGAAGAACTGATCAAGATCTACCTTGGTCTTGGCCTCACTGACTAGCTCGCCCAGGTTGCCATCGAAACCTCGGCTGTGGAGAAGACGAGAAAGATGCGGCGAGTCGGGCGAAGGCGAGAAGCTCGACTGCTGCTGCGTCGTCGCTCGGGCTCTCTGAGAACCCCTAGGCGCGACTTCCCCAGGTATCGAGTAAACCCCCGGCAGCTCACCCCGCCGATACATTTCTATCGACTCCTGAATGCGACGCACAACGGAGAAGCAAGCCTCGGACTCGGACATGGCATTCTCGCGCGCAAACGGATGGGCAAGGCCGGAGGAAGGGGTGCTCGGGTAGACGGGCTTCTCCTCTCCCACGCTGCCACCGCTGTCGGTGACCTCGATAGGATGGCCACAGTGAACGGCAGCCTCTTCGTGGCTCTTGAAATCGCGCTTGTGCGCGATACGACAGTGGTTGATAAAGCCCTGCGTGCTCGAGAAGTTTTCGCGGTGACAATCAATGCAAACAAGTTTCACAGTCTTCCCGTCGGCTCGCTTCAGGACGCAGGGGCCGTTCTTGTCCTTCGGGGGCGGGTAGCCGCTCGAGAGGGCCTGCAGCTTCAGGCCCGCCGTTCCCCTCGCCGGCCGACCGCCTTTGCCCGCTTCGGCGAAACTATTCCGCGTCGACCTACCCTCGGCCGAAGATCTGTACCTCGAAGACTCGGCTTGCGACGCCGGGGGCTGGATACCGTCAAACTTGGGGTCGGGTATGAGCCACTTGGCATAGTGCCGCGCATACGGGCCGTCGGTGACACCGAAGGGCGGCGCCCACTGAGGCAGCTTATCGCCCGGCTTCGGTGGCAGGGCCGCACCGGTTCCGTTGGCTATGTTCATCATCTGCTCCGGCGTGGGGACATTGAGTGGATACGGTATTAGATGGCACCGACGCAGCTGCTCCAAAGCCACCTGGCATTTGGCAAGTTCTTGATTAATGAAGCGCAACTCATCATGTTTGAGGAGGATCTCAAGGCTGAACTGCTGCTCGATAGTCTCCCTAATACGGTCCCGGTCAGGCACATCCGTCACGGGCTGGCACACATCCCCTTCCTCCACGGCCAACCTCTTACGCGCCTTGGGGCGACTGTCGCCGTCGCTGCCGTCGTCCGTCCTCGGCCGCTTCGGCGCGGGGGGACGGACAGCAAGATGCGGTTCTATCGCGACATTGCTCTGCCTGCGTCGCTTCGGCGTGGTCGGCGAGGCAGGGATAGTAGTAGTAGTAGTAGTGGTGGTGGTGGTGGTAGGAGCTGCGATGGCGAGTGGGGACGCTGACGGCACCCAAGCCTGCAGCGGTTTGGCGAATTCGAGCATGGGCTGGTCGACTGGCACGGTCTTTTCGCTTCCCCTCGAATCCGAACTCCAGAATCGGAACATGAGCATACCCAGAGAGGGAGCGGGGAAGAGGCCTGATGGTCAGGCCTGGTGGTGTCGAGACGGGACGACCGCGAGGTGGGAGACGGGCGAGGTTGGGCGCGGTACGGGGCACTGGACTGGGACGCAGGTCGGCGACAATGTAGGCAGGCGGTCGGAGCACAAGGGGAGGAGAGAACAGACCACCTTTGGCAGCAGGCTGCGACGGGTACGTACCGGCCTCTGAATCAAGCTAGGAAGGCAGGAACGATTGCCACCGCTTGCCACCTCTTGCCACCACGGGCGAGCGGCCAATGGGAAGGCGAGGCTGACGTAACGGCGAGCAGGTGGATTTCCACCCGGCTGTTCCCAGCGTGTCCCCGGCCGACTGCTGCCTTATCAGGTCGATAGCCTGCGGTCGGCCAATCGTGCAATCAGCGGATCGATTGCGCCGGCGGATGCGACCTTTCCTCTTCCTATCCTCGCCCTGCTTGCTCTCCCGCCCGTTCGACGCGACGGCTTGCTTAGCCTCGGAGCGGCCTGGCTGCGAGATGGCCTAGGTCCAGGGCCAAGGGGCACCAAGGCGAAGGACTGGCGGAGCCCAAGGGTGGCCGCCCGTATTGGATGGCGAGACGCGAGTCCTGATGGGCTGGCAGGCAAATGCGCAGGGGAAAAAAAAAAGGAGTCGGCCGTTGCTGATGTGGCCACGGTCAAACCCAACGAAACCCGTCTGAGTCAGGACCGAGGCAGAAGGGGGAGTGCGCGAGAGCAGGCCAGGCAGGGGGGGCCACAGGCCGTGCACCGCGGCGATGCAGAGGCCTGCGAAGGCTCTGCGCGTCAATGATTAGAAGGCGTGGATGGGTTGCTAGGTGCTGGGTCCGGCTCAGGCGATTTGTTGCGACCCAGCGACAAGAAAACAGGCCTGGGGAGGCGCCGACAAAGGGTGTCCGGGAATTAATAATAAAAAAGGTAATCGGACAGCGGATGCGAAGGAGAAGAAGAAGAAAAAAACACCACGGGGGACGAGGAGTGCAGCGCGGCGCAAGAGGATGGTATCAAGAAAAAAGCCGATACACAAGACGGTACGTATTAGGGGGGCGGCGCGTAAGTGTTGAGGATCATCAGTTTCGCGATCGAGGCAAAAAAGGTATTAAAAAAAAGGGAGAACGGGGGAGAGGTAAGGGCGCGCGTGTCTGAGGGAGACGGAAATCGTATTAAAGTCGGCAAAGGAACGCGTGAAATGAATCGGGGTCAAAAGGGCGCGGAGACAACGGTCATTCGCTGCCTGATGTCTGCCTCTCTCTCTCTCTCTTTCTTCCTTTTTTTTTCTCTTACTCTTCGACGGTTGCGACGGGGTTGGTGGTGTTGGGTGCAGAGGGCCGCGAGAACGAGAGGTTGTGAGGTTTCTAGAGGGTGCGAGATGCGCGGGCGCAGAGGGAGGTCCTGATCTGACCGGGCCTCTCTAGCTGATTCTCGAGTTAGGAGGTGTTACTTAACTCGCCCGCCCTGCTTGCCTCCTTGAGTGTTTTTTTTCTGGCCGCCCCCCCGCCCCTCTCCTGGCCCCCCTGGCTCGGGGCAGGTAAGTATCGCTAATGTAGGCATGTTATGAGGAAGTACATGCCGTACGGTGTGCGTACGTGCGTGCGTGCGTGTGTATATGTGTGGTAGGTGTCGTGTATACATGCCTCCCACATGCCCAGGTAGGTAGGCATATCAGCGCCCAGAGCTGGGTTAGCGCAAGCAGACAACAAGAATGGAAGAGAAGACGCTACCACCCCAGTATAACTCGCCGTTGGTAGGTGCAGTACATACACGCATGCGTACCTACGTGTATGTGGGTACCTAGGTAGAGGTAGGTAGGTAGGTACCTAGGTACTGGTTGTATGCATGCATCCATGCATCCGTCCTGAGGCAGGCTTACTGAGTAGTACATCCGATCTTCCTTGCTCTTCCTGGTGGCTCAATCGTCCAATGAATGGACGGATTCGAGTTATAGATTCCGGGCAGGGGTTTCCATAGTTACCTGGTACGTATGTATAAGTCGAGCGCAGGGGTTCTATATGTGTACATGTATGAATAGGGTACGGCCAGCATTAGGCGCCCACCTCTCTCATAGGTAGGTAGGTACCTAGGTACTATACACCTGTACCCTACGAGGTAGGTACTTGTATACCTCGTAGGCCATGGGCGCAACCCTTTCATATCACTTAGGCAACGCTTATGCAGGCTTGGCGGCAGCCTGCTGTGATGTTAAGCAGCCCCTCCGGCGGGTTGTGCGCATGCATATCTGGACATATGGGTGTCCCCAAGTACTGGCAAAGTACCTTCCCCCCTGCCCACCCGACCGTCTCATCCCTATTGTCTTACATTGTTCTCATGACTCACTCCAGGGAAGCATGTAAAATGCGTATCAATCCTTTCTAGGCGCCGACCCTGAGAGGTGGTGGTGGTAGCAGCAGGATGACACCCTGTGGGATGGGATGGGAATAGGCGGATTGGCCCTCTAGGAAAATAAGGGACGCCTGGGCTTTGACCACCACCATTATGGAGGTGTGCGTCACATGGCTGCTTTTAGATACCTGGTCGGTACTTTACTGCATAAAGCCGCCTTCCTTCCTTTATTGGCACCAGTCTCTGGTGTTATGCTGGCTAGGCCCACCTAAGCTGGCCTTTACGGCACAATACGGGTTGATATCCATGATAAGGACGGGCGTGAGCGACTTAGATAAGGCCACCAACGCCCTCCTCGTCCTTGTACCTAACATACACGTACCTATGTACTCCTATCGAGGTACCTCCTCATGTACATAGGTACATAGGTACCTGAGGTGATGTGTGCTCATGCTCGGATGCCCGTTCTTCCACCGCCCGGATTGTTGGTTCCCTGTTCTCGAGACGTTCCTGCAGCATGCCTCACATCCACCCACATGCATATCGCATCTCCGGCTCCTAATATACCTATTCCTACCTACCGTAGGCATTGGATGGGTGTGTGTGCATGTACGTGCGCATATAGGCGATTTGTGGCAGTTCTCATGCTATTGACCATGATAAACCTGTTATGGCTATGCTTAGCAACCAACAGATATATGTAAGTATGTGCATATATATATACTGTGTAGTAAGATCGTGGATTAGCATGGGCTCTAGTCTATCTGCGTCGGTTTATTACCATAGCGATTTGCCCCCGTACCCATCCGTATCGTCCGGTCCCTCTGGAGATAACCCGTAGAGGTGGGAAGAGGTCTTATTAGGGACATAGTGTTTGGCTAGGAGGCCCCAAGTCGCTTGTGTTGAAGTTTCACCCGCGTCGAGGCGAATCTCAGGTTGAGTCTTCAAACCGAAGTAGGTAGGTAGGCCATGCAACTCTGACTGGGGGCATACAATACAGGAGGTACGTAGGATGTGCCAACGTCCAATTCGGCTTGGCCTAACGTGCATTCTCGAACACTGGAGCGACTGCCGGTCTCCGGTATTATGAACCTGGATATATACCGTAGATGTTTTACCATTTCGTCTCATTTCTGAGTAATAATCAAACTGCTGCAAACCATGCTTGAATCTACCGTGTAGAAGGGTGGCAGTGCTGGCGAGTGGCTTCAAAGCACCTAAGGTATTCGAAATGCTATATACCAGGCCGCCTCCAACATATTACCGTCGAAACAAGTCTCTCAATGAATATACTGAACTGGTGTAAGGTATCTGAACCTCACTGGACAAATACCTACCTCACGAAGCTATAGTAGAGTAAGATACATGGCAAGACACGGAAATTTATGTTTCACAAACGCTCGGGCGAGGTTGAGACACGGCAACTCGCGAAATGTCAACAGGTAATGCCGGTCTATTACCAATACTTCTAGGACCTCTCTCGACATTCGTCAGCCGTCCATCCCATCTCTTCATAAATCCCTTCCCCGCCACAATGCAACGATCACATTGAATCTTATGCCGGGGTACGGACATTAGGCACTTACAGATAGGCAGGTACCTACCTATGTACAGCCCGTTTATCTCAGGTTCCGGGGTTAGGATAGGTCAGGTACCTACCTAGGTAGGTACCTGACCTGGTAGACAGGTAATGTATAAGTGGGGCACCATATATCGCTAATAGAGACCTAATATGACGTATACCCTTACCCGAGACCACGTACCTGCCTACCTAGGTACCTACGGAGGTAGGTATGCATCGTAGGTACCTCCTCCCATGCACGGGAGGGCAGATGTACCTAAACAGGTGCAGCGTTGACAGCTAGTAGCGGTCGGCCATGCCAGGAGCTTGCCTTATCGATAAAGCAACGCCCTCGATATTTTTTTTACGTTGTGCCCGACCTTCCAACCCGCCTTTACCAACAACGTACGTACCTACACGTACTAAGGCAGCGCAAGTGTTAACCTTGACAGCCGCAACTAGGACTCTTATCGAGCTCTCGATGACGGCTACTCTTCTTCCGCCGGCGGCACCATGACCGCCCGAGGAGGCCCCCGTCAGGACCTGAGCGAGAGCGTCCACCCGTCCGCGAAGCGAAAGCGCGCCGACACCGATGAGCCCGTCCCTCTGAGCAAGAAGCCTCGTCTTGCGGCGAGCCTCAACCTATCCTCCGCCGAGGACGTCAAGGTCCTGCAGGCCGTCGAGGCCAAGTACGACGTCCAAATCCACTCGGTAATCTCGTCTTACAAGATACGGAAGAAGGTGACGTCCATCCTGCGACAGCTCGTCGCGCCGCCGCCGAACGAAGCCGATGGCCTCGCGACCGCTTCCGCCGCTCCGGCAGCCACGGCGAAGGTGGCCGTCCTGCGCGCCAAAGCATCCGATGCGAGCAAGCTTATCTCGATAGCCGAAATCGCAAAGCGCGAGCTGGAGAAAGGGGATCTTGGTGGCAGCGATCGTTGGTTCCAATACATCGCGCTGGGCGAGCAGCTGGCGGAAACTCCCCGGAGAGAGCGCGATGCTGTCGTCGAAGAGACGAAGCTAGGGGGTGCCGGCGCTGGTGAGGATGACGGAGACGACTTCGAGATTATGAAGACCCCGCTCGAGAGAGCCCTCGAGGGCCGACCGCGACTGCGAGGCACGCCCGTCATGAGCCTGTTTCTTTCCCAGACCTCGATCGAAGAACTGAAGAATCGCTTCGGCGAACAAAGCAACCTACACCCAGCATAACGGCGCACCCCAGACTACACCCATCGGAAGAAGTAGCGATCACGGTATAGAGGGCTAAAGACTGGACATGTCGGAATGAGGACCGTGAGGACCGAGAGGACCGAACAATCTGTTTATAGAGCTAACCACGCCACGAAACTCGATCTGTATTCTCTAATCCGACCTCTCGTTCCACACTTGGTTCGACCCATACAAACTCCACAGAAATGCGGTCAACATAGAATATGCGCTATACTAATGGGAAATGCCGTCCTATATGTGTATATATATGTATATATATACATGCCTTCGACACGTCCATCTCCTTTCACTAAAAACGTAGTCAAAATATGCAGAAACCATCGCCAGACAATCATGAATCCAAGCTTATTCACGTCAAGGTATCGCACGCCAGACGGTCGCGCTGACCCAATATACTCGCAACTTCGGAGGTTCTGCTTATATATGTAGTCTCTCGGATCCGCCTCGATTCGTGCGTGTAGTAGCAATGTCGTAGTGCTCTGCGGTTCCCACGGGCGCCTAGGGTTTCCTGCCTCCCTCTGCGCCCGAGTACGTTATGCGCAGCACGAAGTTCACCACGACAGCGAGCAGGAGGATGATGGCGAGCACGGATGGGCCGAAGCGGTCGTCGAACCCGGCTTGACCCCTCACTCTTATCGACTTGGCTCGCCAATGGTAGGTGAACAAGGCGTATATCATGGTAAGCATGGCTACGCCGGTGAACAGGAAGGCGGAGATGAAGGCGGGGCGGTCTCCGAAGTTGAGCATGCCGATGGCCAAGGCGCCGAGAATGACGGTGAAGTTGAGCCATGACAGGAACGTCCGCTCGTTGGCGAAGAAGACCTTCGGTTCGACTCGGGTCGGCAGGGCAATACGTTTGCCTAGTATCGCGAGAACGATCTCCTGTTAGCGTCCGGGGGGGTTCTTTGGGGAATCGCGTCGGGCTAAGGGAGGTTGGCTTGCTCACCAGGGGCAGTCTGGAGAAGAGGCTGGCTAGACATGGCGATACGGTTGCGGCGAGGGGTCAATTGGGTGGTCAATTGGTATAACGAATGTCGGTGGTTGATGGAGTAGACTTGTGACCGGTACGGAATAGAGGGGTGTGGCGTTACTGTTGTTGTTGTTGTTGTTGCTATAGCCGAGGAAGAAAACTAAGGCGTTCAGCTCGGGTTTGCACCAGCCACCAGATACGGGCAATCTATGGCCGATGTGAGTGTCAACAAGGTGAGAAAAGAAGCGAAGAATTGCGAAAAGGAAGAGACGGGGAGAGGGAAAGAGAAAGAAAAAAAAAACCAGGTATCATGAACTATGACGATGATCGCAAGCAACGAGGTGTTGGAGTTGAGAGCTTGACAATAGACGAAGGCAGGAAAAGATTACACTAGCGACCTCGGTGGTGGGTCCAAACACGTGAACCGTTCTGCGTCTCTCAATGGTTGAAGCGGCGCAGGCAAGGCTGTTGCACGTGCCCACTTGCCCCGCGTACTTATGAGTAGGTACATAACATTAGGTGCATATTTATGTACCAGTAGTTGGTAAGAGCGGAATCTAGCACATAATGTAGCGTATCTAATGTACAGTTAGGTATGTCAGGTGTAAGTACCCAATGTATAAGCATAGCGGGCATTATGTCGGACCCTAGGTCTTAGCTGTGGTGTACCAGCTCAAATCCGATTCGTCCAGGTGTTCAAGGCGTTTACGGTACCTAAAAGTACCAAGAAAGGGGAGGGAGAAAACAGGCTATGCTAGGTAGCATCCATACTCAGGGTAGGTACCTAACCTAGTGGGCTTAGGTGGTATACGGCCATCGATAGGAGCAAGGATCTTCCCATAAGCTCGAGCTGTCCCAGAGCTGAGCCCTACGGGAAGCTATGATAACACACACGAGATAACAGGATAAGGCGATAAACCCCAGGTTGTGCCCGTTGGCTTGCCTACTTTTCTTCCTTACTTACCTCCTCTATGTCCGACTACTGCCCACTCTAACCACAACACTCCAACCACGCACTCTCTGCCATATCCGTCTCCCTCACGTAGCTTAGGAGGCAACTACTACGTTGCTACCTCGTTGAGGACGCCGAAGGCCAAATCCTACGAGGCTCCCTCCATCACCGATCTTCAGGCGGGAACCCGAATCGTCTTATATACTTGGACGCTCTCGTTACCAACCCGACCACCTCCATCCCCTATACACCGTCTCAACAGCCCATTCCAAACTCGGCACCCTTCTATCCAACATGGCCTCTCAATCTAGCAACGCCGTATGTTACAGCTGCTACCGGTTTTGAGTCCCCGTCACGAAAGTTAGCTTACCAGGCCGTCCTTAGCCAATTAGCCCTACCCGCCTAAAGCAGATTGCCATGGACGTAGGTTCCCTTCCCTAGCCCTTGTCGGAGCTTTCGTGGGGCCGGATCTCGTCAGCTAAGATCAATTAAACCCAGGCCTGCCAAAGCGCTATTGGAAGTGCTGAATTCTACGAGCATCCCAAAGTCGAAGGCTGGAATTCAACCATCATCGTACGTTTGTTTTTTCTATCTTGTATTTGCCCACCAGCATCGGGAACCACCTACAACACCCCCCCTTCCAGGGCCTTTTATACTGGGAGCATCGCTAACACGAGTCGCTCACGCCAGAACTCCATCCTCAAAGCCATCATTTCCGAGTCGACTCCCTCCGGTTCCCAGACCCCGACCCACAAATACGTGGTCAACAGCACCATCGTCCAACATCTCGTCCCGACGTCGGCCCTCAACAAGCCCAAAGGCGGGAGCGAAGCGAAGGCTGACAGTCCGCGTATTAGTACCGGTGATGGCAGCGGTGGCGCCACCGCGACGGACGGGAAGCCTCACGTCGGCCGGCGAGGCATGCACTCAGCTACCCAAGCCTTCTGGAACGAGAAGACGGACGGCATGTGGAGCTTCAAGTACGACGGGGGCGAGAGCAAGGGAATGGACGTCGTTATCAGCGTCATCTGGATCGGCATATAGGAGAGACGGTTGGCAACGAAAACGGGCCTCCCCCGCCGGAAGAGAGCCATTCTTTCACGAGCATACCGCACGCTATACAGTGTATGAAGATACGGGAAAGAGATTGAGCAGGTCGGTGTTTTCTCACACGACACGAATATAGGACGCCTAAGGCACACGGTCATTCGCATAACACACCCCGACCAAAGTGTAATGGACAGGCATGCCACCTGGAGTATGCTGGCACAACAACGTACATATCAACATACTGCCCGACCATTATCTGGCCCGCCACGACCACTTAACTAGTCTGGGGCACCAGCCCAGCACTCTGGAAAGAAAATCGACTACCTACATACATTGGCTTTACTCCGCCGTCGCGCGGGAGTAAAGCCGAAGGGGCTCAGCAATTTACCTACGTACATACGGCCGAAGAGGCACTCCGGTAGTCACGAAATACATACCATTAACGAGTTACGTTCCCAGGTATGTTAACAGAACCGGACGTAGCGCTGGGTATGTCTACCTTGGGGAACCGACATTTACTTCATGCTTGACGGGGAGATTGCCCATCCTTAAATCAAGGGGTTCGACACGCATATACATAGGCTTGTTGGCCTCCACGTACGTGGACACACGCACATAAAGTTGTGCCGTGTATTGTTGCTTTGTTGTAACTCGGGTTACGTCGGGTACGTACGTAGTAGAGGATCCTGAGCCCGTGCCGGATGTGACGCTGATACGTCCGGAGAAGAGGCGAAAGCTAACCCGTTTTGTTTTGGATAAGAGTGTTTGTATTGCCTCTGTTTATGAATCCATCCAAATGTTTAACCCAGATTCTTACCTAACTTCCTTGCCTACCTTCAACGAACACCTGTGTTCTAGCTAAGTTACGCGGCGACGTAGGGCTATATCGTCTAAGCAACCGCTAAAATAGTATCTACGCGTCTGCTTCGTTACCCGCTTACGAAGAGGGTACGGCTTCGAGTGGACCAACTAGGTCCTCTCCCACTCACATATCCTGAATGTACGTAGGCAGGTTTGGTGCGGATCGAGAATAGGCAATATCCATATTCTACATGGCATCATGCAGAATATCACGTATGCTGGGGACCTAGTCAGAGGACGCCGCCGCGGGATTCGTCGAAGCCGCCGGTCGGATACTTGCCATTGGCCGTGTAGGTGTTCCTGGATACGCACCCCTCAACCGTTGCACCCTGAACACACACCTGCCTGCCTAAAGATTAATGCCCAGACCGTTGGCTCCCGGCAAGACTGTCATTTGTCGAGCGCATCTCATCTGGGTGTGCCGTCGCACGTCACGCGAGCTAGCCCTACAGGTGTCCTTTTTTTTCCCTCTCCTTCGGTCCCCCCTCTCCCCCTTTTTTTATTCTGGCAGATTGCGCCATGTCGTACTGCATCGATGGGACATGACTACATCCATACGTGTACGTACGCACATGCTTTATACGATATGAAGGTGTCAATCTAGGAAGAAATGCTCCTAGCTGGCCTTCCTTCTCGCTCGCTCGTCTGCGTTGTGGGGTCGCCAAGGGTCTGCCTCTCTCCTTCTCCTCACTGCCTGCGTATTATGCGTATGCGTGCGTCGCTTTCTCCGCGTCCGCGTCAGCCAAGGCGACGGGAGGGAAGAAAGCAGGCCATGCTCATGTCATCTCTTTTCGGATCGGAGTCGAGCGAGGAGAGAGGGGCGGGGAGAGAGATACGGCCCGGAAGCGCATGCCGTCGTGATCGACTGAGTACCTACCTATACCTACGCCTTACTGTGATGTCGAGCTTCCCCTCTGCCGCCGATTAGATATCTGTAGGGCGTTGGGGCGCCAACTGGAGTCTAGAACCTCATATATAATGGCATAGGTTATATTGCCGTAGTCGTGCCCGGCCCCGATGCTTCCCAGCCTGCATCCGCCCGCTGACGGCTGACGGGAGGAGGGGACGGCTAATGAAGCGCTTGGTCCCATACAGAATCGAGACACATATACGTAATAAGCCCGCGCAGTGATTTGCTGCCGGGAACTTATTCAGTACCGATGGGCCGGTAACCCGCCTGAGTCGAGCGCTTGCTCCCGCGACCACAGCCCATCCCCATGTGCACCCGTCGCGTTGCGTTGCGTTATGTCGTGTCGTGTTGCATTTCTCCTGGTCCAGTAAACTGGCGAGGGGGATATCGTTTCGCCGCCGACGTAGCAGAGAAGACGGGTGTATCGCTCCGAGGCACGTCTGACGGCCTGCCTACTACTACGCATATACCTACCTCCTACGTGGCGGCGGTGGTGTCAGGGAAAATCCCGATCTTGGCTTACCAGTTGTAGAGAACCGACTCTCGTCGCGGCGAGGGCTCGAACGGCTCTAGCATGCGACGGCGTACGCGAGTCTCCAACTTGCGTACGTGTATAGAAGCGGCGCAAGTGATGTAGAAAAAAAAAAGGGGGGGGGGGGGGAATATGGCGTGGGAACCGGCCGGTTCGTCGCCTGCCCCGAACACGAACAGTTACTCTCTCTGCAAATAACCTACCTCCATAGATAGGCACCACGTACCTAAACCATATGTTAGCCAACTAGGTAAATAATATTTTTTATCTACCTACCTACACAACACACCCCCTTCGAAAAGAACATCTACTTGAATGCAAAGGGTGGGACGACGGGAGTGTCGATGGTCTGGTGCCGGGCGCGGGCGGAGCTCGCCGAGCGATCTTCGGCGGTGGAAAGCGTCGGGCCAAAGGGAACGATGATGTATACCTGCCTTGGACAGGTACCTTCTTGGAATGCATTCGGTACATGGCTGTGCGCATGTATCTGTCTACGTACATACGTACCTTCCAGGTACCTCAGGTACCTTAGGTACCTCCTATCTGTATTCACATTATTCTGGTTGGAGGTGCCCAAGTCGCCTTCGCTCGATTCCCTTCCACGTCCATCCCTCTTCGAATACGACGACCTACACCTCCTAGACAATCTCCCGGATCGCCCCCCCTCCTCGATCGGGATGGCAGACAGTAGGAACAGGCTCCTTTAGCCTAACCCGGGGGCCCCCCCGTGTCCAGCCCGCTCACTCGCTGGGCGCTCGCTTGGCCTGGTCCGCCTGGCCTTCTCCGGTCGGGGGCGAGGGCTGCGGGTCATGCCACCCACGAACTCTCTCCGCCTCTCCCCATTTGTCACGATAGATCTCCAGACAGCCTTCTTATCCCGCGCCGCCTCTCCCAGTTGGAAGGAGTGGATACAATGGGGTGGTGGTGGGGGGACGAGAATCTCCACCGCCCAGGTTTTTGCTTCTTACGTTTGCTCACTACAGGTGCCGTAGGTATAGACAGGAGAGGGAGACAGGAGATGGGAGAGAGACAGGGGAGAGGAGAGGCGAGGGGGACACAGACAGAGACAGAGGCGTGCAAGTAGTAGGCAGTGTGTGTACCTTCATGCCCGATTCACCCGCTTGCCTCTCCTCCCAAGGGAAGAGGCGCGTCTGGCATGTACTCATAGGTGGGTGTGAGGCAGGTAGGCTGGCAATGCAAGATGGAGGTTGTAGCCGGCCATGACATCCCTGATCAGCCTCTCCACGCGGCCGATTTAAGAAACCCACTCCTCCTCCCCATTCCTCCTGCTCGCGTGTCTTGATTCTAAACAAGTCCTCTGCCACGACTCAATCACACAACCGTCGAAGCACCTCTTCTGCACCCGGTACTTTTACCCTCTCCCCCCCCCACGCCGACAGTAACATAGGTACCTAATCCCCGGAGCCGCGGACCGGATCGTGAGAACAGACAGAGATCGCTGCTCGCCTCCTCAGCTAAGCGCCAACCCCCGCTGTTGCTGACCAAGAAGGGGAAGAAGAAAAAAAAAAAGGCAGAGAGAGGAGAAGTGAGAAGCATCCAACCGCTCGAGAATTGGCCGCCTACGATTGGTGGTGGGTCCTTCGGGTAGCCGAATCTGAACCAGGTTAGGACCGAATAACCTAAGTCTTGTCTCTTTTTGGCAAGTGAGAACCGTGGAAGCTCGTCCGTCTTCTATAATCTGCCCTGAAAAACTACCGACGTGCCCATCTCTCTCCATCTACTATACCACGCCCACTACGAGCCCAGCTCGTCGTCACCAACCACGCTGCCATCCGCTTCGAAATCTCGTCTCGGTTGCGCTGTGTATGTGCCTACGTGCATTAATACCACCTGCCACCGCCAAGATCGCGTGTATACGTGCGCGTGTGCAGGGCGTTGAACCGTGACGAGGAAGACGAAGAGAAAAAAAAGGAAGAGGAGAAGAAAATCCAGGTATATTGCTACCTACCTACCCACCTTGCCAGCCAATCCATCCACCAACCAAGCCCTCCATTATGGTCGAAGTACTTCGGGCCCCGTCACTCGGACAGCCGGCGGCGGCGTCGTCGTCGGGCTCACCCGATATGATGGAGATGACGAGCAGATTCCTCGACGTGGACCTCGGCCCCGCCTCGGAGTCGTCGGCGGCCGGGTTGCAGCAGCAACAGCACCACCAGGGCCAGAACCACCAGCAGCAGAAAGGGTCCGCGAAGGAAGGCTCCAAGAACGGCCTCGTCATGCCTAGGCGCGCCTTTTCATCCACCGACTGCCCGGCCGTGAGCCCCCACCACCCCGCCTTCGCCGCCCTGCAGCGGCAGCACCGCCAGCTCACGCCGAGGGAGTCGGCACCCGAAACCGCCGACTCGTATTTCGACTTCCGCCCCACACACCCCTCCTCTTCATCGTCATCGTCATCGTCGTCGGCAACCTCCCCGATGCCGCCGCCACGGGTGGCGGTGACGAACCACTACCAGCCGCAGCGCGGCCCGGGCCTCCTTGCCCCTCGCACGATACCACGACCTCCCGCGGGGCTCGCGACCCCCGCGTCGCTGGCGCGGCCTCCACTGCCATCGCCGCAGCGGTCGTATTCGGTGATGGACGTGGAGCCGGTGCCGTTCACGCACCGGCCGGGGATCGCGCTAACACTGGCAGAGCTGCCGCCGGAGCTGCACTTCGCCGTGTTCGACTTCCTCGACCCGATCGACAGCACGTGCCTCGGACTCACGAGCCGTCACTTCTACGCGATCCACCGGCGGCTCCACGGCAGCGTGGCGCTGTCGGCGCGCCGCCAGGGGCCCAACGACATGGAGTGGGTGTGGCGCAACGCCGGCCCGTTCGTGGCGCCGGGGAGCAGCAGCAACGGCAGCAACGGCAGCAACGGCAGCAACGGCAGCAACGGCAGCAGCGGCGGCCACGGGGCCGACAGGCAGAACTCGCTCGCGCTGCTGACGCCGCGCGGCCAGGTCTACTGCCGGCGCTGTCGCACGGCGCGCTGCGAGCTGCACAACCACATCCGCGAGTGGGTCCGCGATTGTGCCGGCGGGACGTTCGGAGGCGAGATCGAGTACTGCGCGGTGACGCACAAGTTCGGGCTGCCGGCGCCCGCGGGCGCCAGGGCGTACTGCTATCTCAGCTCGCCGGTCAAGCGCCGGTGCGGCAGGCACACGAGACAGCAGCGCACGGTGCGGCTCGTGTGATGGCTTGTTTCTTGCTCGGTTGCCCGTGTGTACGTGTCCATAGGCCTGCATATGCGTATAACGTCATCGGGGCTGGGGGGAATAAGAAAAACGGAGGAGTTGGGGCAGATCTCTCTCCCTTTCGGGGACGAGTTATGACCTGTAGAATCTAACGGGAGAAGGGCTGTTTGCTTCTTTGTTGTTGAGGGGTATGCGTCTACGAGAGAAGAGGGAGTGTATGTCTTCATGCGTACTGACGCGCATACCTGCCTACCCGTCTCAGTCCCTCCTCACAGGACGACGACTCCGTGTCCTCTATCCGCCGCCTCTTTGCAAGAGTGGGACTCGTGATGACGGCGGGATGCGGGGTGCGCGTTTGGCGCTTCCTGCCCCCTCTTCTCCTCTTCTCGCTTCTCTCTGGCTGGCATCATTTCGGAAACGGGGCGGGGCGGGACGGGACGGAGTCGGGACGATGCTCCCCTCTGGCACATATAAATATGGTAACATATCCGGGAATTGACCTAGGCGTACGTGTACGGGTTCTAGAGGGTGTAGGTATGCAAAGCGAACACGATGCTCGGGAGCGGGTAGCCTCTGATCAGACAGACGCTGCTCCCTCGCGGCCTACCTTGTATGAGAGAGACAGCAGCGCGAATAGCTACGGTTGCGTTACGTCAATAAACAGAACGAATGAATGTACACGGTTAAAAAGATTGTGACACATGTCGAATCGAATCGAATTCAGTGTACGGATATGGGAGAGGCGATGCTCATCGTTCACAGCGTTTAGGGAGCCCGAGATGGCCTCAGTTCTAGTGTGTGTGCATGCGGTTAGGTCCGTAGATAGATGAGGAGGAGAAGCCCAGATGGTGGTGCATTTAATCGGTGTCCATCGATGCTTTGTTTTACGCTGGCAGCTGACCGATCGGATGCTTTACTACGTACACCTACTACCTACTGGTGTTTATTTGCCTGCCTACCTAAGGGATTGGATCGGGTATCGACGAGTCTCTCGGCGATGCCATCCATTGGCCCACCCGTTGAACGTTGAACACGCGAGAAAACCAGCGGGCGACGGCGGCTCCATGGCCTGGCCTCGGCTCACCTCGTCTGCGAGTAGAACGATTGCGTCGCTACGTCACCGCTGTTGGCGCAATGGGTATTCACACATAACACACCTAGGTACCCATGGGCGTATGCCGTTTGCTACGTAGGCCAGCCACATTTCCGCAAACCGGGACGCCCGAGGCCGAGGCGACGACCAGGGTGGCGCAAGTGCGTACCTACAGGCTCATAGTGGACGGGGCAAATCTACTCATACTCAATGATGCCACCTCTACACGTACGCTGGGGTTCGCCTGCGCTAGATAGGTAGGTAACACGTATGGTGAAAAGCCGCGTACCCATGTATCGAAGATGTACGGAACCCATACAGACACATCATTTATGCGCCAACGCGGTGACCCTTCTCCCATCGTCTCAGATCACCTTGTCGCAAATCCGACCCCGTTTGGAGGGTTCGGGACCAGCGGACGGGATTGGAGGATGGGAAAGGCGGTAGCGTAATAGAGGGGAAAAGCAGAGAAGAGAGCAAGGAGAAGGAAGAATGCGAGAAAAAGAGGTCAAAGGTAGGGATGTATGTTAGCAGCGAGAGGCGTCGGAGCCGTATGCGTATTGGATAGCACTTGAATCGATCCGTCATAATTGTATTGTCACATTGGCAGGAATCCGGCCGTCATGTTCTGGCCGTGGGCAATCTTAGCCAGACGTAAAAATTTCTCCAAGCGTAGGTACCTGCTTGTACTTGACCTGGATGGGAGGTGATCTTGATGCGTCGTCGTAGGTATGTATCCTCTGCGTCTGCTCTTCTTCCGTCATCGTCTGCCTCTTTTCTTCTTCTTCTTCTTCTTCTTCCTTTCCTCTTCTCCCCCGGAGCTCTTGAGTCCTTATGAAACGCCCCTTATTTCCATAATTTATCTTACTTCCGTCCCGCGGTGCACAGGGCGTAGTATAGACACGTGTGAGTTTTCCCCTTCCCGGTCCCTCTTTTTATATGCCTATGCATAGTTTTATTTAAATCTGCAATTTCAATGCCGTGCGAGTATTCTTTATCGATATCTCTCCTCTGCCCATCGTCAGCCGCGCCGCCCCCTCTGCCCGCCCGTCTACGAGTATACTCATACCACATACTTGTATATCCGTATATATAGATTTATATATGTACGCTGTAGGCATATGCGCCAGTGTGCATAGTTTCACATCGAAGACAGGTAGACCTGCCCGCCTCACCTCACCTGCCTTACCTGCATACACTGCCTTACCTGCATACGCCCACCTTCCTACATACGCCACCTACCTACATACACCACCTACCTGCTAGATACCTACGGCAAACGCAATTACGCCGGACGCATCGGTAACGCACAGCTGCACGCCCCAAGTGCCTCGCCATCTCAACCTTTTTCTTTAGGGGTGGTCCCGGTTCACGGACTCCCGGGCTGCCTCCGTCCCCTCCTAATCCGCACACCCGCACGCACATTCTGTGCACGTTTATACAGCCATTCGTTGCATCGAATCGTCCCTCCGACGGCCAGCTCGGCATCTGTGGTCGTACCCGTACGCATCCATACCATACACTTGTGTATGTGTTATCTACAGGTATATGGGCTCGGCCTTGTCCTTCCCCAATTCATCACCGGTGGACGTCACCAAAACCGCAGCTCCCCTGGCCGGGTTTCCCACATGTCAGCGACACCCGCTGAATTGTCCCCTACTACATACCTACTTGCTTCGCTTACCCGCCGAGCTTAGCTTCGTCACGCTTGACCGCGCCCTCTTTAGCCAGCTTCTTCTTAACTAACATTACTGCTGTAGTCCTGCCCCGTTCTCTTGGTACCGTGCGGCGGGGGAACGAAGAGACGGCCATAAGGAGCCACCGTTCTCGTCTCTCTCCTTCACGGTAAACCTCGTGCCGATCCACCTCGGCTGATAACCCGACAAGCTCCCTGACCTTCGCCTGCCGACGTTGTCGCTGTTGCCCACCGGCCCTCGAATTCTTGTCCTCTTTCTGGCCTCTCCTCGGCCGCCTCCGCCTCCTCAACAAAAATGTCCTCGCCTTCCGGCTCGTCCCATGTGGGCAAGCGCAAGCGTGCAGCGACCGCAAACTCCGTCAAGATGGACGATAACCCCTTGCTGCAGCCGTCCTCGCGAGATGCATCCGGTGAGGAGGGCGACACCACCGCGCCCGAGTCCGGCAGACTCTCCCATCGCAAGTCGGACTCGGCCGCGAACTCGAACCCAGCCAAGCGCCAACGCGCCAATTCCGACCGCAATTCCGCCCTCGAGGCTGCCAACCACACCCTAGACCCCGGCGAGCCCAGCGACACGACAGAGGCCAGCATTGACATAGCCGATCGCGTCACGAGGAAAAGCAGAAAGCCCGGCGGCGCCAAGGACGTTGTCATGCAAGATGACGAAGAGAAGAAGAAGCAAGCCGCCATGCCGCCCCCCCCGGTCGGCCGCCTGACGCACCCCGCCGGCTACAGGACGAACCCCCCTCCCACCGGCCGAACCATCCGGGTTTACGCCGACGGCGTCTTTGATCTGTTCCATCTCGGGTAAGCACTCCTAAGCAGGGATATTATAGCTCGCTTTTGCCACGCCGAACCCGAAGCTGACCTGTTCTTTTTTTCTTCTTTTTCTTCCACAAAGCCATATGCGCCAGCTCGAGCAAGCTAAAAAGGCATTCGATGACGTCTACCTGATAGTAGGCGTCACCGGTGACGAGGAGACGCACAAGCGCAAGGGTCTCACCGTATTGTCGGGCTCGGAACGTGCCGAGACGGTGCGGCATTGCAAGTGGGTTGACGAGGTTGTCGAGAATTGCCCCTGGATCGTCACGCCCGACTTCCTCGAGAAGCACAAGATCGACTACGTTGCTCATGACGATATTCCCTACGGCGCCGCCGAGGGCGATGACATCTACGCCCCTATCAAGAAGGAAGGCAAGTTCTTGGTCACGCAACGAACAGAGGGCGTCAGCACGACGGGCATTATTACCAAGTAAGTCTTAAAGCTACGAAGCGTCGTGACTGAGGATATCGGGCGCAACGGCGCTAACAGCAGGCAATGTAGGATTGTTCGTGACTACGAAAAGTACATCACGCGTCAGCTCCGACGAGGAACCTCGCGCCAAGAGCTCAACGTGAGCTGGCTTAAGAAGAACGAGCTTGACCTCAAACGCCACGTCCAAGAAATCCGCGACAACATCCGAACCAATTGGACGACAACTGGCCAGGAGCTCAGCCGGGAGCTTCGCCAGTACTGGCCCGCAAGCCGGCCCCAGAGCCCGTCGCCCGCCCGCCGCTTTTCCGTGCCCAACACCCCCGGTGCAAACGGGGAGACCAGCCTGCGGGAAGCCGCCACACGTGCAGCCGCCGCCAAGTCCCCCACCACCCCCGGCCCCGTCGAGAGAGCGTCAGCCCCCAACGATTTCATGACCGGCTACACTCTCGGCTTGATCGGCGGCGTGAGGTCGTGGGTAAGGGTTTCCCGTTGAAACGATGCAGAAATTAAAGATGGCGGGCTAACGATCCCTCCCCACAGATGACGAAGAGCCGACGAAACGTCCGCGACAGTCGGCCGGCAAGTGACGACGACTCGGAGGAGAGCGACGGGAAGGTCAACGACCGCGAGCGGCCAGCAGTTGCATCTTCCAGCTAGTCGCTTGAATCTTTCCTAGCCCTCAGCGGCGGCAGGACAGGGACGCCCAGCATCATTCGACGACCAAGGTCATATTCACGATTCCGATTCCGATTCCGACGAGTATGACGAGGAAGACAGTATAGACTTTTAATGGCTCTGGTGACTGTGTTGGGGAGGGAGGGAAAAGAGGGAAAGGGGGATACACAAAAGAAAAGAAGAAAATTCGATATGCTTACCACGGCGGCGTTCTACGGCTCTTTTCTTTTTTTCATTTCTTTTCCCTCCCCTTCCCTGTATTCTGGCAGTACGAAATTGAGAGCCAGCTGCGCCGGGAGCTGTGTGGTTTTTATTTTATTTCTTACCCTTACACGTCTTCCTTCGGAATTACGAGATAGAAGAACAAGAAAGAGGAGCACGAAGAAGAAGAATTACTACTAGACGACAAGACACAATGGGCCGGGACCGGGCGGCCTCGCTGCTCGTTTTTCCCTGCGGGTATGCGCGCGCGCACACGCAGGTAATGGCGAAGGAGAGATCTCACGGAGCGGTCGAGCAGCGAAGAAGCAACGATTACGCCGGCAAGAGGGGAGGAGAGGGAAGAGGACTGTCGCTAGTACCGTCGTCACTTGTTACCCACTACTACTACTACTATATAGATTTTAATAGCTGCCCCGCCGTGGGACGAAATGGACGCTCACCATGATTGTAAGAGAGAGAGAGAGGGGCAAGAAAAGAGAGCGTGTGTATTGTGTGGTATGCGTCGGCGTGCCCGTGGTCCTCGCTGCTGCCTGCCGTGCCCCTCCCTTCTCCCCCTTCCCGGCCTGGTCGTGTCGCGTCCGACCCTGTGAGCGAACCCGTAGAAACTCGAGGCAGCAACGGCGTGTGTGTGTGTGCTACGGAGGCCGGCCGCGTTATGCGCCCGGGTTCTTCGGCCGGAGGACGCCTCACCCCCCCCCCCCCCCCCCCCCTTCCTCCCTGCCTCCCTTAAGGGGGAAGCGAGGGGAGCTCGAAAGCGCAGCGCCGCCGTGTCGCTGCCGTTGTCCTTAGCTACCTACCTCGTGTGTGCAGCAGAGCTGAGGCAGAGACGGCAGACGGCAACACGGGCAGGGAGGAAAGGGACAGGGAGCCCCTACGGGGAAAGGGGGAAGAGAAAAGGGGGAAGGGGGGGTGACTGCGACGACGGCTCGTGGCTGCCCAGGGGAGGCGTGCGCGCTACCCACGCAGGAGGGGCGCGGCGCCTCTCCCTCTCCCTCTCCTCCTCCTCCTCCTCTCCTCCCCTCGCCACGGCGCCGCGTCGTCGACCTGGCGCTTCTCGCCTGCTCGTTGCGCCGCAGCGAAGGGGCGGGCGGCGAGGCATGCGTGCCGATCAGGGGGGGTGCGGGTTCTGCAGCGGCGGGCGGCTGGCTGGCTGGCTGGCGCGCGAAGGGGGCGCGTGGGAGGGATGGAGGGATGGAGGGATGGATGGACGGGTAGACGGACGGGGAGCCCGGAAGGAGCTGGGGGGCGCGCGAGCGAGGGCAGGGCACGGCGCGCCGCGTCGCCTTAGTAGTGTAGGGTGTGCGGGCTTCACGAGGGCTCGCTGGGCCCGCGCGCGGGACTGCTGGCCGGCGGGAGACGCCGGCCCAGGCCAGCGCGGCGCGGTGCTCCTGCCCCTAGGGACCTGGCGGAGTTGCGCGCCTGAGGGGGGGGGAACTCGCTCGCCGGCCCGGGGCAGCGCGCGGCAGCGGTGCGCTGGCGTAGGTAGGTATGTGCGCACGCGTACTTGCGAGCGAGCGTTTCGGCGCGAGGAGGACCTGCGCGGGGCGCCTAGGGGGTAGGGGGTAAGGGGGGGGGGGGGGGGGACGCAGCGCCTGCGCGCGAGGATATATAGCCTACGTGCGTACGTACGTACCTACCTCCCTGGGACGGCCGCGGCGCAGTCCTGCGTCCGACCGCCGTCGCACCCTGACACATAGCGGCTGGACGAGTCGCAGAAGGGCCGCGCGGCGGCACTCCCATCTGCCGCGCTCTGGGGCCTCGAAAGGCCGCGAGCGGAGTCCGTCGTCGTCGACGGGTCGGCGGGCGGACGTAGGTACCTAGGTAGGTAGGTAGGTAGGTAGGGAGGTAGGGAGGTAGCAGCACGAAGCACACACGCACGCATCGCTATCTACCTACTTACCTACCTGCCTACCTACCTGCCCCAGCTCGCGACACGCGACGACGGAGCCCGCGCGCGGGAGGTGTGCTAGCTGGGGCTAGGGGGCACCTTCGCAGATCTCCTGCGCTGCCGGGCCCCCCTGCCCAAGTCAAGTCTCTGCGACGCCCGAGCGAGAAACGCCGCGGAGCCGCCTACACGAGGCGTATATCTGAGGGTTGGCCGCGGCCTCTTCTTACGAATACCTACGTGCGTGGGTCGTAACCGTGCGAAGGTGGGCTGGAGGGGGGGGGGGGGTGGATCGAGAGGAGAGGAGGGCCTGCCTGCCGAGCTGTCTCGATGCAGGGCAGTAGGTGTGTAAGGGGTCGGTCGGTCGGGTCATCGTCCTGATGGCGCTCTGGCGACCCAAGAGGGACTGGACACGTGTGGCATCACGGTCGTGCTATGCTAACCCGCCCTATCCACAGAAGCGGCGATGGTCAGGGTCGCCTCCCCTTCTCCGTGTTTTCGTGAGGCGGTGTGTATCAGCGCCATGCAGTCGAGCTTCTTGGGAGGAGCACGCCGTACAGCTGGTCGCCTCTGAGGGCGAGGAGGGAGGGAGGGAGGGAGAGGGGGGAGGATTAGGGAAGAGGATTAGGGGGCGGTTTGCGCGCACCCTCTGCCCACGTCTCGGGCTACCCAGAGCAAGACTACGCGGTCCTCGCGCTGCATGTAGAGGCACATCGCCGCAGAATATATCCCTAGTCTCGTTTGTTTGAGGACGGGCCCTACGTAAGGTTGATTGCCAGGGGGCTCGCCCCGTGTTACTCTGCGGGTCTATTGTCTATGGTGCTCGCCGTGCCTCCATTCTACCTCCTCCTTACTGTATATCCGACGCTGTAGATATTTCACCCCGCGGTAACGCCCGCCCACTTTCAGCTTGTCCGTTATTTCGTACCACCAACATGCATACCGGTGTGGTGAAGAAAGCAGGGCCCCTGGCCTCACCATGGCGCTGTCTGCCTTGCCAGGCCGTTGCTGCCCGTGGCTACCTCAAGTCTGTGTAGCTGGGAAGGGCACACAGTGACATCGGCCACGGCGCTGGCAGGAAGACGTACATTAGCATGTTAGAGGTAAAATTTGTCCGCCACGTCACGTACGAGTGACAGGCTCACCTCTCGTCCCCCTTCCCCCTTTCTCCCCCCTTCTCCCCCCCCTCCTCCACCACTCCCACGTAAGTGAGGAGGCCACCCGCAACGCCAGTGCGCCTAACAGAGATCGTCCTGCGCGTCCTAATCTGGGAATAGACGGGACCACGAAAACGGATGTGTGTTCTTGTTTTAGCGTGGCGGGAAGATCCCTGGCGGCTCGGAGATCGGTACGTGGATGGAGAACGTCATCTCGCCTGCAGGCACCATCACGAAATAAGGCCGGTATGAACAAGGGGGGTCGGTTGCGATGCTCGCGGGCAACAGCAGCCGAGGCGAAGTCCTGGGGATGCTCTCGCACTATTTCCCTCTTGGGACAACTTTGGGGGGTGGGTCTGACATGGTCTCGAGCGACGCCCCCGACGTCTTTTAAGACATCGTATCTGTACTGTAACGCGGCGCCGACGCGGGCTCACTGCTGGATGGATGCCTCTCTGGCTTGATGGACGCATGTGTCCCTCCCCACGACTGGATATGCGGAAGAGACCGCGACAGACACAGAGAGGAGAGTGAAGCCGACGACGGCATGCAGGTAAGCGTGGACATTGCCACGCTGCCTGAGAGCGATGCTCGGCCAGCGACTGGACGGCAAAAATAAGTTTTTACTGCTAGAAATATCGTGCAAAATACGAAAGAGGCGTGATCGCGGCCAGGGAGTGCCAAAAGAAGCATCGCTCTCCATCCCGCGAAGGGGGGGGGCAATATTGGGAGACGCCGGGCACAGCCGCACTCTGCCGGCAGACGTCCCCGACGATGGACACGGACTTTATCGGACCCGTGGGGCGGGGTGCGATCTATAGCCGGTCAGCATGCACGAAACTATGTATACTCTGTTGCTCCTTCATCGAGATAGGCTCCGCCTCGCTCGACGCAGGCGGAGCGGGTGCGAGGTGCGGTTGGGACGGGCTCGCAGCCCATGCCCGGCTCGATGCGCGCTTACGCGACGCCGAGCCTGCTGGGCGCCGTGGGGCGACGCAGCGCAGAATGGCGACGCAGAGGAAGAAGCCACGGGCAGAATGCGTTCTGGAAACCGAACGAGTCTTATCTGACGAAGCTGACAGCGACGCCGGGTCGTCAACCGAGGGCGCGAGGGATCCGGGCGGCGGCGTCCTACGGGAATCGGGACCGAAGGCGAGGAGAGACAAGAGAGATGAGACAGGAGGGACGCGAACCGGAGCCAATGGAGAGAGGCGCATGGGAGTGCGAACGGCAGAGGAGGCGTTCGGATTGGGCCAAGCCAGAGACCTGGGCCGCTCGTAAAGGCACGGGCACCAGGTACAGGCATGCCTAGTGCTACTTCAATAGCCGCCCTGCCCCGGAGGCCACGCGATCTCGTGGGATTCCGCAAGTATGTCGCGCTTGCGTGGCGAGTAAGACATGCGACGGCGAGACAGAGCTGAGGTTGTCGCACGGCGTCTGCCGCGCTGCTCCCGCATCGCCGGGAGGCTTCGTCTAGGCAGGTTAAGCCCGGCTGACCCTGTCTACGACACCACCAGGACCACCAGAATAGCCATCCGCGTACCCTGCACGGGCTGCGTCTATTACGAGAGAGAGGAGGGAGACAGAAGGGGAAGAGGAGGCGGACAACGGCGGAGAAGAAAGCACAGCGAGTCCGAAAACGGAATTAGAGGGAGACTCCAATTTGGTCGATCGAAGGTCGCACGGAGAGTGTGGCTGTTCAGGAACTGACATGGGCTGGGGGGGTGCGGAGGGACCCAGGGCTTGAGAAGCGAGACGTGGAGGATTCTCGAGTGCCACACGAGGGTGTCCTCTCGGGACATGGCACTCGAGCTGAGGAGAGGGCGCGATGGCGAGATAAGCAGGGAAGCGAGTGTGCATTCGAGGGAGGGGGTGAGGGAGGGAGGGTAAGCCGTGGTGGTAGTCGGGGAGAAACAGGTGTGCAGTGGGATCGGATCGTCTTGGGTTGGGTACCCTACCTTACTCCTCCCACGGTAGGTGGTGAAGGGAGACGTGTAGGAGGTGCTCGACATGCTCGACATGCTCGACAATGCAAGTGGCCTGTTGTCGGCGCATGCAGGTCGGGCTATAGAGGCACCTACGTCTTACTATCCTGCACCCGAAGCATGGAGCGTGGTATTGCGTCCCATCGAGAACATCTGTCCCCTAGCCATACGGCCCCCCGATCTGGAGGGGTAGGTAGATATGCGAGCGCCTGCGAGCGTCGAGTGCACCCCTGTAGAAAATAGCAACGGGAGCAGCAT